AGAGAGAGAGAGAGAGAGAGAGAGAGAGAGAGAGAGAGAGAGAGAGAGAGAGAGAGAGAGAGAGAGAGAGATGAGATATGAATTGGTTTGGTCGGTTTGAGAAAGAGAGAAATAAAGAGAGAGAGCGTGTGTGTGTGTATGTGTGTGTGTGGGGTTGCATTTGGTGCAAGTATCAGATTGAGCGGCGCCAAGAGAGCGGGCACCGTGTCGACTTGGTCGAGTCGCTCGCAGTGTTGGTCGATTTACACCGCTGCGTATCAATCCTGTTGTGCTTGGTTGTGAACCAAGTGACCCAGTTGTGGGCGACCGTGAAGCCACGGTCTGTGGCTTGCGTTGCATTGGTCAACGCAAGGGCGCCATGGGGTGGGGCGCTCCGGCCGCAGGAACGCCGACCCACCGGCTCCTGCGCTTGTTGGGCTTTATCTTGGCCTTTGCGCTTGGCACAGAAGGCACGGATTGTTATCGCCAGGTGCAAGGTACATGCACGGTGACTTGCGGTGAGGACGTGGTCGGCTTGCGGGATGTTACCTACGAGTACACCAACACGTCAGAAGCTTGTTTGGCTGTGCAAATGCCCGGTGCGTACACAGTTCTCAGGCTCGTCAAGGACGCTCACCCACTTTGCTCGTTCGACTTGCCATTTGATTCTGATGCCGTGCCTCTGAAAGCGCGTGCTTTGCTGCTTTGGCTGGCTGCTGTCTCATGTGCCACGTCTCTGCTTGTCGCATGGCGCGTAAATAGAACCCACCATCACCTCCTGCCTAGCCGTCTCGGCTTGCAATTATTGCCAGGACATCAACATGACCTTTGCTCGCCCCTTGGGCAAGCGCACGGGTACCATCAGCACTGTTCTCCTTACCTACAGCTCCACACGAACATGGCGCAGTGCCAACGGCATTCAACTTGCTTACTCTAGCAATCTCGGTGGTTGGGTGCTTACTGATGGCACTTACGCGGTCGCGGGCATCGGATCCTCGCCCTCTCTCTTGCCCTTTTTCACCGTGTCCCAAACTACATGGACGGCCGGTGACAGGTCGGGCAGTGTCAGCATTACCAGCTTTTGTAGCAGTTGTGGGTCCAATCATTACCTGCTACCGGACGGCCTGTCCTGCAACAGATACCGTGAACCCTGCATGGATGGCGAGAGTCTTCTGGCAGCCGGCACGCCTACCAGTGATCGCGTTTGCGAGACACTGGTTCAGGAAAATTGCTCACGGCCCTTGCTCTCGGACAGCAGCTACTGCATTCAGTGTCCCCCCGGTCTTCTCCTTGTCGATGGCGTGTGCAGCAACACTTGCCCAGATGAGCTACCCATTCTAGATACTTACACTCAGACCTGCCGACTTTGTCGGGCAGGCCATTTCGGGGCAAGCTGTGTGGCCTGCAGTAACGATGACTGCCTTTATTGTGACCCCTCCAACTCTACCATCTGCACACAGTGCTACTACGACGATGTATGTCCACATGCGTTGGGCCTCGAATAAACTCTGGTCCACCCATCCATCCTGCATCTCACTTGGGCTTTGTACCCCCGGTCGTCCAGGCACTGTCCAATGGCCAATGCGAACTGAATGCCAATACTTATAATGCTCCATTTTATGGCTCGGATGTCAATGGTCCTCTCATTATGGCAGCCATTGTCGAGGCTCTGTCCTCGTCCAGCAATCTGGCGATTCGTGCTCGTAGCTACACGGACATCACAGACGGTGTAGTAGCCGAGCTTACCATGTGTGATCGCACCACCTTTAAGTGCTATTCAGACGCCGAGGTTGAGGCCGTTTTGACAAGTGATAATGTCACTGCCGTCTTGGATGCTCTCAACGTAACCATGGTTCAACCCACCACAACAACGGCCGCTCCCAACTCATCGGGTACGCTGTGAGAATCAGGCCTTGACAAGGCGCAGTCTTCATTGCCTGTTCCTGTCTGCCCCTGCAAAGGCTCTTGTTGAGATGCGCTGGTTTTACTCTGCGACGCGTCGTGACTGCTTGCCTGTTGCCATTAGATCTGGCTTCGTGGTTGCGTCGAAATCGCACCATCATCATCATCGTTTGCATCGTTCTCTTTATCATCATCCTTGCCATTGTTCTTTACCTCATCTGCCGGAATCAAGGGTGCGTTGGTTCAATTCGATCGTTGCGTCTTTTGCCGTTCAAACTCACACTTTATTGCGCGGGTTTCAGGAATGGTCCGAAGGAAACCAAACTCAACTTTGACCTCCGCCGCAAAAAGTATGTGCGGTTGAAATTATCAATTTGCAAAAAGCCTTGAGCTGGGCGCGCGTGTTTCGACGTTGGCGTTACCTTGTTCGGTGCTGACAACCGATTTAACTTTTGAGCACAGGTCAAGCAATAGCTTGGAGATTGTTCGCACGGGTGGCTACAGCGATGATTTCCTGGAGCGCAACTATGCTGCTTTGGCCTGGTACCAGCAGAATGAATTTTTCCGTGCTTCCGGCGTTGACATGTATGTCAAGCCAGCTGTGCTGCACAGACCGTTTGCTCGCCCCCGTCCAAGGAGACGCACGCATGAATGGGAGCTCAAAAGTCTCTGAAATGACTCTCACATGGGGGTGCTCTGAGTGTAGGGATGGTAACGCTCAGCCTTGGATGATGGGTATCGTGTCGGCTCGACGCGTCGAGTTTCTTCTTGGCAATCAAACAGACGGTGCTTTCTGCGTTCGTGTTAGCGCCCACAACCTCTGGTAAGGCTTCCCCATATGTGACATGCTCGTTTTAGTGCACATTGCCGTTCAACTCGAGGCGTGGCCGTGGTTTTTTTTTGGCCTCTCGAACCAATGCTCACGCGCGATCATGCAAAACCCTGTATCAGCTTGGTGCTCAATGTGTCCTGGAACGGGAGCGTCTGGCACTTCCCCATTGAGATGGACGACGAACTGGACGAGATGGAGCATGGCTATCGCATCTACGAAGTGGGCACCGACTTTTTCTTCCCCACTCTTGAGAGCATGATTGATTATCACATGCAAGAGCCACTTCTGAACAACGTGCTACTGACGTATGCCGTGTGTGACGGTGGTATGTCGTTTTGGAAGCTGATCGACTACGTGCGTGAGCTTGATGCCTCTGACACAGAATCACAGGGGCCATACTACCCAGATGGCCGAACGCGGCGATCAACGGTCTTCTCCATTGGCCGCTCGTCCGTTGGCTCTTTTGTCATGCACAACTCGGACGGCGCACCCACCACGGTGCATGCCCGGGGTTCAGCAACGTACCATCGACCAGACTATCCTTCCCCGCGGCGGTCCTCCGCCATGCAAGGCTTCCGGCAGGACTCTCAGGGGTCCTTTGGGCGACGTCATACCAACGCTTCAATCCGTTCACTGACTCATACCATCTACGAGTCGGCGGAGGAGAATGGGGCCAGCCCATCGTCGACGGGCACATCCGTGGTTCTTATTCCAGAGAGTCGACTGGTGGAGCAGGACTCCACGGGCTCCCATGCCTCATCAGCTTATTCCGAGGCCATGGATATGGAGCCCCATGAGGGAACAGCACGTTCAGCCATGCCACAGGATCCTAATTCCCTGACACTGATTGCGCGCACTTCACCCCGTGGGGCGGACGCCGCAGCGCACGAGGAGGCAGAGAGTGATCTCGGGGCCGAGCCTGAAACTGAGGGAGAGGGGTGCAAACCGCGCAAAACACCTTCTTCTAGTTCGCGGCCACGGGCGACGCGACGTCTTTCCATTGGCCAGCGCACGACCGCTCGCAGCTCGAAGTCCAACAGCTTGCACTCTCCAAGCGAATCGCTGACCTCGCTTGACATGACGGATGACCATGCCATGCCCACACGCCCGGGGCGCGTCAAATCACAGTCGTCAAGCCAGAAGGTCACTCCCCCGTCGCGGAGCAGCGTCCACCATCGGGCTGCAGCAGAAACCACACCCCTGCAGGTGCCCTTTGCCATGACACCGAATTCTACTCCGACCCAGCCAGAGCCGGTCCAGCCCGAGGCTCAGCAACAGTCTCAGCTGATGCCACCCATGACGGAGCTGGGCATGGAATCAGACAACGTGTACACCCCTGAGCCGCACTGGGAGTCTGTGGGTGGTGGTGTTGATGCACAGGGGGCAGATGAAGACTTCACGTGGGATACCATGTTGGGAACGGAGGAGAACCGAGCGTACAACCAGCCACGTTCGATCCACGGGCCAAGCAACCAGTCCAACTCGTGGCATGCAACACCCAGTGGCTCAACGCAACAGCTCAATCTGCCGGCCGCCAATGCGGACGGCCCCATGATTTTGAGCTTTGGTGGAGGCGGTGACGACTCAGATGCGTCAACCCAAAGTGATGCCACGTTGCACAACTTTCAGACCGCTCGCGGCCACACACCAAGCTTGAGGGATGCACCAGCCACAGAATCGGAGTCGGACACGAGTTCAGAGGCCCATGACGGCGATGGGGCTATTCGCGTGGTGGATGATCGACACGTGCGGGTTCCACATGTCTCCAACAGCGAAATCTAGCGCGTCGAACGTTGCGTCATGCCAGTGGACGCCCGTCCGTGGGCGGCGTGTGGATGTGGCTGTCCTTATCATTTAATGGTTGTTTCTTTTTATTCTACATTGCTCTTGTGTGGTGTTGTGAGTCTGCTGCCATTGCTATGAATTGAGAGCAGATGATGCTGCTCCCGTGACAGCGAGCGAACTGGTTTGCGCGTTGGAATAGGGAATGAGAGGGGTGCACGCATTGGAGTGCGATTAGTAAACGGAAAAATGGAAATATTTCACTCAAGCAAGCGGTTCTCCATTTCCTTGTGTTGACCGTGCTAACAAGCACATTGGGAGTACATCAAGCCTCACTCAGGCTGTTGCTGGTTCTGGTGTGGGCGACAGGGTCGGCGGGGCAGAGCTTTCGGCTGAGGCCGCCGAGTCCGGAGCATTATTGGGCGCTTGGCGCTTTTGTTGTGCTTGTTGCACGACAACGGACTGCAGGCGTTGATCCAGATCTCGCAAAGCCTTGGCTCTGGCGCAAAGCAGCAAAATAGGTTGGGGCAAGGTGGTCAGGGCTGCTCAGGCAATGAATACAAACGGGTCAGCAAGAGAAGGGCCAACTACTGACTGTCGGCGGTTTGACTCGGAATTGCGCAGGTCAGGCATGTTGAGATGCAGCTGTGAAGTCTTGCTCAGGTCGAAAGCCCGACCGTTTTTCGGGCACAGCTGCAAGAGCACACATATGGCATAAATGCGATGACTTACAAGCCTGACCACACTCCTACAGCGATTTCGGAGGGCATCCCGGATGTGAATCAGTGAAGCAATGCTGTTGGGTGAAAAGGAGGGGCAAAGAAAACGACAAAAAGAAACGGCAAGAAGACAGATGCGAGGCGAAAGTCAAGAGGGCCATGTCGGTCGAGCCGTACTGGGTGCCAGTGGGAAAAAACTCTTCAAACGCAAAAGCATCGGATGGATCGCCCCGCAGGTGGTCACGATATTGATAGTGTCTGAGAAAGATGTAGGCTGCCAGAAACCCAAAGACTGCCATCAGGACAGGGGCCATGGAGATGACATGCATCAGGCGCAAAACGGTGAGCACCAGAATCAAGAGCAAGGGCCCGTCCTACACGATCATGAGAGTGGGGTCCACCAGTATGAGGCAAAGCGAGGCGAGAAGGCGGGGGCATATTCAAAGAGTGAACACCAAGACAGGTGGGAGAAACTTGGTGCTCTTCAAATCCGACCTTGCTTTCCAGACGCAGGGGTCCAAGAACTAGACTGTGCTGTGGATAGGCTTGCTTGTACGCCACCATAAAGCCCGCGACACAGCCCGTAAAGCCGGAAAACTGCCAGAAGCTGGCGTGATGCAGGTGTTGAGTAAGAGATGAACAAAGAGGGCGGCAAAGGAGAGTGCATCTGGCGGTACGTACAGCATGCCAATGTCCCCTGTCACGGCGAATAGAAAGATAAAGGCGGCTGTGGTGGCCAGGACCGTGGCCACGTTGACAATGGCGATGAATTCCTGAGCAACGCGCGCATGCGTGACAAAGGTCAAAAACAGAGGCATTGGCAAGGCGGGGCTAGTTGCACAGGAAAAAGCAAGTCTGTTGAGCGTTAGGTTTGAATGCAAAAGCAGGCTTACAAAAAACTTTAAAGGCTGCCACAAATCTTCCAGAAGACTAGCAGCCGCCAAGAGCGCGGATACGCTGAGCAGGAGCTATGGTATGGGCAGAGGGTGGGGTTACGCTGACGTGAGCGCTGCTGTGATGTAGCGCTGTCCGGATCAAGGCGCGCAGGAGCATACCCCGAAGATGGATCCTTCAATATAGGCTCCAGTGATGATGACCCAGATGTGGACGAGCGGAGGCGCAACCCTGTTCAGGGCCAAACGGGCATGCGAGGCTGGATGAGAGATCTGACGGGTGACAGGTCGACTGTTGTAGCCAAAAAGATGGGTGACGGAGCATGCCCTGTTATTCCGCTCCCTGCCCTAGGGTCTATGCCCGCAGAGGCTGAAAGCAGCAGGGGGGGGGGCAACGCGCGAGAAGGATGTGTGCCAACCAGGCGCCAGGTAACAGACGTACTCGGCTGGGGTGACGGCGAGGTAGCGGTAGACGCCAGGTATAAACGTCAAAACGTAGAGCAGGACCATAACACCAGCCAAGGCTCGCGTGTAAAGCGATACCTTTTGCAAGGCGGCCATCATGCGGGGCACGTCCATGATTGCCTGCCACCGCCGCCGCCGCACACACCGCCGTTTGGGTGTCGTCACGTAAAATGTAGAAAAAAGATTTTTTTTTTTTTGGTGATGATCGACTCTTCAAAGTTAAAAATTGTGAATTAGAGGAGAGAAAGAGAGGTATAATATGTAAAATACTTCGACTTGAAGATCCTTACAAGATGACGTTGTGTGTAAGTAAAATACTTTATATCATACCATGAATCAAACAAGTAAAATACTTTAGCGTTGAATGTTTGGTCGTCGTTTGCAATGGTGGTGTTTTGTTTGGTCGTTGGTGACATCACGGGTGTGGCCCCTCACTGCAGCCACTCGACCAAAACCGGCACACAGGTGTGACCATCCCTTTCTTTTGTCTTTTTCTCCCCGTGAATCTCTCTCTTTGAATCTCTCTCTCTTTGAATCTCTCTCTGTGTGGCGCTCCTCCTTCTCGCTCTCGCTCTCGCTCGCTCTCTCGCTCTCTCGCTCTCTCGCTCTCTCGCATTCCTCTGCACGCATCGTTTTCCGGCACGCCCCATCCCTCTTGGCTTGCTGGCTCTTGCTCCCGTTTCGGTGAGTGGCGTGTGTGGGTGGGACTGGGACCTCTCTGCCGTGCGTCGTGCTCTGGGGACCCTTCCTTTTTAACATTTCCCCTCCTCTCCTCTGCTTTTGGCGGTCTTCGTGATCCAATCCACCGCCATTGCTGCCATCGCCAGAGCACTCGTCGCGTTGTCGCTTGCGCTCCTGCTTGACCTTTTGTTGCCCTCTCTCGCCCCGCTTCCCAAGTCTCGGGCTGTGACCGGGCGCAGCAAAACGTCCGTAGTCTTCCCAGTCAACCGTGATCATGGCTGGCACACGTCCCACACGTCAAAACAACACGCTCATTGCCCACCCGGAGCTGGGCCGCAGTTTGCCGCCTGAAGATCCCTCCATCGTCGATCGGCGCCACGGCATGACCTCCAACTACATTGCTCAGCAGCGTACGTCGCCCAAGTCCCACTCGGTGTTATCTGTCTGTGTGCTCGCGCGTCGCCACCTGACCTCGACCGCTCGATGCTGCAGACTCCAATCGGGAGGCGTTGCGTGAAGCGCGCCGTCAACCTCTACAGTTCAAGGCTAGCGTCCCCATGGCCAACCGGGATGCACCTGATTCAGCCTTGGGCACGCGCCCGCTTCGTGGCACCCTGCGCACCAACCCCTTGATCGCCAAGGTGTGTGTCCAAACCGTGCTCATGTGTGCGTGTGTGTCGCGCGTTTCGTCCATCATTTCGGTGCCAGCAAACCAACAATTCCCGCTCGTTGCTCTCGCATCTTGTCACTCCCAGGCACCCTTGGGGAGCTCCGCGCGAGCTGGGGTCAATGCGCGCGCACAAAGCATGACGCATGGTCGGATCAACGTCAAGACGGACAGCGTTGCCAATGCCATGGCTTGGTCGCGGGCCCAGCCCGAAGCTGTTTCAGCTTTGACCACTCCGGCCTCCACCACACACTCGGCCTCCTCCAACGGCTCAACTGGCCGTGGTCTCGACTACGTGGCCATGAACAAACTGGCGCTGCGCCACGGGCTCACCAGTGCCAAGGACCAGTTGGCGCTGCGCCAGTCCCATCGGCTTGAGCGCAAGTCGTCCACCAACAACACCACCCCTGGCCGCCGTCTGCGCGGTCCCACCGTGCAAGACGCGTCCCAGCCCGCCGGCGCCACCAATCGGTGTGTGCTTTGCTGTGTGCCTTTTTATCCTTCTTCCCCCCTCCTTCACCTCCATGTATTCTAGCAGTGCCTCGACTTTCTTCCTGATGTCTTGTTTGGCTGGGCTTGTTGTACAGGTTTGATGGCAGCGTCGGAGAGTTGATGAGCTTTGAGCCCCAGCGCCAGTATTTGCTGCAGCGGCAAGCAAGCGAGGCTCAGCACCGACAAGAGGTGCGCGAGTCTCGCCGCGTGGGCATTCCCACCACCAAAACCGTTCTTTTGCGACAAAAGGTACGCGGGGGATCATCTTGCTTCGGGCCACCATTTTGAGTGTTGATGCGCAATCTGGCTTACGAGGGTGACTGGCTCGATGTAGATGCGGTCACCACCACCCTCGGCACCGTGGAAGATGAGCCGCTTTGAGAAAAATGCGCAGCCAGCCATCTCTTCGTTCCGCTCGCCCCGTGCGCGGCAACAGGCCTTGGAGCGCCATCAGTTTGAGAGCGTGGATCGGATGGGCACGTTGGGCCAAGGCTTGCATGCTGCAACCCTTTAGATCGGATCGGTTGTCCCTGTATTGTTTTTTCCTGTCTAGCCCACCTCGGGGGTTGTGTCGATATTCATGTTCAAGGGACCGCCCTTGAAGTTTTAGCTCTTTTTTTTTTTTTTTTTCGCTCTGCAATACACCCGAATACTTAATCATATCCTCGCGTTTTGTTTTTTTTCTGGTCCGAGCAATGGTTGCTGCCCCCTTTGTTCCCAAACGCTACCAATATCACACGGCTGCAGCAGGCAGCCAGGAAGAGGAGTTCAAAAACCTGCTCGCCCGTGAGTCTACGTGTTTGACAGAGACGCAAACAAAGATGTAACTGTGCTACGTGTTTGGGGTGTGTCAGGATTATAGAGGATTCCTCCAACTCGAGGTGTGGTGCGGGCGCAAGTCGCACTCAACACGACTGCCAAACCACAGCACCACAGCGAGCGGACTATGGCCGGTGCATTCCCTGCCTTGGTTTGTTGTGGGGATCAAAAACAAAAGTCTGCATGTTTGATCCAGCGTGCTTGACCCACGACTCCACACTGCGTCATCTGCACGCGTGAAGAGCAGCAGCTAGCTCGCATGCATCAGAATGGGGGTAGATCCGTTTCAACCACCCCGCCCCATCACTCACCACACACACGCTATCAAGAGTTTACCCCATCCCTCGGGACGCTCACATGCGCTTACCCCACATTCGTCCAAACCATTCCAATAGTTTGTGTGTGTTTCTGTTCGTTTTGAGATAATATGGATCTACCCATCACTCTCTCCCTAAACAACTGCATGTACTTTACGTCATTACGGAATCAAGAGCTTCGAGCCCACAACTGTGGCACGAGATGATGTTGGGAGTTTGTGGTGTTTAGAAACACCTGTTTTGTTTTGTGTTCAAGGGGTATATAAAAATAAGGAGAGAGTTGATAAAGAGCGTTTCAACGGATTTAACCGCCGAAGCCGTAGAGGGTGCGGCCCTGGCGCTTGAGGGCGTACACGACATCGAGGGCGGTGACCGTCTTGCGCTTGGCGTGCTCAGTGTACGTCACGGCATCGCGGATGACGTTCTCAAGGAAGACCTTGAGGACACCACGGGTCTCCTCGTAGATGAGGCCCGAGATACGCTTGACACCACCACGGCGAGCCAGACGGCGGATAGCGGGCTTGGTGACACCCTGGATGTTGTCGCGCAAAATCTTGCGGTGACGCTTAGCGCCACCCTTTCCGAGGCCCTTGCCGCCCTTGCCACGTCCAGACATGATTGCAGTTGTTGTTCTGAAGGAAGATCCAGAAGAAAATGCCTCTTCCCGGCCGAGCTCATCCACTTGTAGCCGACCACCCAAGTGGGCGAACTACACTCACGGTGGCGCTGGGACTTTTCCCCTCTTCAATGCTCTAGGGAATTTCAGGGGACTTTTCTTTGAAGTCCAGTAAGTGTGTGTGTAAGTGAGCCAGTAAGCTACAAGTGTGTAAGTGTATCAGTTTCTTCATGTCGTTCGTTGGTGAAAAAGTCCCCTAGACTTCTAAGTAATGCCCAAATCATGCAAAAGTCCCAGTTGAAACCGTTAACGGTTTGGAAAAACAACATGAGAGCTTTGTGACGGGCAGTGTGCAAAGGGGGAGACGGAGGAGACTGGCCAAGGGGCTAAGGGTGATGCCTTGCACGGGCTGGGACACTTGTGCGATGGTCAGTCCGGGCAGTGGCATTTTTCTTTTTGGTTTCATCCTCAAGAACAACCAACAACCAACTTCATCATGTCGTCCAAGACTGGCAAGGCTGGCAAGGCTGCCGGAGGCAAGGCCAAGTCGCGCTCTTCTCGCGCCGGCCTTCAGTTCCCTGTTGGCCGTATCCACCGTCACCTGAAGAACGGTAACTACGCCCAGCGCATTGGTGCCGGTGCTCCCGTCTACCTCGCGGCCGTCATGGAGTACCTCGCCGCTGAGATTCTTGAGTTGGCCGGTAACGCCGCCAAGGACAACAAGAAGACCCGTATCAGCCCCCGCCACATCCAGCTGGCCGTCCGCAACGACGAGGAGCTCAACAAGCTGCTCTCCGGCGTCACCATTGCCCAGGGTGGTGTGCTCCCCAACATCCACAACATCCTGCTCCCCAAGAAGAGCTCCTCCGCCTCCAAGTCGGAGTAAGCTCCTTCACCAGACGCCAATCGTCTCTCTTTATTCACCACGACCTTGTAGTGGTCACTGGCAGTTGCACCTGCAACGGTCTTGATCGTCTCAAAGTCCCTTTCTCTCTTAACACAAAACCGGTGTTTCTAAACACCACAAATCTTCCGATCATCTGAGTGACTGTTATTGTTAAATAAAAGTAATCAAGAAGTGTTGGCCTTGTGGTGTCAAGTCGAGTAATGCAGTTCAAAGCGAGGCAGAAATCAAAAAAAAAAGTCGCAAGCAAAACAAGCCATGCGCAACGCCCAACGTCAAGCAAAGCTAGACTTCATGCATACGATCCTATGGTCAATTTACTGTTAGCACACGAGACAAAACTCCTCGCAAGGCGAAACAAGCCTCGTCCTGACACAGAAAGAAGACAATCAATGTCATGTAAAGCAACTTGTAAGTGGGTGCTGCAACACTTCCAAACAAGGGCGTTGACGTGCTAGTTGACAATCAGCCCGTAATGGCGTGCCATCCAATAGGGCATGAGCCAAGCGCCCGGATCACCCTCGGATAGGCCCGAGCCGCCATCCAAGTCATGAGGGTTGCCGTTCCATCGCAGCTGCGGTCGCTCATATGCGGGCAGGATGCGTCGCTCATCGTCGTCGCCCACCTGCCCATTGCGTTCTGCCTCGGGGTCGATGTAGATGTCGCGTCGCATCGTGTTGTTGACCGGGAAATCAATCAGCTCCAATGGCCACGTCCGCAGATTCCTGGCAGATACCAAGCCGAGTCAGATGTGGGATCGAGCATCAGCACACAAATACAGCAGGGAACAAGAGGTCGTACCAGACAATGCTGTCAATATCAGCCTGTGTCGTCAGGTTGCCGTCCACTGCCGTATAAATGGCATTCCATGGAGCGCTGCGATAGGCACGCACAAACTGCCAGGTGCGCGTCAAACTCGGGCCCAACGCGGCCGCCAGCTGTGGCTGTGCGGTCATGTTCAAGCCCAAGGCCATGACCATGTACGGCAAAAATGTCAGCTCGTCGTCCGAATAGTTGTCTGAAGCTGGCGCCTCAATCTTGAGATTCAGCATGTTTTTATCAAACTACAAGAGGCAGATGGCGGTTAACCAACAACGTTACGTTCATCAGTCAACAACGGCAACAACAACCTCGCGTCCATGCCAGGTGCATGCGCTACTTACGCGATTTGCTTCGGTGGTCAGAGTTTTGATTGCCTTGACAAACTTGACGTGTTCCTGCTCGCTCCTGTGATGGCACACATACGCACAGCAAGCGTCAAAGGCACACCGCTGTACTCATCAATAGAGACTTTCGACTTTGACTCCGTGCCCCGCTGTTGCGTTAGCTTACCTGGCGAGGCCAGCTGCAGCTGACAGGTAGGCGAGGATCTGCAGGCTGTTCACACCATGCTCGTTGGTCCATAGAATGCTGACGGTGGCAGCAGCACGAATCCAGGGCGTGAGCGCGCTGCTCCTCGGCAAGGTCCATCCCACAAAGAGCGTGGCACATACCTGTCATCGATCTCAGCTGGGTTCCAAACACCCCAGCGCGTGTGCTTGCCAGTCACGTCAATGAGGTAGAAATCGTTGTCGACAATGTAATTCATGATATCAAGTAGGTACTGACGCGAAATGTTGCGACGCGGGCTGTCGGGCAGCAATGCTGCCGCCGTGGCATGGCCAAACATGTGGCCCACCACCTCGTCCGAGGATGCATCACCTTTGAAATGCCAGCCCTGGAGGCCGGGGGCAGAGCTGTTGTGCCAGTCATTGTCGGTGGCAGGAAAGCTCATGTTGGGAGCCACACATGTTCGAGCCATCAGACCGCGGACATTGGTCACGTTGACCAGGAGCTCAAGGCCACGCTGAAAAATGTCAAAGGCCTGCGCGTGCTCGTCCGAAGGTTCAACGGTCAGCGCATGGGCGTAGGCCGACACTAGCAAACTGGTCCACAGGCCGCTGTTGTCGTTGGGCCCGCCAGTGCACGATGACAGTTGGCCGTAGGCATCCATGTCACACTCTGCCACCAGTCCGTGACGATTGTGGCGGGCTAGGAGGGTCTTGCGATACCAGTCGGCCTTTTGTCGTAGCGTCCAGTTTTCCCAAGTCAGCAAGGCAAAACCGCCGGTCGTGGCCACGACAACGCGATCGGCATCCAACGCCACCACGTGCGTCACGTTGGAGGAGTGGGGCAAGAAGCGATCGCCGTGGAAAAAGCGCCAGTCCGGATCATCCTGTCCCCGGCTATAGCGCAGGAGCGCCCGGGGCGTGCCGATCCACATGGCCTCGGTCCCCGGCTCCATCACAACCTGGCTGGCATTATTCATGGGCATGCCTTGCTGATAATCAAGGCGCCCAATGCCGCCGTTCGGTGCTCGGGTGTTGAGGCTCACTTGGTTGGTGGTAAACAGCGTGCCGGCTTGGTCACACGTCATGTCGCGTGCGGGCCCCCCGTATGCACCGCCGGCTCCAGCGTCGAGGAGCGTGACCCATTCCCAGTCGAGAACGTGGCCGGTCTGGTTGATCTGTAGGACCTTGGTTTCAGTGCCCACAAAGTAGTGTTCGCCACAGGCCGTGGTTGAAAGCACCAGGTCCTCGGTCAGGCGCAGTAAGGTCAGGTCAGTCGCATTGCTGGACAAGTGCCACAGACCTATATCAGTGCCAATTAGAGCGGCGGCACCGCTGTCAAGCATCTTGACAGTGGTGACCAAGAGAGTCGGGATCGGGAGTGAAAACTGTTCTTCGCATGCCGTTGCCTGAAGCCACAGCATGATGTTGACAGCAGCAAGTGAGACGACACACACAAAAAAAAAAAAAAGGAAAAAGAAAAAAGACAAGACGGGATTGCCAGTGAGTTTGACAGGGGATCCCAGATTCAAGCGTGAGCACCAACCGAGCAAGACACGCGCGCAATAAAGTTGTCGCGGATGATGGTAAACGCGTCGGGCTCATGGGCAGCGGGCAAAACATGCGCGCGTGGATCCACATCCCAGGGCAGCCGCTGGGCTGAGACGTCATTGGCCGTTGTACCCAGCGTCACCACGTAGACGCCTGTCGTGCCGTTGGGCGCGTCGGCCACAGCCAGTACCTGCGTCGTGCTGTAGCGTTGGAGTGTGTGAACGCGCACGAATGGCACCTGAGCCCAGCCCTCGATCGGCTGAGTTCCAGCAAACCCCACGCGATTACTCCGCAGCTCACGATACGGCTTATCCACCACCGGCTGCCATGCCCCAACACGCCCCAGCAGAACCACTGCCGCCAACACAAGCAGCACACGGCCCACACCGATGCGGCCACTGGATCGCCTCTGATTGCTCGTCTTCATCTTGCGTGCGATTTGTCGACAAGGACGAAGGAAAAATGCGCGCATGTGTGTGTGTGTGTGTGTGTGTGTGTGTGTGTGTGTGTATGATGCCAGCAGCGCGCGATCTTGACGACAATGAATGAAGTTGCCTGTGTCTTCTTCTTCTTCTTTGCGAAGCAGCTCGTTTGCTACGCCTGTTGCACCCGCTGTGCCAAAAGCCCAGGGAGCTCTTGCCTTCCGTCGCTTTGTTGGCTCTTTCGCGAATAACGAATTGACAGCCAAAAAACAAAAAAAAAAACAAAAAAACAAAAGTGTGATGCACGTGTGGGTGACACACGGCTTTGAGTGGTGTGAGGCTTTTAGCCAGATGGGGTTGGCAGCAAGAGACCCAATTGCAAAGAGCAAGAAGAGACGGCAGCAAGCAGTTCAATTTATAAGGTACTCGGAAAGGGATGCGCGGCATCCAGGCTAGCATGCGGATGTGTGGATTGAAATACAAGGCGATCGGGAATTCTCAGCCAAAGCGGTCAGGGTCAACGTTGTCATAAGGGTTGCGGAGGTCAAGATCCTGATCCCAGCCGTACAGGTTTTCGTAGACAGAGCTGTAGGGACAGGTGGCGTTGGCCAGCTCCGAGAGCGGGGCCGTGAAATCCAAGGCGTGAAGGATGGGCAGGTTGGGATCTGATGTGTCATTGCCCCGCACCCGGGTCGGATGGGGTCGCGCACCGACGCAGGCGTAGATGAGATGTTCGTCAGTAAACTCGAGCGTGCGCACTGTATCGCTGGTGCGCACGTTCCAGAGTCGTCGCATCATACGACGGTCCGCTAGATAGGTCCAGCCCACGTGGCCCCACTCGCGGCGTGTCGAGTAGACGAGGCGCCAATCATCCATGCTGACGGCCACGGTGGCCGAGTGGCCAGCGAGCCAGGGGTGCCGATGAAGTCGACCCTCCCGCAGGTCGTAGGTGGCGACGCCGCGCTGAATGCCGACGGCAACCTCGTTGGCATTGGCTAGGTATGCCGGGGGTAGGGTATCGTAGCGATCAACCAGCGTTTCCCACGCTGCCTGGCCAGGCACCAGGCTAAGTCCCTGCAAAGCCACGGCTTGGAGCAGCCGTCCATGAACGTCGTGCAGGCGCAATGTACACTGGGATCGATCAGCAACGCTGTAGAGCAGGCGATCGTATGCGGACCGGAAGTTGCCCGCCACAATGGCCACGCCAAGATTAGGGTAAAGGTCAATGACAACAGCGCCCGAGGCTGCATCGTGAAGGGCCACGCCCTGCTCGCTGAGCACGGCCAAGGGACGATCGGGGGTTGAGCCTAGGCTAGCCACTTCATAAATGTGGTTTTGGGGATCGTTTAGTTCCCACCGCACCGACCAACCATTGTGGTTCGAGGGCATATCGAGGCCCGTATCTGGTCGCGTCGCCGACCCGCGCGGTGGTGTGGGTGTGGGCGTGGTTGTAGGCATGGGCAAGGCAGACAACTGGGCGTGCTCGTGGGCTACAACGGTGACACGATGCTCGGCTGCGGTCACCAACAGGTGGGGGCCAGCCCAGGCCAACGTGTGCCGTTGATCAGGCAGGGGGAGATGGGTCACGTGTTGCAGCTGGCTGTCGGCGAGAATGAGTTGTTGACGGTCGGTGGAGCAAGCCACGGCCTCGTTACAGCAGGCGAGCGCGATGGCTTGGGCATCCTCGGCCACGGGAAGCAGATCGCATCGCGCTTCAAGTGAGTGAGTAGACCAAACTGCCAGGGACAACTGGGCAGCGCCGACTTTGATCGTGGACACGGCACCGGCAATACAATCTGAACTGATGGCCACGGCGGCGACGGGGCGATTGGTAAAGCGAAGGTGACGGTCCATGTCGGTGTACGTGGCTAGCAGCTCGCGCCAGCGTCGTTGGCGTTCGCGTCTATACAGGGTGTAACGTCGAACCAAGTTTTTCCAGCCTTCTGCTGGAGGTGTCTCCTCTGGGTCGGAAGCCAGGCCCAGCTCGACGGCAAAGTGCACCCAGAGTTCATCAGATTCCACCATCTCACGCCATTGCCGACTCACGCGGGCACAGGTGCCGAGGTCGGGGATGGACAAGTAGCGGAAGACGAGCAAGGCTACCTCGCGGGGCAGCTGATCATCGAAGATGGCGTCTTCAATGTCATCATTCAGATCGTCGATCAGGGCGCGCAGCGTCTCGGATTGCGCCGTGGCTTGCCAGGGGCGTGGTTGTGGGGCGGGCGCAACGGCTGCAATGTCTGGACCCCGCGGTGGCGAGGTGTGACCTTTACTGCGTTTGGGTGGTAGCTCTCGCGCAGCAGCGTTTGGCGCAGCGACCGGGGCACTGGCAGTGGTGGTAAACCGGCCCGAGACACGCCGCTGCCCCTGCAACTCGGCCAGCCAAGTTTGGCGAAAGTGATCCAGGCTTTCGGCAGCCATGTCCCCGACTGTTCTCCACCACCTCCACCACCCACCTCGCCAAGCCCCGCCAGCAAACGACAATCCACGTCCACTATTCCAAATGCCGACGGCCAAACACCCGCCCCGTCCTGCGCAAAATGACCAACAGGCTCCACACACACACACACACACACACACACACACACACACACACACACACACACACACACACACACACACAGATTCACTACCAGTAGTAGTTTTTACACACACTTTTACACACACACAACGTCATTCGACGTAGCAAGCAGAAAGATGAGACAAGTGGAAAGAGAGAGGTGGGCATTTGATGCGGGAGAAGAGTATCAGCGAGCTTTTTTGAGTGCAAGGGGTATTGACAGTGAGAGTATTATCGCGAGTGCAAACCAAAGGTCATGAATGGACCCGCCCTTAGAACAGCTCCAACATCTCCACTTGGTCTCGACGCCTGTTCAACCTCGCTTTAACATTATGCCGACCCTGACGGTTTCAGATCAAGGGGGGTTTATTCACACGATGAATGGCACACTGTTAACTACTTCGACCTTGATGCTACCAGCCCTTACAGAGGGCTGAACACACACAAAGGTGTCTGGGATGATATGGGAATTGTGTGGTGTTTAAAAACACCGGGTTTATTTTTGATAGTTGGTGCAAAAGATCAAGTGGCAGTGGCACCACGGCTGCTGCTCTCAAAGAGACAGGCCTTGGTCACATGCCTTTGTCCATCGTCAAAGAGGAATGAGACGCTTAAGCGCGCTCGCCACGGATGCGGCGGGCCAGCTGAATGTCCTTGGGCATGATGGTGACACGCTTGGCGTGGATGGCGCAGAGGTTGGTGTCCTCGAAAAGGCCAACGAGGTAAGCCTCAGCGGCCTCCTGGAGGGCAGCGACAGCAGTCGACTGGAAGCGGAGATCGGTCTTGAAGTCCTGGGCAATCTCGCGAACGAGGCGCTGGAAGGGGAGCTTGCGGATCAGGAGCTCGGTCGACTTCTGGTAGCGACGGATCTCACGAAGAGCGACGGTACCGGGGCGGAAGCGATGGGGCTTCTTGACACCGCCGGTGGCGGGGGCCGACTTGCGGGCGGCCTTGGTGGCGAGCTGCTTGCGCGGGGCCTTGCCACCGGTGGACTTGCGGGCGGTCTGCTTCGTACGAGCCATGACTGAGGTTACTTCCAGAAAACAGGAAAGGAAAATGCCACTCCCACCGATCCCCGTCCCACTTGTACTCGATCAGGCCAGCACAGACAGGGGTGTGGAGGTTGGCATATTGTGCTTGGAGCTTAAACACCCCCTTCAGCTTTGCTCGGGACTTTTTCTCTACCAGAGGTCGGCAAATCGCATGATGACAACTGTGTGACCGTTACATAAACCCTTTAGAAGTTCTGGGGACTTTTTTCATGTTTTGCTGAAGGGACTTTTTTATAAGAGAGAGAGTGTGTGAGTTGTGACCGTTACAGTTGAGTGCGCTTTCTCTCTCTCTGTCTCTCTCTGTCTCTCTCTCTGTCCCCTGCAAGCTCTTGTTGCTCAGCAGCAGCACCACGACTTCAAGTGGAGGTTTGCGGCTGGGAGGTGGCATTTTATTTTTTGGGTCCAGACTCAAGAAACACAAGAACAGCACCATGCCTCCCAAGGCTTCCAAGAAGGGCGAGAAGAAGGCCGGCAAGGCCAAGGCCGTCGGCGAGAAGGGTCGCAAGAAGCGCCGCAAGGAGTCTTACTCCATCTACATCTTCAAGGTCCTGAAGCAGGTGCACTCTGATACCGGTGTCTCCTCCAAGGCCATGTCCATCCTCAACTCGTTCGTCAACGACCTCTTTGAGCGCATTGCCAACGAGTCGTCCCGTCTGGCCAAGTACAACGGCAAGTCTACCATCTCGTCCCGCGAGATCCAGACTGCCGTCCGCCTCTTGCTCCCCGGTGAGCTGGCCAAGCACGCCGTCTCTGAGGGCACCAAGGCCGTCACCAAGTACACCAGCAGCAAGTAAATTGCGCGCAGCGTGACCAACGTGACCGGCAGCTCAACCTGAGCGCCTTTTACTTTTTATTAACCTCTTTACACTACCAAAACCGGTGTTTCTAAACACCACTATCTGCTCTATCATCTTGAATCCTGTTTCACGGGCGCTGCCCTCTATAATGCCATCGACCGCAATAATAATAAAAATCACTTGCGAATGTGCCATCCACCCAATTTGAGAAAACGATCTGGCTCTTGACAACTTCATCACTTCACCTAAATCGTGCGTCGCATGATCCTCCTTTTGTTGCTGCTTTGCAGACATCACGTTCATGATTGTGCACCTGGCTTGACAAATGCCGAGTAGGTGCGGGATTGATATCATCGTGTCATGTTTGTGCTACGCGTGCAATGAAGTGAATCTGTTCAAGATCAAGCCATTCTCAGTCACGAAGCCGGCTGACTGACATGAAAGTGCGCTTTTGGAGGCTATCTGCTGAGCGACAAATTGAGCAGTCAGCTCGCGACCAGGGTGCACCAAGCCCCAAGCGCTCGACTCACTCCCGTGCTAAAAAGTGAACTATGACTCAGGAATCCTCGGGGATCACACGTGCATCTCACTTATGGAATCAATTGACATGGAAATAAATCACTGTCAGCCAACCTCACAACCCCAATCGAATGCCATGTATTCGGCAAGTGTGTGGGAATGATACGGAGCTGATTACAAAAATAGGCTGCGACAGGACTTTGGTGTAGACGAACATAAGACCACCGTCATCATATAGGCCGTTGTTGAAGGCGCATGGGTTGGGTTCGCAACAGACCTTCAAAACTCGATGCCACAAAACGCCAGATGCAATGCCCATCGACAGCTTCCAAGTAGCATGACATTAGATTGTCAAGCTCTCTCAAATGTTTACGAGCAGGTTTTCACCTCCCAGCAGCCGCTATCATTCCACGACGCATGAAGACGCAAGTTCACCTCGCAGTTTTGCGAGACCCACATGGTATGTAGCATGCGTAGAGCCGCAGCCTCAGCCTCGCGCGCAAAGTCATGATGCCATGTCACGACAAGCAACCGCTTCGCCGCTTCCGAGCTGGCCCGCACCCCCAGCCCGGCCAGCGGGGTCGAGCTCAACTCATCCTCCACATCCGTCACTTCCAGCTCGACCTGCGACAGCAAGGAAGACCAGGCAGCCAGCAGCGTCCGTCCCCATCGATGTGCCTCGTCTTGTCGCAAGCTTCCACCGCACTGCTCACGAACAATGGCCAGATCAAAGCGGAATGGCCTGTTGTTGTCAACAAACCACACAATGTAACTCGTACGACGCCCTTGAGCCGTGCGTAGCACGTCCAGCCCCTTCTTAACCGTGAGTGCAAGCTGGGTACCAAGCGCGCGGTTGATGCTGGACCGACCCAAGTTGATGATCGTCAGCTGCACATCGTGTGTTGGTAGCGGTGGCACAACGGTGCCTGGACAAGGGCCTTGAAGGGGACGTGACAACGTGGGATAAGGCGACGGAACAACGAGCAGGGTACTCGTTGCTAGCAGAGGCACATGCTCGTTGGTGCGCTCAAAGATGGTCCGTCGCAGCTGGCACGAAGTCCAAACCGCCAGCGCCTCGCCAAAGAGATCGTTGCGCAAGAGCTCATCCAGGTCACTGGCCTGCTGCTTGTTCATGCCGTGAATCTGAAGAGCCGCCGACCCGCACGTCAAGCTGAGGCGCGGTCGCTGTACCAAACTGTGCTGCACCCGTCCGATCAGCTCATGCGCTTCCACGCTAGCCTTGCTGGCCTCAGCGGTCAGAAAGTCCAATGCTTTTGAAGCCCCGTCCAACGTCGCGGCGAAACCGGCAAACTGTTCAACAGTCTCCCGCTTGGCAAACAGAGGCAACACCTTGGCCAGCTCCGACGACAACACACTACCGGGCTCCATGTCGGGAGGCTTTTGGACCATATCTTGAGCCGTGATGGCGATCTCATTATCAGAAGAGCAGGACAGCGGCCGAAGGATGTAGCGCCGCTTCCGCAAAATCTCGGTGCGCTCGTTGTAAAATCCTGTCTCCAACGATGTCTGAGCAGAAGGGCCGTCGCGCCCGCGTGTTTCTTCTTCAAGTGAAGCTCTGTCGGATGCAAGCATCCGTTCGCCAACCTCGATAATGTACTTATCCTCGGCGCTCACGCTGCTGTCGAATCCCTGGGCGGGTGCGGCTGCACACAGACTCCGATCGCAGTAGACGATGACACTGCGCACGCCCGTATTGCGTCGAGACGGGCGCATTTCAAGATGACCAGCGTCTTCACATAGTCCCTTTGCAGCCATATATAAACACTCGTCATAGCCCTCCCACTCCCACAGGGAGGGAAGTCGCAGCGCGCGCGCCAGGAGACGGGCATCCGCCTGAGCGAGGACCACTCCGCGGAAGCCAAGCTCAATGGCTACAGCGGAAGATAGCTCGGTGGCCTTGCCGTCACACAAGCGCCAAATGGCCTCCTCAACGACAAGTAGGGCGTCCAAGTCGCCGTGGTGTGCATCGTGACGGTTGTCAACGTAACACTCCGCAATGAACTCTGCCAATGCACTCAGAGCAATGTAGATGACCTGCGCGGGTCGGGTGGGCTGAGCTGGACGCCACATCAAGTCAATCGGCTCGGCTGCAGCGTGCAACCAGAAGCTACAGGGCTTCCACTGTGGTGTGAGGGCCATGGCGTGCTCGCACATCTGCAGCAGCGTGGCATTCACCGGTTGAATGACCTTGTGCACAAATTCGTTCTTGGGGCCATTTTCCTCAGAAACCACAGCGCGGCAATCGACCGCTGGTAACTGATCTTCATCACACCAAAAACAGGTGGGGATAGGCCAGAGCATGTCTGCGGAAGCCAGTATCTCATAAGCGCGCTCTGACGTCGCCACGATAGCCATGCGGGCTTGCGCCTGGGTCAGTTCTGGCGATCCCTCCCATACTTCTTCGGCCTCCGTCTCCTCCGCTTCCGTCAATAAACTCTCGTCCTCCAGACTGACGACCAGGAGCGCGCGCACGATATCCAGGTGAAGGGCACGGTGGGCTGTCATCAGTGACGACATGTCGTTGCGTATGGTCTGTGTAGAGATGCCCGTCGTGATGCAGCACGGCTCGCCACAGTTGTCATTGGTGCAGCTGTCGATGCAGTTGAAACGAAGCGGCGCTGTAGCATCATCGTTGCTCACGATGCACGGCTCACGGGGTGGGTTTGCCTTGATTCGATTCGCTTTGACTAGCCCAACCTTCTTGATGCAAGGTGGTCGAGCAAACCGGTGAAGGATGACAGGGATCTCGGGCAGTTTGGAATCGTCTTCGGAACTTTGTTTGCCGCGCATCTGACTGATGCGGTTCAAGGCAAGACGTAGCTTGGTGGGGTCTGCACAAACAGCCTTGGCCCATTCTATGGCAAGGGAAACAGGAAGGCGTGTGACGTCCTCCTGGATGTTTTTCACGCCAATGGCCGGCTCGAACCCGCCAATCATCAGACCCAGGCGTGCCAGCTCGTCAGCCGTCTTTGAATCCAGGGATGTGGGAGGGCCCTCCAGCTGCCTTAGCATCTCCTTCACGCTTTCGAGCGCGTCGTTCTGTAGCACAAGCACGGGATGAGATAGAAGGTGCTCGCTGATTTTGCACTGTGGCTGCATTGGCGCTGTACCAGCGGGTAGATGACATCTGCTTACCAGCTCCATGGCAGTAGGTTGAGAGTAATGTTTTTGCCGGGAGAGCCAATCCTCAAGCTCAGAGAACGTAGGAAGGACCTTGGACGAGAGGGTGCAATTGGTCCACGAATGCGCGGGTAACATGCGAAACACCACACCACAAAGCTCGTGGTTGCTGACGTGGAAGGAGGTAGCAAGAGCAACAACTCATGAGACAATATTGCGTTTCACCTATGGCGGCGGTTCTCAGCGTTAGCAAATGCAGAATGCTTTGCAAGACTATCTTGAAGCGCGCCCTGAACCGCTCGATTTGGTTGGCGCCCCCCTTCCCGCCTAGTGTCAGTATCATGTGCTCCAGACGGTACGAACCTCTTCCTGTCTGGCTGGGTTCTCGCTGGCCATAAACATCAACATTGGCCGACCAGCATAAAGAGACTCAGAATGCGGCGCCGGAATTGGCCACACCTCTTGGCGACCGAAGGTGCGGGATGTCTGAAGTGGGGAGGGGGAGTCCAGCGTCCATAGGAGCCATAGCAAAAACAAATTCACAACAGCAGTTCCGCTTCACAAAAAGCGTCATTGGGCCACGTCATTCCATTCTTGGAAGATAAACAACGACCTGTTCCGACAGGAACGGCGCGCTCAGAGGAGGAGGAGGCCCCGGCGTCGGATGCAGGAGGCGCCATAAAAAAAAGAGGAGGCCTCGTGTTGGCACAGGTTTGGTAGTAGCTGGGCGGAGCTAATCTACACCGTCACATAATAGAGAGAGGCTGCTGCATCAGGTGTGTGTGTGTGTGTGTGTGTGTGTGTGTGTGTGTGATGGGAGACGAGTGCTAGTTGCCTTTTCCTGACGTGNGATGAGAAGACGCCATACACACACACACACACACACACACACACACTTCCTAGCCAGAGTATCACCAACAGGACCATCAGCGCAGACATGGCGACGCAGGTTGAGCTGGATGTGGCGTTGCAAGCGGCCGTCGAGCTTGCTGCTGGCGTCACGGGTGAGGCAAGCAGCGGTCAGTCGCTTCAAAATCTCAACGCCATCGTCGCTGCCCTTCACCTCGTTGAGGCGTCCTTGAACAAGCATGGCCGGTAAGAACCCCCTTTGGCCAGCAGTGTGTCGTCAATCTACTCCTTGAACAGCTGACCATCGTCGCTAGTTGGGTCGGCGCAGGGGAACCACAACCCGTGGCGCTCTCCGCCATGGCTGTCCTGGCTGAAACGGCGTCAGAGGCGTTTCGAGTTGCCGATCAAGCGCTCCTCCGCGCACTCTTGCAACCCGACGCCCGTGATCTCACCCAGGCCGCCGTTCAAGTGGGTTGACGCCGCGTGAGCTCCTGCTTCCAACAATCCGTGAGTGATGTGTCACCGTGCTGCAAATCGTTTGCACCTTTCAGGCCGCACACAGTCGCCTGTTGGCTTGCCGGGCACCTCACATCCGCCAGCATACCATTGAAGCTTTGGCCACGATCGTGGCCGAAGCTGCTCCGCCTGCCCAAACGGTGCGTTGTACCCCCTCATTTCCCGACGCTTCTAGCTTTGTGCCGTAGCCGAGCCTCGTCATTTTGCCTGCTTTCACCATTCAACGCTGCGGGCTCCACGCTTGATATAGCTGGAGCAAACCCCCCAGCTTGAGCAGACGGCGTTGCTGTTGCACGAAGAGGATCTGGCGGTAGCCTCGGCGGCATCTCGCCTCCTCCTCTTAGTAAGCGTTTGCCTTGGTTCTCAGGTCACATGTTGTTCCTCTTCTGCCCTTCTTTCTGCTCACAAGACAAAATGCAACGGATGGGTCGGGTTTGTTCTTAGGCCCAGTCACAAGCTGCTCTTTTGGCCTGGGTGTGCCAAGCAACCCTGGTCACCCGGCTGCTCGACGCCCCTTCACCTGAAGCGCGCCTTCGTATTTTCCACCTCTACGCTACGCTCGCAGGCCACAATGAGGCATGTTTCAAAGCCGTCCTAGGCACTGGCGTGCTCCAGGCGGCGTTGGACTGTTACACGCAATCGGATGACATCCTGGTCCAGCTCAATGTTGTCGAAAGCCTCAAGCTCTTGACAGCCTGTGACGCAGCATGCACATGGCTCTCTACCCCCACTGTCCTTGATGCACTATTGTTACCACTCACGCCCAAGGGCGCCGCCAACCCCTTTCAGAACATGCTATTGGTCTGTCATGCCACAATCCCTTGCGCACCTTGGAGCAGATATTGACATGTTTTGCGCTCTGGCATGGCTAATTTGACTGCCATCCATGGTCCTTGGCACTCTATAGCCCGTAACCTTTGATTTTTTGGCGACGCTGGCTGCATCACAAGAGGTAGGTATTCGTTGCAAAGCGCTCGCACGGTTTACCCACAAACGTCTCTTACAAAACACCTTTGTTATGCATGGGATCCTGTAGCTGGACTTTACCGACTGGGATGCACGCTATGGCTTGCTCAATGCCTTTGCGGTCGCCATGGACTCAAGCGATACTACCATCTTGGTACGTACGCGCATCAACCCTTTGTGCCGACGTGCCTACTCACCACAGGCCTGCTGCTCCGACGCTTTGAGAGCAGCATGCAGCACTGGGTGCTTGGACACAATGCCTGCGCCAGACCACATTGTGTCAGCTTTTGCTCCAAGACGGCAAAGCTCAAGCATTACGTGATCGTTACGCTCACCACCTTTTGCACGCTCGTTACGAGCTCAAGGTCTGTTCTCCAACCAACGCTGCTCGTCCAGTCGGCGGCACTGCGGAATCTGCGCTTCTGAACTCACACGCCCCCATATGCAACTTCCAGGTTAAGCTGTACTCACAGCTGGCAGACACCATCCTTCGAGCTGTAAGTACAAGTCAGCCAGCCTCCAGTCGCGCCGCGCAGTCCCATATCGTGCACTGTCCTCAACATGCGTCTGTCATATAAATGGATGGTGGACTGTTTAGGAGCCCGAGGCCCTTGGTCCGGTACTTGAAGCGGCCCAGGGTTGGTTCTCTCACTTGGTTGCTTGAGTCTGGGAATTGTCCCCGTATCACGATGACCGCAACAGAATCATTTCTCATACCACCAATATCACATTAGGACGCAAAGTCTGTGCATCTGTGTTTGAAGCCGCTGCCTCTTCCTTTCCGGAGCAAAGTGCCGTTGCCCTCGCACTGCTTGGCTCCCTCTTCACTTTGGCCTGGGCACGTCAGGCAAGTCAAGTACTGTGAACAAGATTTGCAACCATTGCTTTTCTGTTCACCTCACCGCGGGATTTCTGGGACGGGGCGTGGGCATGCAAGCAGGAACTTTTGAACGTGCCGGGCATGCTGGAATATTTGCTCGACCAGCGTCATCCCGAACTTCACGCAGGACGTTTAGCAAAGTATAACGCTGTCCAGGTCTGTTGAGTAAACTCGACCAGGCAACCCCACGCAACGGTGTAATGATGAGACGCCTGATCCCATCTTATGCACATGCCTTGCAAATTGACACAGCTTCTCGTCGAGCACGGTGCGGGCGAGCTGAGTGCCGAAGATCGGCTGGCCCTGCGCGGCGTGTTGCGCGACGGGCCTTTCTCAGTCCCAGTTGAAGCGCGCGTGGCCATTGCTGATGAGGCCGCATAAAAAAGGGCCCTCTCCGTTGGTTTGCATCAATCAAGCTGTAGGTTGTGACATAGGGGTTGCCTGGAGGTCAAAGCACAATTGATCAATTTTTCAAACGAGTGAGACCATGGCAAAGGCAATTTTTTGGTAGCTATCCATCTCCAACAGCAGAGCTACAGCCGTGTTATTGTTCGCCTGCTGCAGTGAGGAGTAGGCGCTTGATCCAGCGTACACCTAAAACACAAAAAGCCATGTCATGCATGGCGCGCGCCTGCACTGTACTGCTTCATGGCCCGCTCTCCCTTTCAACAGTTGCCGTACCTGAATTGAGTTGCCCCATGACAGGCCGTCCGTCGAAGTCTGTGCAGACGCGCGCCCAGGCATGTGCACCAGGGACCCCACAGGACGCGCAGTGAGCGAGCCAAAATCTGCGGTCACGCGATTCCCTCGCTGGGAACCAAGATCCCAACACGAGAAAAAGATGAAGTCAAAGCAGCGGCTTGACTCTACACGAACCTGAATGCTGACATTGGCACGATCGTTGGAATTGGGAAAGGACTGGACAAGAGTGCCTACGCAGGGAGGGGATGGTTGCCAAGATGAACGCACAGCAAAGGGGCAGAGCTCGTTGTTGCAAGCTGTACACGCACCTGTCGAGTCGGGCAGCATGATCGTCGAGCCTTCGCAAACCGTTCCGTTGACCGTCACAACGGGATCGCTCCATGTGGCGCCACCATCCTTGGAAAACGCGACCTGACGATGAGCTTGCGAGGTACGCATGTTCATCATAACGGTACCATCGGGCAGTTCCACAGCCTGGCATTCGTTTCCGTCGGGAATCATAGCACCTCGAGTCCACGTTTGACCATAGTCGTCGCTATAAATGGCCATGGACTGAGTTGACCCGCCTGTGAAGGAGCAACACACATCGATCAACCCGTGGCCCTGTGCCAAGATTAAAAAAAGAAAAAAAAAGATGTCACTGTGGGACGATCAGGCGTACTTGTATGATCGGCGGGCACCAAGATTCGACCAGTATGCAACTGAATACTGCCCGGCGGACCTAACAAGTGGCAACAGCACCGCATCAGTGGCTAAATGTATGCTGGGGAAGCGCAGTTGCGGGGCTTGGTGCCACCGCGACGAACCGGTGGCAAAGAAAGGCCAAGTGGGGTCGACGATGCCGGCGCTCACATCACGAAAGCCGCCCCACGTTTGGCCACCATCAGTGCTATTGAGAAGCAGCATGGCCTGGTTGTTGCGGCAGAAAACGAGCAAAAGGGTCCCATCATGGAGCACAACGGGCGCGGGGTTGCCTATGGTGATGTTCGCCTTGGTCGAGGATTCACCGTACACCACGGCCAGCGCTGACCACGTTTGCCCTCCATCGCTGCTGGTTTTGGCCACAATGTCATTCCAACCATGATCTTCACACGAGAATTTGCGCCCTTCGGCAAAGGCAATGTACGAGTCTGGGGCAAGCAAAAGTGTCACTGTGAGGACTGCACGTGCGTCGCCTGCATGATCTCGCCCAAGCGCCGCCCGTACCGGGACCAAGTTGCACGAGGGATGGGATACGGTAGCAAAAGTACCCCTCTTTGCCACCCTCAAAGACCGTCTAAGCCAAGCAGGAGCCGATTAAGATGCACGTACACGCAAGCACGACACTCGTGCATACACGGCCCAATGTGAAGCCAGTGTGGGCATGCGACAAAACTTTCAGCAGTGGTAAAACTGATCGTCGAGCGTGCCTCTTATTCACCAACCTGAAGATGTGGAGTTGCCACAGCCTGTTTCACCAAGATCGTGCCCAAGCAGAGGAGCACTGCCAGCCAAATGGCTGGCACTCGCATCCTAACATGCACCACCATGCTCATCATGTAAATCAGTGTGTGTGTGTGTGTGTGTGTGTGTGCGAAAAATGCAAAAAGAAAGTCTTGTTGATGTTTTTTTTTTCTTTTTATTGGCAAAGGGCTGTTTCCTTCAATTGTCAGTCTGAACTCGGATTGGAAGGGAGAAGAGGAGACAAGAGCGACGCCGTGCACAAGGATTCAATCCCACGTGCGCGTACACATGTGCACAAAGAATTTCAACATGTGAGCCGGCTTGTTTACGCGACATTTGTACAATCAAACACAATAACAGGGTCACTCAGTGAGCCGAGAGCATGGGGCCGGCTGCGCGGGCGGCTCGAAAGCGCATGTGCTCGGCAAAATTAGCCACTTGAAGCTCCTCGGGTACAACATCGCTCAAAGAGCGAAGCAGCTCACGAGCCGAGGCGCGTTGCGCCGGATCCAACCGCAGCAATCCCTGCATATGGTCCAGCGCAATATTAATGCACGAGCATGAGTTACTGGCCACGCTGCTAAAAGCTGAACGGTAAGTCAAGTCTGAAACAAATGCTAGCACAAAACTACGAGGTACGCACGTCCAAAAGATGCGCTTGATATGGTAGCACCTGGCGTGCCAGACAGACAGACCACGGACGAGGACGCCAAGAAGGGAACACGGTCTGATAATACGGCAAACGCTCCACGTCCGGCCACGTCTGCCAAATCATTAGAGGCCGGCAGAATTAGAATCGGCACAAGCTGCTGCCACACAACAGCCAAGCGCTACACCGGGGACCACTTGTGCTGACCTCGGATGTTGGGGTGCCCAGGCAGCGGAAGATGGCAAACAGCTGAGCAATTTGCGAGTCCAGGGGAAACAACGTGTGCTGCGGGTATGGTCAGGACCGAGTTGGTGAGGGATGACAAGGAAGACTCGAGGTCACAGGTCGAAGAAGGCGGCTGGAGCGATGGTCTTACCCCCGTGAGCAGATGCGCGTACACTGCACCAACTGCCCAGATGTCAAGGGCTGGGCTGCGCGTTGGATGACCGAGCAGAAACTCTGGAGGTTGATACCAACGGTGTACTTTGTTGAGGCCAAGGGGCCAACTTTGTGCGGTTGGTAAGCGTTGAGCAGCGGCCAGGCCTCCGATCCGCACATGGTGCGTGCAGCTTACACGGATGGTTTCGGGCCGCAGATCGCTAAGTAGATGCAGGTTGTCAAATGCAGGACGGCCACACGTATGCATGGTGAGGTGATGGAGCATTCAAACGGTTGTTCATGGATGGGACATGCAAAGCCATGAAGAGCGCCACTACACGCCGGCAGTCTGACCTGTGAACGATGAGGCGCTCGTGAAGATGCGCAAGGCCGGCCAGGATCTGATGGAGGTAATGATCAGCCAAGACGTGGCTTTGTTGGCACCACTCCCGACCAGGATGGTGGATCAGAGAGATGGCTTCACTGAGGTCGTAGTCGACGATGGGTAAGGAGATGTAAGCCGCATCGGCCTGGGTATAGATCTGCAGCCCTGTCAGCAAATTGGGGTGCTTGACCTCGCGCAGCATCTGAACCTCGTGGAGGAATCGAGGGTCAACACCCTGATGGGTGGTTGCATAGTTGCGAATGATGACGGGAGACTGGAGCTGCGCATCGTAGCCCAGGTGTGCCATGCTGCCCAAGCGCTGCAGCAGTGCCGGAGGCACCGCGGTGGCTTGCCTGACGGGCGATGCGGCCGGAGCTTGCGTGGGCTGGTGCTGACTTTGATTGCGGTGTGATACGTGGACAGGAACAGGACGGCGGTCGGCATCACGTGTGGACAGCTCACACGAGTCTTCGGTGGATGCAGCGGCATCAAAGAGGCTGGTCAGGTTGCAGCGGAGACCGAGACGGCGAGGGCGATTCGTGGCGGGGGTTGCATTTTGGGGCTCGACCGTATCAGGGGTGGTTTCCAAGCGGCGGTGCGCAGCAGGGGCTTCCTCGCCATTGGAAGCGAGTTGTGGCTTGGGTCGATCGGGCCGGCGGGGACTAAAGCGGTCGACGACCGGAAGCGCAGGAGCCCGCTGGGCCACGTCCGAGAGTGAAAGGCTGCGATGAGCCGAGCGCGAGGGAAGCACGGCGGAAACGGAAGCGGTGGAGGCGCTTGAGCTGGCCTGGGCCGGTGCATGACTCGAGGTGGCTGCCGTCATTGCCACGGTCGGAGATTTATTGTGAATGGACTCGTCACGGCCGGCCATCACGCCGGCTTCTTCAAGCTGCAGGGGCCGGCGCACCCGGTCGTTGGCGATTGGGGTCTGTGACTTGGTGCGCTGGCTCTTGCTCGCGGGGGTGGAGTGAGCCTGGCTTGAAATGCGACGGCGCAGCGTCCGCGGCGATGACCGCAGCGGAGCCGGCAAAAGTTGATCCGAAGATTCCATGCTGGTGTTTGATGGTCAAGCGGTCAAATGCTATTCAGTGGCAGACCGCGGAGAAATGAACCTGAGGCAACGTCGCCCGTGGTTCAATCGTGCAGTGGGAAGGTCAGTGGAAATGCAGCACATTGGCGGCGGCCCCGGCTGGACCAAAGCAAGGAACACAAATGCAACAGTGGCACAGTGGCACAGTGAGGCTTTCCCACCGAGACGCGCGCACGGACAAGTGCCACCCCCAGGGCGTCGCTCTGTGTGTGTGTGTGAGAGTGAGTGAGTGTGTGTGTGTGTGTGTCTGTGAAAATTGGCGCGCAAACCGGCGCCAAAACCTCGTCTCTCGTCAGACACACAAAAAAAAAGGCGCCGAATGGGGTCACGAAGAGAGCGAGAAGTGAGAAGTGAGCGAGAGAGAGAGAAAGAGAGAGAGAGGGGAGGGTCAGGGAGGTCTGTCTATGTGTGTGTGTAGCAGGGCGGGAGCTCCAAGTGCGTCTCACTCGTGTGTGTGTGTGTATAGCATGTGTGTGTGTGTGTGTGTGGATGTGGAGACCAAGAGATTCAGTGCGCTTGGGCGGGAAGTGCGTCAAAAAAAACCGTTACAACAAACATCAACGGCTTGAGATGGATATGAATTGTTTGGGTAATGTTTTTACTATTTTAGTGATTCAGAATTGTTGTGCTCTTGTTTTGGCGGGAAACGGTCTGTTGCTTTGTCGACAAATTGAGGTGGACTGGATCGCGCAAACGGCGGCGGCGGTCTGGGCCTCCTGGATGAGAAAAGGCAGCAGCTGTGACTTGACATTCAATCGCGCCTAGGCACCCCATGAGTGGTGTTATACTGACGGTGGGCTGCGCCTGGATGAAAAGGCAACAACTGAGATTTGACCCGCTCACACATTCAACTCAACTACTCGCCTGCGTGCGCCCTAGCTCGCCATAAACAACTTGTTACAAAGGATCAATGCTGGTTTTTCTTGCTTGCAGCTGTGCTCACGGCAGGAAGGAGAAGGCACACCCTTGTTGTCGTCGATGGGCCATGTACCCTTTCTTCACGCCGTGTTTGTCTAGCAGACGTACCGTTTCATTAGGAGAAAAAAGTATAAGTCCTGTCCAAAGCCATAAAGGAAACGAAAAGCCACATAAAGTGCCAACATTGTTAAATGACAAGTATACGGCAATTTAAACCTGTCTGGTCGGTCAAAGGCTCGGCTCTGGCTTGCTGTTCAACTACCTGGGCGCACCAGCCAGCGTCGCAAGTCGCGCCGCGATTGCTCGCCGCGGGGCTCGCATCGGTTGCCCAAATGCTCTTTTCAATTTTCCCCAAATTTTCCAATAATTTCTGATAATTTTCCCACTTGTTGTCAGCTTTTTTTAAAAACCGAGTTTTTCATTTTTTCATTTTTTTATTTTTTCGTTTTGTGTTCTTTAAGCTTCGACCGGTCGGCGGCAGTGGCCAACAACATGGCGGCTCCGACGTCTGATGAGGACAGGTGTGTGCTTGAGTCTGTGGGAGAGCCTTTTTTTCTGATGAGACGTCGAGTTTGTTGCGGATCATGTTCTTAGCGCTGCGGCCTTTTTTTTCGCCTGTCCGGCTAGGTTTGCGGTTGAGCTCGAGTTTGTTCAATGCTTGGGCAACCCACGCTATCTACAGTGTACGTTCGATTCATCAGCGCGCACTCGACATTCCCCCGCGGCCAGCTACCGCGTCTTTGTGTCTTTGTATCCGGCCAATGATGGTTTCATATGCTTCGACTCAATGTCTGCTTGCTTTTGCTTCTTGAATCACGGCCTGTTGAACCTCGGATGGTGGTGGACTCTGGGTCATATCCACTGGCGTTTTCGGGGTGGGCTGGGCCTGTTCGTTGCCCACGTGCGTCTTGATAGTCCTGGCTTTCGAAGGCTATCTGCAGGATGATGCTTTTCTCAACTACCTGCGGTATCTTGAGTACTGGCGGGAGCCGGAATATCGACCCTACTTGACCTTTCCAGCGTGCTTGGAGTATCTTGAGCTGCTTCACTCGGCCGAGTTTCGGGCAAGCCTGGCCACGGAGAGCACCATTGCGCGCATCGAGAATCAGCAGCTCCTGCATTATGCCTTTAGTCACATCAAGCGTGCTGCCCCTGGCTCGGACGGCGAGACGCGCAATCGAGCCGTGGCCCAAAAACGGCTCCGTGTGTTCGCTGGTGTTTTGAGCGAGATCATAGATGGCGAAATGTATGATATGTTGATGGGCAATTGATGATGTGCATTTTTATTTCGTCTGACTCAATATTGTCTCAACTCGTTGGAAATAGCAAGCACCGCCGGCTACTACTGCTCCATCAACCCGGACAACTTAACGAGCCTCTTGGCTGAACCTTGTTCCGTTGCTCTTGCGTCGTGTGTAGTGCATGTAGGCCAGATGGCTCAGTTTGGCTTGCTCTGCTCGCCGTGGCTTGGACACGATTCATGCGCTCGTCCGTTGCCAGCGCTCTTCTTTTTGTTTCTAAAAATTTGTTTCCTCTTCATCTGTGAATGTCCTGGAAGAGCGAGTAATGTCGCACCGAGTGCGCTCGCCCGTTCCATCCGTCATTGGTTGACCATAACCAATCGAGTTGACCCCCCCCTCCATTCCCTTCCAATCGATTGCTTCACCAGGCCTTCTTCCCCACTGCCCAGCCCCTGTGTAACCTTTTTTTGATGACATTCTTCAACCCGCTTAGTGTGTGCATGTGTGTGTGTGTGTGTGCTTTACTCCATCTTTTCAACAGTCGGTCGAACGGAGCAGGACTGGCACTGACTGCCATCGGGTCGCGCGCGCCTCACGCTTTCGGTGATTGTACACACGGGTGCTATTTGTAACAAACGCTTGGGAACGCGTAAAGGTGGTTGCCCATTTCGACCGCCAACATGGATCAGGATGGTGCAAGCAAGATGCAAAATTTCAACCGCATCGCGGTGCCCTTTTTGAGCTCGGGCATGCTGGTGATTGCACTCGGGGCCACGCTGATGCTGACGCGCAGCGCAGTCCCGCGCTTTCAGCTTGAGGGTCGCCTGGGCATGGTCCTCAAGCTTGGCGTCCTCATTGCTGGCCTGCAGATCCTCATTGGCTACTTTCTCCTCTTCAGTGCCGTCCAGTACATTGCGCTTTCCCTCATGCTCCTCCCTTGCATCGCAATCTACGGCCTCATGGCCACGGTCCGTCATACAATGACAGCATTTCCCCGCATGCTTTGGCCTTTGATTGGTGTGCTTCAACTCAACACGGATGCTTGTTTTGACAATCATTGTGCAGGATCCCGTTTTCATCATCATGTATGCGGCCATCCAGCTCTACATGCTGCAGTACATCTCAATGATAAATGGCACGCTCTCCAGCAAAGACAACTGCCAGTCCACCTTTTCGCCCAAGCACGACGATTTTTGCAAAGAGTGCGTCATTGCCTGCCCTCGATTCCATCGATCGCATTCCACCCGTCCCTTCTTCTTGCTTGGGCGCGATCTGTTGTCTGCTTTGTCAAAACTCACGGTCTTGACCTGGCGTGCCTGGTGCCTGCACGGTTACATCCACGTGTAGCGGCTGGAGCGTTTTCCTCATGCTCATGAGCTTGGGCTACCAGTATTTCATGTACATGCAGATCTTTCTTTGCACCTGGATGTTCTCACGATTCCATCTCGGTGCGCAGCCCACATCGGAGACCAGCCCCAGCGCACCTTTGCTCGGTAACAGCGGCGGCTCGTCCAAGCCATCCGGGACCGGGTACGAAACTTTGCCCAGCAATGGGGGCTACCAGGCCGCTGCTCTTGCCTCGGAAAGCGACAGCAAGGGCAATCAGCCCCCTCCCTTTTGAGCTTGGCAACTGGCTTGTCGCCTGCCCAGCCGGCTCTCGGCATCGTGCCTTAAAACGCAGTCGATTACTTTCCATCCATTTGTGATGCGTCCTGTCGGTTTGCTCACTGGCATGCCGTGTCAACGGTGTTTTCGTTCTTCGTGCTCGCCGTAGTTGATGCATCGAATTTTGACCTTTTAAGAATCTGTCACATGCTTCTGTGCGACATCAGTTGCAAAGCTTGTTTGCGTGTAAGGGGAGCTTTGGCAAGCAACGGTTCAAAGTGAAGCAAAGGCAGCAAGGGATGGTCACCTCCAAAGGCCTGACAAAGGTTAATGGATGAGCAAACAGGGAAACCATACACACTCGATGCTGACACCAACCGTTGGCGACGCCGGAGAGCGAGCATGTTTAGTCTCTGACACAGGCTTCATCATTAACAAGCAGCAGCATATCCTCTCCCCTCCTACCAACAGTGTCGACTCGATTTGCCTCGAACACACATTACGAGAAATTGTGTGGCGCGATCTGAAGAAAGCCTTTGACTACAGAACGCCCAAGGGACGCGTATGGCATAAACACCCCATCTTCCTTGCCAACGGGCCAAAAACGATCAACGTGGCGGTGTGTGGCGTTGTCGCTGCTTTTTCCGGTCTACGTTTGTGCCATCACAGGTCAGCTGAACCTGCTCTGCCAGCAGCCGTGTTCGACATGGCGGGGCCATCCGGGTTCGGGCCACCATGAGGTGTCGGAGCGTCGGAGATGGACGCCTTCCAAGTCACCAAAAGTCTCTTTCCCCTTCACCATCTCTCTCTGCAATTGACTGCAAACTGGTGACATCCCTCTGAAACCCGTAAAGATTTGGCTACAAATTGACCCAAGTAAATCAGCAGCTGATCCTCATCTCTCCATACGTTTTTGATCTTGCCACTATCCCTGGTTCTTACGTTGTTCGTTACTGTGCTTTTTGTCAAAAAAAAGAAAAAAATGGTTCGAGTGATGACGCATTTTTTTTTTTTCTGCGTTCCTCTCTCTCTTTTCTCTCTCGCGCGCGCTCGCTCTCTGTGACGACGACGGGGGCTGAGGTGGGGGAGCGTTGGGCTTTTGCCCCTCTCGATCGGGCGTCCAGGGTGAATCGCGGCTGGTATTAATGGTTTCTGGGCGGCAGGCCTGAATTTGGTACGTTCATGTTTGATTGTATTTGGTGGAGCCAGACGTGTCGCTCCTCCTTCTGTCTGGCTCTTTCAGCGATTGGGTTGGGGCTTCGTGGCTTTCGCCTCCTGCCCAGCTTGATATCTACTCCTTCTGCGATACCACCCAATCTCTTGGATACTCGTGCTTGCGGCCGTGCCTTGTGTCCTGAGCAAGACTGATATTTGCTTTGCCACCTTTTTTGTTGTGACCAGCTGTTGACTGCCGCACCCCAAAATTGTCTTGCCCATGGCGACCGGGATCTAGATACAATGATGCTCACTCCGGAACCCACGACCCGGGCCGGCCGGGCGCCTCGTGGCTTGGAAGACTTTGAACGTCTCAAGCTCCTGGGCAAGGTCCGTTTGCCCACTCTCATTGCCGCCTGATGACATCGAGTGTCGCTTTGCTTGATCTTGCGCGCTCGATTTGGTTTTGTCAGGGCTCCTTTGGGCAGGCATGGACGGTCCAGCACCGGCACACTGGCGAAATTTTCGTCGCAAAGGCCATCAAATGCTTCAATCGGCAGGACTTGGAAGATGCCCTCAACGAAGCCCATGTCTTGAGCAAGGTGAAGCACCCTTTTATCGTTGGCTACCACGACGTGATCAAGAGCAGCGCCAAACTGGGTGGGTCTACCCCTTCTCGTTTCGTGGATGACTTTGACGTGTTGTATTTGGGTCCAGCCTTTGCCACGCTCACCGTCTCATGATTTGTACCGGGGTCTTTGTGCTCACGCCCTTTGGACTGACAACAGTCACCATGTAAGTGGTTCGCTGCTTGAAACATTGCACACAATTCAGACGGGGCCGCCTCTCGGGTGTCTTTGTTCGCCTCTTCATTCTCACATGCTCACATGCACGCGCTCTACATTGGTGATGTAGCCTAATGGAATTTTGCTCGGGTGGCGATTTGAGCGAACGTATCGCCCGTCGCAAGTATCGTCACGAGTTTTTCGATGAGGCTCTTCTTCGCACCTGGTTTGTCCAGGCTACTGACGCCGTGGCCTATCTTCACAAACGCGGCATTCTCCATCGCGACATCAAAACTGGCAATCTCTTCATTACGGTACTTGCCCGCTCTGCTCGAGCATCTTTGTTATCGTGATCGTCCTTGCCCTCTCCCCCAGCTCTCACCCCAAATTATCCTTTGACGGATTCCCATGTGCAGACAAATGACGTTGTCAAGCTCGGTGACTTTGGCATTTCGCGCATCTTGCCCCACAACGCTGTAGCCCCTGCAGAACGCACCACTCGCACTCCCGTCGGCACCCCCATGAACATGTCCCCGGAGATTTGTCGTGGTGAAATCTGTAAGGCCTACGATGAGGATGCATCCAACTGAATCAGGTCTTCTAGCTGCCCGCCGAGGCACTGCACGATCGTCTGCGTGTCGCTCATGGTCGAATTCTCCCTTGCCACGTCTCTTTGCCTTAGATGGACAGAAAGCAGATATCTGGGCGCTGGGCTGTGGTGAGCGAGAATTGTGCCTGCGCACACTCGACCCTTTTTTTTATTTTTTTTTTTGAGCCTGTCTTACCTTGGATCATGGTGGTTGTTGATGCTCGCTCCAGTTTTGTATGAAATGCTCAGCCTGCGACCTGCCTTTATGGCTTATGATATGCAATCCCTTGTACGCAAGATCAAACACGGTGCGTGACAGGATTCCAAGACAATCTTCGCCAGCTCTTCGTTTGGGTGTGGGGATGACCGCGTGCTTCCCTGCACTCTATGCTTCTCAGGCCACCACGATCAGCACATCCCCAAGCGCTATAGCTTGGACTTTCCGGCCTTGGTTTCGGACATGCTGCTAGTTGATGCCAGTCAACGTCCGACTGCTTCCGAAATTCTCAAGCGCACATTCTTGAGAGAAGCCCATCGTGAGGCTCGAGCTTTGGCCAAGTCTCTAGTCCGGGCCACCAATGTGCCACCCTCTGCGATGGCCCCCCCTGCCGAGCCCTCGCGGCCAGCGTCCCCTGACATCCTGGTGCTTGATGATGTGGGCGCAGAGGACGCAGCATCAACTTCACCAGTAAGCTTGCGTTTAGCCTGTACTCATTGGTTATCCATGCCAGGAAGTGTTTTTTCCCTGAGCTTCACCTCATGGCCCGCATCCCTCGCTTCAGGTGAACACCACAAAAGCTCTGGCTGCACCGGCCCCTGAGGTGACGCCACACGTTGATCATTTGGGTCGTCGCCAACAAGCGTCCCCAGGAGCTTCGCCTCGACTGCCCCGCAAATCAGCGCCCAATCTACCAACCGCACATGTTTTGGATAGCCTTTTGAATGACGCGGGCCCGCAGATACCTGCGCGCCTCGAGGGCCAGCAGGATCGCCGTCGCTCGCGGCTCAGCGACAGACAATACTCGGACCCAGGCGCGGCACCCCACCACGTGCCACTGGGCGGGTCACCCCCTGCCAAGGTTGTTCACCCCCTGCCCATCACCCCGACCGCTGCGCGTCGGCCTGCAACTAAGCCGCGCAGCTTCAGTGATCCGGCAGCCATGGAGGATCGACGACAGCGGCCCCACCTTCAATGGGCCTCACCACAAATGCGGGCCCTGGGCGCAGCCGGCATGCTGGGTGGTGGTCTCTCTCCACGCAGCTCACCGCTAATACCACGGCGCAACAGCCCGGCCTGGGGTGGCCAACTTCGACCCAACAACGGAGGAGAAGTGGGTGAAGGCCTTTCGCCGCGGATTGGACGGAAACCCTTTACGCCACGGTCGGAGCAGCCAGCTCGTTTACACAACTGGCTTGGCACACGAGACCAACGCTATGAGCGACGCTGAGCGAAACTCACTTGTTCGAGTATCCTGTCAAACCCCGCCCGTGGTCATTCATTCGTGGCTTGTGTAGATTTTGATCCGCTTTAGCGCTTTACGCCATGACTTGGCAGCCAATGTGCATACGATGGAAGAAGATTCGTGCGGTCGGGCCAAAGGCTTTGGGTGTGTGGCTTTGCCAGGACTGGTGATGGTCTGTTTTGTTTTTTAATTTGTTGGTGGTGTTCATGATGTACAAAGATGTGGGATGCTGCTGCCAGAGCCTGTGCGGTATCATTGTTCAATTATTAGGATATATCATGTTATTATAGGGTCGTCAAGGCGGGGTTTGTTGATCGATGGTGCTGCTTAGTTTGACCTTTATTGCTCTGATTTAGAATGGCTACAATCGAGTTCGTAGTCCATCCAATCCTGCTCGTCATGCAACAGCAATCACAGGGCAAGGATCTCGGGTTGGCGTTGTTGAAGAGCTGACCGAGGCTTGGGTCTTCGAAGGGCGCCAATATCGGCCAAGCCAGGCTCGCAGGGGTGCAAGGGGCGTGTCTGCTGCTTCTCGACGAAAGATGGGCACACTAACAGGAGCCCATTGAAGCAAAGACAGGCAGGATGAGCGGTGCAAAGAACGGTGGGCTGTGGGCGGCGAACAAAGTCTGTGAGGTAGACAAGCTGCCAAAATGCCAGGGGTCCTGACCATACCTATCGGCGTGGTCGTAACGTAGATTGGGGATAGCAGGGGGCTGTAGTCGCAGATAACGGTCTTGCAGGACCTGTTGCATGTTGTTATTGCAAGCGTCCGCGGTAGCATTGTTTAGCAGCTTGAGGATCCAAGGAAGCCATTGCCAGACGCCCCAGTCCAGGTTGGCGGAAAAAGCATATTGCCGCGAGACGGCACCACCGAGCGAAAGAACGGAAACATCTCGCACACTCAGGGCAGGGAACGCAGCCAAAACCCGCGCCATGCCCGACAGGGAGGGGTTGGCCGCGAACACAGTTCCGTCAATGTGGTTCTATCCGGAAAAATATATCACACAAGCATGGTCGGGTGGGTCAGGGGCAAGCGATGCAACAACCAACGACACGGGACGGGCGGTGCAGATGGGCTTGAGTTGACAGAAAGGGCGATGCAGAGGACTTGGGCAGACAAAGTCTTACGTTATGGATGGCATAGTAGGTTGGGGTGGCGGTGGCGCGCATGGCAACTTCAACAAGTGGCAAGTCGAGGTCGGGTTCGTGTGCACCCCGCCCGCGGGGCAGGTTGGTCAGGATTGTAGGTTGCCAATGACGCGTTGGTTGTGGGGAAGGCAATTCCTGCTCATCCGGGCTGCCCGCGAGATCAAAGGCGGCCACGGCCACCCAATGCTGACAGTCGCGCAGCGTGGCTTGACCAAAGCAGCGACGCAAAAAGGCCTCCTTGGCATGGTCGCTGTGTGAGTTCCAGAATGGGGCCACAATACGCCAGTTGAAGCCGGTCGGAAGCCAGCTGAGATGTTGCTCCATCTCGTGTTCGTAGAGCTGCGCCACCTGCCGGCTCGAGTAGCCGTAGGCCAGCATGAGCGCGGTGACGGCGCCGAGCGAGGAACCGACATAGACATCGGGCTGTTCGTCAAACTCGGGTTCCTGCGCAAGTAGACGGCAGAGGAGGGAGATGTGAAAGATGACGTTGGCTCCAAGGCCGTCCAGAGCCAGAATGCGACAGCCATGGCTGTTGGCATCAGACGAGTTGTCGAGGTACAACGGGCGTTGACCCTCTTGACGCCGGTCTGGGACAAAGGGGGGTGGGGGTAGCGGCGCCCTGCGGCTGCTGGCGGTGATGCCAAGCAGGTCGGAGGAGCCTCGCAGCCGCGAGTTCTTGCGTGGGGTGGCGCTAGCTTCACGATACCTATCCAAGAGACGCATGGGCAGAAAACCGCAGAAGACAAAGAGTCGGTGTGAGGGGGTCGTCGGTCAGATGAGTCGTTGAGCGAGATGTCTGGGAACGTACGGTCCCACAACACGCTCGATCATATCGAGCATGATAGCCCATAGCGCTTGCGCAGCCATCTTGCGCGATGTCGCTTGACCCTCAACCTATGCCACCACCTATTTCTTGACTGGCAACTGGCGACGAACGGGTCAACTGCAGCGACGGCAGCAGCAGCAGCGATGAAAGCAGGCAGGCAGCAGCAGCAGCGATGAAAGCAGCAGCAGCAGCAGAGAGAGAGAGAGGAAAATGGAGCGAGAGCAGAAAGGGGTGTGGATGACGAAATACCACAAGTGCAGGTTAACGACAATAACTACAGACAGAGCATCACAAACTAAGCTGGGACTTAATATCAAAACCACTAAAAGTCTTAATATTACATCAATAAGTCCTTCACCTTGTTTCCTGAATGTGTGATGGTTACAACTCGCCACCCAACAAATTTAGTTATTCTGACTGCATTCGCCAAAAAGATTTGATTCTCAGAATCACTTCGTGAAAAACTCGAAGCCGACAACTTTATCCAGTATAACTCATCCTTACAGAAGGATCTCTGTTGTGTGTGAACTGGTACCTGGTATGGTTTGTGCGTGTGTGTGGGATCTTTGTCCCCCATGTGTGGCTTTTGCCTTTCATGCGTGTGGTGATTTCGCTCTTGTGTCACGTTGTTATCCCTTCTTCGTGTATGTTGAACCGGATCTGAGCGTGTGGGCGATCTCACGTTGGAGTGTGGTGTGTGGTGTCCCGTGTTTGATTTTGAAATTGTGGCACGGGTCATCATGGTTGGGCATCTGCGCCGGCGCGCTTCGGGGCAGCTTCGGCAGCCGCTGATGATCAAGTTGCTCTTGGTTGGCGTGCTTCTCGTCGTGTCTGGATCGGGGCTGGTAGAGGCTGCTGCTAATTGTACCGTCAGTCAAAAGGTGGATTGTGGCTACAGCGGTATCAACCAACAGGGCTGCCAGGCCAAGGGCTGCTGCTGGCAACCCGTCAATCCTAATCCCTCCAACCTGCCGTGGTGTTTTTTCCCGGCTGGTGGTCCTGCTCCGCCGTCGCCTCCAGCCCCTCCGTCGCCGCCTGCTCCGCCGGGCCCTACGCCCCCTCCTCCACCCCCGCCCCCGGTGCCCCCGGCCCCCGGCCCGGATCCATTGCCTGGCTGCCAGACGTACAACGACAACCAGTGTTCGGGTCCGTTGTCGCGCTGGTTGACCGCGCTGAACCAGTTGAAAAATTCACCGAGGAATCTTCTGTCATTTCCTGGCTTTCTCACCGTCTCGTTGGTCCCTTGCGCACGACACAGGCAACAACATCACCACTCCTGATGAGTTCGAGCAACGCCGCTGGGTGACCCCGCCCCGCAATAGCTCCTTTTATCAGCCCGGCTACCAAGACTACGATCGCCTTGTCGGTGCTGCTCACATCGTCTACACTGACACATCTTATCAAAAGGCAACCGTCACCATCCGCTACCTCCATCGCGATCCCAGCGCCACCGTCGTCCTGTACGTCAATGGATCCAAGACCAGCAACCTTACTTTTGCCGCGGACGCGACTCGCTACACCACTCCGCTCGAGCTTCGTCTCGAAGCAAGTGACGGTGCTGTCCTTCGCCTCGAGCCTCTGGATTTCCGCTGGAACAATGCCCCTCTGCCTTCGCTCGCCGGAGACTACCGCAATGGCCAGAAAGGCGCCATTGTGGAGTTCTTCGGTTGGCCCCACCAGTATGACCCACTCTCAAGCGCTGCCCAATTTGCTCGTGCCCGTCTTGCGTTGGACGACTTTTGGGCATATGCCTGCTAAAGCCTTCCCATCACTGCACGGTGCTTTCTCTGCCCCCTCATCGCTGTAGAGCTATCGAACAAGAATGTGCATTCCTTGCCAAGGCCGGATACGCTGGTGCCAAGGTCTTCCCGCCACAAGAGCAGGTTATGAGCTCTCAACCCTTCCAAAAGTATGCCCACTTTTGTTGCAAAAGCGACATTGTGCAGCACCCGCCTCCATCGCACTCGTTGTGCCAGCGCATCCTGACACCCATGCCTGTTGCCCGCCGCCTTGGCACAGTGACCTGAACCCGTGGTACTTTATGTACCAACCCGTCTCGTACCGCTTGCAGGGTCGAATGGGTAGCCGTGACGATCTGCGGAGTCTGATTACAACATGTCGTCGTATGGGGGTGCGACTCTACGCCGATGCCGTCGTCAATCACATGACGGGTGGCGGCAATGATGCTTGGCCCACCCATCGCAGTGCCAGCGGCAGCAGTTGTACATACTGGCCCGCCAAAACCTCCTCCGCCTCTGATCCGAGTCCTTACTATACTCAGGTCAGCAAACTAGAATCCGCTGTACCAAACAGCTTGGAAACAAGCCCCTCGGCGCCGTTGTGCCATCGTTGCTGGGTAATATTCTTTCTCAACTCGCATTTGCTAATTGCCTCGGCCATCATGCGTGCAACAGGACTTTAATTACTTTCATAGCAACAACACCAACTTGCCGCCCTCGCAAGAGTTTCCAGCCGCGATGTATGTCAAGATCCCCCCCCTTTTTGTTTTGAGATGAAATGTCATTGCAGCAGCACTGCTCGATTCCGCAATACCCTCTTTTGTTTTCACCACTTGCTTGGCATGCATCAGGTATGGCCCGACCGACTTTCATTGCGAGCGGGCGCTGAACTCCTGGACCGACCCTTTGGACCTCAACGCCGGCTGGTTGACAGGTCTCACTGATCTCAACACGGAGCGGGACAACGTGCAAGAACGCATTGCCGACTACATGACCGACTTGCTGTCCATTGGCTTCAGCGGCTTTCGTGTCGACGCTGCAAAGCACATCCAGCCTCCCGACCTGGCGGCCATCTTTGCCAAACTTGCGCGCAACATGGGTGGTGCTTTGCCCGATGACTTTGTTGCTTGGCTTGAGGTATGCCATGGGAACAGCTCCTTTCAGTCCAACCTCAGCTTGAAGACTAGCCTCCCTCTGCTGCAAGGTCACTCGATTGCTGGCTTGCCCTGGAAATGCATGCAGATTCTTCTTGGAGGCGAGAGCGATATGCTAATGTGCGATCCCAGCTCGGGCTACAACTATGGCGCTGGTCTTGTTGATGCCCTGCGTGCGCAGGGCCTCAGTGATACGGACATTGACAAGGTGTGTACGTGGCTGCCGTCTCTCATGCACGCAGAACTCAAGCAGGTCCGCACCTCAAAGTTCCAACCTTGGTCCGTTGCACATCAATAGATCAAAATTTGGAATTCGGGCTATCCCAAAGAGCCGGAGTTGGGTACCTGTACCATCAACAAGACACGATCTGCCATCCAAAACGATGATGCCGACCAGCAAAATCCGGGTTCAACCTCCCGTGATATGGGCAGTGCAGGCTGCGTTTTGATCAAGGATTGTGAAAATGCCGACCAGCATCGCCAATTTGAAGTCGAGCTCTTCAACAGGTTGGTGTCCCTGCTGCCACCTGGCACTGGCATGGCTGATCAGACTGCTTGATTCATACCCTATTCAACCACCTGTTCCAATGCTAGTCCACCCGGTGCGGATGACAATGACAACGATTACCCATTGCGCATGGTTCTTTCCTCCTTTTGGTGGTACAACAACTCCGAGGGCATTCCCGACGGTAAATCAGACTGCAGTCTCTGCACCACCACTTGCGATGGATGCCGCAGCGTTCCGTACATGCCTGCCTATAACAATGCCTCCGTGGGCTACGATCAATCCGGCTACACCCGTGTGCACCGTGATGCCAGCATTATTGCGGCCATGCGCGCCTGGATGCATTTGAACTGACTAGAGGCCGTACCATACACGCTGGTCAGATAACACCTTTTGGCCCAGCGCTGTGCCAATCTGCAATATATGTATGAACTTAATCTTGCCCATCAGCGTTTCAAGTTTTGCTCTGATGAAATTTTCTCGAGATTATCAGTCGGTAAAAAAGAATCAGGGTTCCAAAATAGCCTACTGCGCCTTTTTCTCAGCAGCCGGCAGTGCTCGCGGAGCGCTCGAGGCCGGTACGGCGGGCGTGGTCGAGGAAGGCTCTTCACCGCCTTCACCTGTATCATAGTCACCCTTGCGCGAATGATCGACGCGATAGATCCAGCGTTGGTAGAGATAGATCAAAAAGATGATGTCATCGCGAAAGCAGGCAATGCGGTGAGCCGTGGGCATGTGGATGATAAAGGCAAAAAGGTCATCAATGATGGTGTTTAGGAAGCGATAAATCATCATGCGCCAAGGCATGTGGGCCACGCTCTGCAGCTTGTAGTTGATGAAGAGCTGCGGTGTTTGCGTGATAAATCCTATCGGGGAAAAAAGAAAAAGAAGAAAAAGGCGCACGGGTTTCGAGTCAGCTTTTCATCAGAGGTACCATGATGCAGAAATCAAGTTTTGACTGACCAAACACGTAGACGGCGCCAGCCAAGACGCCCACGGTGAAGCTGTACAGGCCCTTGTGTTCCTCGTACACCAGGCTATAGATGGCATAGCCTCCCAAGCATGGGTACAACACCCAGGACAGGTATTTCCAGGCTAGCTCGTCGTATTTGCGCGTCGTGGAAGCATAGTCTGCTTTGTCGTGCAGCACCGGATATGGCAGAATGCCGCGGACATAGCGAATCTAATGTGTATCGAAGCATGCCAGCCATGGGGCAGAGTGAGCACCAGAGAAGGTAAGAGAGGAAAACAGGGCATGAACTGCAACGCATTGATGAGGGCCGCCACACCTCAACATCCGAAGCCTTGGTGATCTTCCAAGCCTGGATCAAAAGACCAACGCCCGAGCTGATAACGACCATCCAGGATGCCTCCTACAATTTCAAGCCATCGATACGGGGCAACTCAATCATGACATGCAAAAGACACTGGTACGCAGTCAAACCCGTCTAAAGCCACACTCGCAGCTCTCGTCCCTCCCCTTGCACTGGCTATCAGGCGACAGTTTGGGAGTTGCATGTCCAGCCCACTCACCCGGTCCAGAAGATAGAGGAAGATGATGACCTGTGTAGCCAGGCTAATGAGGATGGCGCGAAGGGAGAGTCCCTCCATGCTTTTACGTTGTTGCCAAAACTGAATATCATTTTTAAACGCGAGGCAGTCAAAGATGGTGTGGAGGAGAGACACGACCATGGTCAAGCCCAAGTACCACGGGTTGGTTTCAATGAACATGCGTTTCATGGACTCGCTCTGTGCTTCGGTCGACGTGCCAAAGGCGGTTTGCATATCAAAGCTCTTCTGCATTTGCGCTTGAAACTGCCACCGAAGGAGGGACACGGGCACAAAGCGCAGTCGCAAAGGCACGGTGGGCGTCGTCGTATTGAGCGGATACCGATCGGTGCTCAGCTCCCAGAAGCGATCAACGTGAAACGTCGGGGCAAAAGTATGGGAGCTTTCGTTGAAGGACACGAGGGATGTCAACTCGGGGGTAAGCTGGCGTGGGTGAAGTGGGGTTTGATCCGTCAGCAAAGCCACGGTGATGTTTTCGTGCCAATAGGGTATCCAGAGAGCTTTCTCATGGTCGGTCGTTGCTGCTGGTGTGGACACGACCTCGGTAGCTGGGGCACCACTCAAAAGGTTGTGCTTGGTCGAGGCAGTGGGGGGTGGGAAAAAGCGGATCAGACGATCCGTAAAGCGCAGCTCAGCAGGAGTGCAGCGTTCGCGAGCCGTGGTGGTGCTGCATGCCACGCGTTGGAGGGAGGCATGCACATACAGGGAACCATTGTTAGCGAGCAGCGGTGCCATGTCTTGCTGCAGGTCAATGGAAAAGACACCGTCCTTCTCCGGGCCAGCGGTCCAATCACCATATTGCAGCTTGGGTAATGCCCAAGTGGGTTGAGCTGATGCACGCTGTGCGGTCGAAAAGTCTGATTCTTCGCTCACAAAAATCTGCAAGCTAAGTTGATCGCCAAAAGTTAAGAGGGGATAGTATGCGCCTCCGCTCAAGTTGGCGGGTGGCATGGTCACGTTGCCCGCGGTGATGTTCTGAGAGCTGGGGCTGCCAAGAAAATTGCCGTTGAAGAGGCCTTGAATGGACCAGAAAATTACGAGCTGAATAGCCATCTGACGCACAATCTCAAACCAAGACATGCGCTGCTGCGGTGCCTCAGCCTGAGCCACGTCAGCGGTTGACTCCTGCTCTGCCCCAGACTCGGCCGAACCAGCAGCCGCCTCATTGACAGGCATGACTGCCGTCTCGCCATTCTCACTCATGCTGATCCAACAGTCTATCTATCCCCAGCAGAAACAGAGGCAACGAGCGCCAATACCCCGGCCCCCCCACACACTCGCCGTCCGGCCTCAAATCAGAAGCACACAAGTCGTTTCGTTCGCCAGAAAAAAAAACAAAAAAAAAACGTTCAAAAACACCGCGTGAACGGAAGTGTAACAAATTCCTCACTTTACATGTATTCATGGTCACGCACAGCGCTGACGTTCTCTCTGGTTCTGGCGTTTGTTTGTCGCGCCATCTCTGATTCTCACTATAAAGCTTAATCTTTTGTACTCTTTTAGAAGGTGTTTGCTTTCCCTCTCTCGCTTCTCCTTGCGCTAGTACACTCTCTGAACGATTTTATTTTATTTATTTTTTTTTTTTTGAGGGCGACGTCGACAGTCGTCAACTCTCTCTCTCTCTCTCTCTCTCTCTCTCTCTCTCTCTCTCTCTCTCTCTCTCTCTCTCTCTCTCTCTCTCTCTCTCTCTCTCTCTCACTCGTTCTCACGCTCGTGACTGTTGTGGCTCCTGTTTGGAGCGACACTTGATCTCCGCTTCGGCCGACGCAAGGGCTTTGGCGGGGGTGCGGAAGTGCTGGTTAGAACACGTTTGTGGGTGCTTGTAACCACGGGGTCGAGCGTGGACAATATGCCGCCGGGGTTGGATGACGACCGTCGCGAGGCGGGTCGTCGTGACAGTCGTGACCGAGGCCGTAGTCGTGACCATGAGCGACGGGAATATAGCCGAGACCGTCGCGATGACCGATATCGCCGCGATGACCGAGACCGCCGCGACGACCGAGACCGCCGCGATGACCGAGACCGCCGCGACGACCGAGACCGCCGCGACTACGGTCGGGATCGTCGGCCTTATGACGACGACCGGCGTCGAGGTGCTGAACCGCGCCGCGAATCCTACCACAGTGGCCCACCTTCCGAGTTTCGTGGGCGTGGAGGTGGCGGCGGCGGTCGTCGAGGTGACGGTAGGTTGGCTGGGCGCCTGCATCTTCATCTACACGAACTTCTCACTGGCTTGCTGCGCGTGCTTGTAGTGGATGAAGCGTTTCTCGAGCAGCGCCGCCTTAAGCGGGCTGAGCTAGCAGAAAAAATTGTGACGGGCGTATGGGCCCCTTCCCCAACCCCCCCAGAAAAGATTGATGATGACAGTGAAGACGACCGTCGCCGTACGTTTTCGACGTGCCCGGTCCTTGCCCATGAGCTCATGAGAGCCATGCGAGGTGCTGCCGTTACTTTGACTACACATTTGCTTTTTTTCGTAGGTCGGCACCATGTGTATTCCAGCGATGATTCAGACAGCGAAGTCGAGGCGGAGCGTCGGCAGCGCAAGCGTGACAAGAAGAAGCATAAGAAGGAAAAGCGGTCGAAAAAGTCGAAAAAGTCGAAAAAGTCAAGACGCCGTCGTGACAGCTCAGATAGCTCAGATAGTCGCTCAGCTTCTGAGGATGAGTGGGTTGAACCAGGTATGAAATTCACGAGTGCTGCCGCTCTGTGCCCGATGTCAGGCGCAGAAGCTCCTTGTCGTCTGCGGATGTTCAGGTGTACTTCACTGTTGTTGCCGTCCCACCGTTCTCTCGCTGATCCAACGGTCTATTCTCCGTGTGCAATTGGTGCAGAGGCAAGTGCAAAGGCCGTGGTACCGGCGGACGACCACGACGATTATTCAGACGAGAGTGAAGACGAGGTGATTGGCCCAGAGCCATTTACCAAAGCACAACTCAAGCGTCGCGATCTCGGTGGTGCGCTTTTGGCGGGCGAGGGTGAAAACATGTTGGCATACATTGAAGAAGGCAAGCGTATTCCGCGTCGTGGTGAAATCGGTTTGACGTCAGACGAGATTGCCACCTTTGAGGACCAAGGTTTTATCATGTCGGGCAGCAGGTTCGTTTTGCTCCTGTTTGCTCGCGTTTCTCCTTCTACTCGTGTTTTTCATTCTGCAATGTTCAAGCACCGCTCACGGTCTGCTTGTTCTGGGATCGTTGATCACAGGAACCGACGCATGGAAGCCGTGCGTTTGCGAAAGGAGAACCAGATTTTGGATGCCGACGCCCGTCGAACCGTGGCCATTCGCCACCAGGAAGAGCGTGCCAAGCGCGAAAACTCAATCATGTCCGACTTTCGCGAACTGCTGTCCAAGGGTCAGCGTCAAGCCGACATGCGCCTCGACCGCATGTAATCGCTTGTGCAAGAGATTTTCTCGCGTGCTGCGTTTGATGGCTTGAGGCGTTTTTGGTGATCTCTAGTCACCAGTCACTTGCAATTGTATTCACTGCATCAATTTGCATGGTCAAGAATCAATTTCCTGGGTCAGCAAGCCAATAACAGACTGTATAGGCGTGAGCCTCACGACAAAGAAAAAAAGAACTTTACGGTGCTTGCTGGCCACATGCGCGCGACTAGGTCAGGTCTCAGGGGGACCACAGTAACGACAACAACAGGCAATAATTGTCCAAAAAAAAAAAAAAACCAACAAACAAACAAACACCCCATTTGCAAATAATAGCGGTGCGCAGGACGGCAAGCCAACACAACAAAAGCAATCATCAGCACAAGTCGCGAGACTGCCATCGTGGCAGCTCAGAATGCCGTGTTTGTGTTCTGTTGCAAACTTGGCGGGGATACTCAAGAGTCAGAGGAGGTCATCTCAATGTAGGAGGCCGGACAGTAGCCTTGAGCCCCGTTCTTGAGCACACGAACCCAGCCGGAGCCATCATCTAATGCGACAACCTGCAACTCCTCGTTGGCCTGCATGGCCATTTCACCAGGGTTTGTGCCGGGAAAGTCGTAGAGAGCTCGTGCTGTCCCAACCGTGGGTACCTAAGAATTGACAAGAAAAAAAAAGGAAAAAAAAGAAAAAGAAAACCACCAAAAAAAAAAAAAAAAAAAAAAAAAAGAGGTTGTCAGCGTGTCTCGGTGCCACCGAGTAGCAAGTTTGTCACCGCACTGAGGCAGCGGTTCAAACGTACAGCATCAACAGCCGGCGCAGCCGGGGGAGGAGCTGGATCGGCGGCAGTGGATTCGGCCAGCGGGTCGGCCATGACCTGGCCCTCATCTTCATCACTCCAGTTGTCAAAGTCATCCTCATCGTCACCCTCCGCCTGTTGCGAAACAGGGGCCTAGAGGTCGAGTGGATAACCTGGCGTCAGGGCAAGACCCGTGTTTCGAGCATTGGGCGGTGGTGCAAAAACAACGAACAGCAAAAGAGTTGGCGTCTGGTGCGGCGGCTGCAGCGCTCGGACTGGCTTGAGCGGGCGAAGGGAATGGGTTGTGGCTATGCCCCGAAGCGTAGCTATCCTACACGTTCGTGCCATCGATGTGTGCACAGCAAGTGAGATGCCACTTCCTGGGATAAGCGAGTCAGCATGCCAAAAAAAAAAGATCGACCATTGGGTAGGTACATACGTGGCTCATGACAGAGATATTATCCTCATCCCCCTGTTCAACCAAAGACACGGGACACGAGCAAACACGTAAGAACAACAAAGGAAAAGCAGGAGCTTCAACTGTCATGACGGTGACCAACCAGCATGGCCGTGACCTCCTTGTAGCCTGCACACACGCAAGAATTCAAGTGAGCAAGTGTGAAAGGTCGCAATTTTGATACAACAAACGCAGCAATGTCTCCCTTGATCTTCCTGCCCCCAACATCGAAACAACGTACCCGTGGGAGGCACTGGGGGCTCGCTTTTGTCAATGGTGCATAGATACAGCTGAAACTTGTATAGCTCGTTCTGCGCGTGGCGATGCAAGTGAGGGCGCAACCAGCCAGTGCAAAATATCGGGGCGATCATCCAAACTGGCCCTTGCACAAGGCATACCGCCAGCTTTTCGCGCTCCTTCTCCAATCCGGATATTTCACCCTCGGCGGCAGCAATTGTTTTGGCGTCACCAAACTGGGGCTGGTCACGGTATAGGTCAATTGTCTTTTGCGTGGCCATGATGCTCTTCTCGGCCTTGTCATGTTGTTCCTGCAACTCGGAGATCTATACAAAATGTGCCACAATGGAATTAGCAGCGCCCAAGAGTGCCCGACAGCACAGGCGGCCCACCACTCACCTTTTTCTGAATAGCCTTGCGTCGCTGCTCCGGTGGCAGATGGCCAAAGTCATCACGGATTGCATCCTGCGATGCGCGACCATCGTCATGTCCGTGTTGAACAGTGAGCAAACCGCATCAACGAAGGGCAAACAAATTTGAGTCGGTGGCCACGCACTTTCTTGCGACTCGTGGTTTTGAACAGTTTGTGCTTCAGGACACGACGCTGGTTGACCTGCTGCACAGTCACACCCGCCGTGGCCGCAATTTTCTAAAATCACAAGAAGGTTTGATGTGTCAACAAAAGAGGCCTGCCAACAGCAAACTTCATGCAGCACCACCGAAAGAGAGCGCCCCATGGTCAGGCCAGGTTCAGCGGCACTCACGGCTGCGGAAGCATCAATGTCGCCAGGAATCTCAATGCCAGACTTCATATTGGCACAGAAAAGATGCACGTCTGACGACTGCAGTACAATTACAGGCCGAGAGTGAGCAAAGTAGCATGCCACCGTCGGCTCGGAAGCGGACAGCACCGTGAACTACTGACCGCGTCCACTGCTTGCAGCTCGAGATCCATCGTGTCAATGCAGCTGGTCATGATGGGCAGAGAGCAGCGGAGGGCTTTGGTATACAGCTGATTTGATGCAATAGTTCAGGTTAGCATGTACTTTCAAACTCAAAATGCGGCCTGTGGGTCAACAACAAACACAAAACAAAACAAAACAAAACAAAAAAAAGAACAGGTTTGACAATTGGACCTACACGAAGAAAATCAACTTGCTCTGTAGTTCGCTGCAAGTCGCTCTCCTGGAGGCGCTGCAATGACCAAGGAGCGAATCGAGCGCACGTGCGGTCAGCGCTAGAGACAACAAACTGCTGCCACAACAAACTGCTGCCGAAGCGAATGAGCCAAACTTTTACACACGTCAAAGAGCCGGGCTTGCTCGTCTTGGTAAAATTGCTTTTGGGCGAGATTAAACTCAACGACTGAGAGCTCGTGGTTCTCCTTTGCAGTGCCACACTCCCGGTGCGCTTTGTCCATGTCGTCTTTCAGCTGCCCCAGCACAACTGATTGTAAGCTTGAAATTCAGGCAACTGAAGCCAACCATGCGTTGGGGTGACACAAACCTTCATAATCTTGGCCTCTGTCATTTTTGACTCGTCTTCAGCTTGCTCGAGCTTGTTTTTTGCTGCAATGGCGTCGCGCTGACGGCGTTCGTAGTCCTTGCGAACTGCTTCATACTTGCCGCGTGCAGAAGATAGTTTTTTCTGACGACAAGGTACGGTTCGAAAACCAGGCGTAAGTGTGTCGGGATTGAATACCCCGTATCGGCGGCGAAGTGGTTGACAGTACGTGTTCTCAGATGGGCAGACCAACCGAGGCTTTTGAGAGTTCACTGGCCACTGTCTTGCGAGTGTTTCGGTGCTCGCTGACCACGATCTTCATTTTGTCCGCACACTGCAAAAGAGGGTGGGCTGGTTAAAAAGAGCAGACGGGAAAGGATTCTCTGGACGAAACAGGCACTCAACGCAAGGCCAACCTGCGTGTTGAGATCCTCGGCCCGCAGTTCGTGCTGCTTGCCAATGGCATCGAGCTGCTCAAGTACCGTGCGCCAGGCCTTCATCATGGAGCTGTCCACATCGCCATGTCACAAGGATGAAGCAGCATGAGCCTTGCTTGGTCTCTCGAGCGCCAAGCCTTCTTGCAAGTCGACATACCTTTCTTCACCACCACAGTCTTGCTTAAGGTCACCATATTGCTTAATGAGCTTCCTACGAAAGAAAGAAAAAAAAAAAGATGGCTCTGAGTGTCAGGCTGCAGGCTTGGAGCAGATGGGCAGAATGGAACACACTGAAGTTCTTTGGCATAGTGAGCCTCGAGGGCGGCTTGAGCTTGGATCAGATGGCGGCAGTTGTTAAAAAACTCAATGCCATGGTCCACGCGCTCGAAGATGGTCTTTTCTTGGTCCTGGGCAAAGGTGAGGTGACATGATCAGGCCATGCACGGGTCAATGTTCGCAATCGGGAAGCACCAGAACGAACCCAGAGATCAAGACCCCAACTGGGCTTGCCACCGGAGGCCATGGCAAGGGGGTTGAGGGTGTCGACACGGCTGTGCACGTCAGACTCTGGAAACTGCGAGAGGGAAAGCAGGGAGTCAAGTGGAGGTCAGTGAGACAAATGCATGTCACGAAGGCAAAGTGACCCAGGCCATTGGTTGCGCTGCGACACCAAAAAAAATGTACATCTCGCCCAGCTTCATCACCTTGGCGCAGGACGCTTGGTCAGTCAATGTCAGGCGCGTGAGAGGGGCAAACTGTCGGGCCAGCAGATATCGGCAAGCAACAAGCATGGATATGAGAGCAAAGATGGCAACATAAAATACTGGGGCGGATGCGACACACACAGTCAGGGATACATACCCCGTTGCCGGTGCTGACTGGGACGTTTCACAGTGAAAAGGGCCCGCTCTATGTTCAAAGAACCCAATCGTTGATGATGCGTCGAGGTGAGACACGAGCCTGTCTGTGTGCGACCGACAACAGTTTACAACTCTAAAGTCTGAACACACTGGCGATCCAGATCCCATTACAATCAACCGGCCTTGCACGATCGTTCAAAGCAGACCTCTCCCAGCCGAGCAAGGGTGCGAGCCACAAAGAGAGAGAGAGAGAGAGAGAGAGAGAGAGAGAGGGAGAGAGAGGAGAAGAGAGAGAGAGAGAGAGAGAGAGAGAGAGAGAGGAGAGAGAGACCAGCGCGATGGTCTGGACTGGACCGCTCGAGCAGACGCAACATCCAACAACAACACCTGTTTTACACACCTGTTGCACAATATAAAATGTCAGATGAAACCTATCAGTTGTTACAAAGGTCACTGCTTTCGTCATTTTATTTTTATTTTTTCACTTTCTTTGCTTGAGGCTGGAGTTGAATCCGGCAGCGCCTCGTGTGCGCCTCTTGGTTTTTTTTCTGGTGGACGTGGCTGAAGCGATGGGTACCGAACATGGTGATATGTGCCGTCGGATCGTGTTGAATAGCAGGCGGTAGGACCTATCGTGCTCGATTAATCTGCTCGGTTTTGAGACCGTTATGTCGGCGACGATGCCGCGCGTCGACGATGCCGCGCTCACCGACGACAATGCAGTCGTTCATCCCGAACCCGAGCCGAGCGATACTGTTGCAACCAATTATCACATACCAGCACTCAAAGGGATGGAGGAGGCTGCAGCAGCACCCGCCATGGCCTCGCATCAACCTACATCTGAAGCCACCCAAACATACGAGCCTCAACCGATACCAGAAAAGCCCGAGTCGGAAGCAGAAGCAGACGAGCCCGAGCTGGAGGCTTGCCCCATCTGCTTGACGGAGATGACGGATCGTGCACTGACTGATCAATGCTTCCATGCTTTCTGCTTTGAGTGCATTCGGCTGTGGTCTGAAGTCAACCCGAGCTGCCCCTTGTGCAAAAAGCCTTTTGGCGCCATTCTGCATAATATTCGCTCAGCCGACCTCTTTGACTGTTATCGGCTGCCCACGCCTGCAGCCAGCAAATCCAGGCCTTCTGGGCGCATTGATAGTGCTTACAGTCGGTGGCAATCTTCCCGCCGTGCTGCAGCTCGCACTCGATCTGATCGCCCGCTGCGCCCACGTGTAGCTGCAGCCGAACAGCGTCGACAGGCCGTGTACGCAGCTCGTTTACGGGTCCAACCAGAGTACGACCCCACACTGCAGCGCCGCCTTCGCGATATTGGCCCAGCATCGTTTTCGCACCCTGATGCACTGCGACGTGTCACACCCTGGTTGGAACGGGAGCTGCGAGTCCTTGTGGGGCCTCACAACGCAGCCTTTGTCCTAAACTATGTGCAGTCCCTGTTACAGCGCGTCGATTTTCGCAGCACCGCGCTGGTACATCCCATGCTGGAGCCGTTCTTGTTTCGTCATACCGACCATTTTCTTCACGAGTTTGTGGCCTTTGCCCAATCACCCCTGGACATGATTGCTTACGACCAACACGCACGCTATGAACCCCCCTCCCACACTCGCCACCGCGATGCCCGTCGCTACCTGCATCTTGTGCAAGACGTGCTACGTCAGCACTCACATGTTGATGCAGAAGCTCACCGGGCCGAACTTGCAGCTCAGGCCGCAGATGAACATCGAAGCACCATGGCCGAGCGCCGACGTCGCAAGTCGCGCCTCAATCCCGCCGGATGGGGTCACCAGACCTCGCGCGACGTCCCGCGCGGCCTCGACGGTCTTGATACCCTCTCTGATCATGAATCAATTGACAGTGACGAGGAGCGCCAGGGCATTCAGCGCGCCCGTCGCGCTCGTCGTCGTCATGCACGGTCTGACTGGGCAGGTACCAGCTCATCCGAACACCGCTCTCGGTCTCGCCTCGACCATCAGGTCAGCAGCGAGGAGGACCAGATGGATCCGTACGGTGCTGAGCCTCGACAGCGCAGTCGCTGGGACAGTCCTGAGCCTGATGTGGAGCATGAAGACGGTATGGCAACGCCCCCGCACGTCCGAGCCATGGCCCGGGCGGCTATCGCAGATCTGCGCAGCACCAATCAGTCCGGTACCACCACCGTCTCAGCTTTACGAGCGCGACAACGTAGCCCAGTCCACCGTGCTACCACTCGTCCCGAGTCTGTTCCAACACGCACGGGTACACCGCCCGAAGCAAAACGTTCCAAGCCGCAAGAGGCACTTCAAGCATCTGTAGATGCACTGCGAGAACAGGTACAAGTGCGCAAAAAGCGGATTCTCCAGCTCAAGCTGCAGGCGCTGCGACATCAGACGGATGGTACAGCCCCCAATAGCTGAGCAGCCAGCCAGCTTGTCTTTCATCTCTCCTGATTGACTTTGTTTGCCACGAAATTTCAAGTTTAAAGTCGTATGTCGGTACTTTTCTAAAGCACTCGATTGTAGCGGCAAAGGGAGGTAAAATTTAAAGCTGTGAGGCACGGTAGTCGCCTAGGCGGACGCCCCCTTGGTGCTGCCCCGTGTCGTAGAGCGATGCTTTCCCTTCTTCGGAGGCGCGGCACCGGCATCGCTCGCCCTATGTCAAGACGAGTCAGAGTCAATCAGCCAAGTCAATGTGAAACAATGCAAAATAACCCTCATGCCTCATGACCAACATGGGGAGGCCGTGGCAACGTACTTTTGCGCCCGCTTGGCCTTGGTCTTCTTGTCGGCAGCCTGGACGTTGGGATTGCTGCTGACTGGCGCACGCTCAATCTGACGGGACCGTTGCCTTTACCACGACCGCAAACAATCCAGCGCAACACGGGTCAGAAAAACACCCCAACAGCACTTGACAAGACGGACAATCAATATCGCACGGAAACTACAAATGGATCGAAAGACCAACTTTTCCGTTTTCTTGAGCTTGAGCATCCACTCTGGCACTTCCGATCCAGACGCTTTGACCACGTTGGCAATGCTGCAGAAAAAGTCCGTGAATGAGAGGCAGAACGTTTAAGCCTTGCTTCGCTGACGCATGGCGGCGGTGTCGACATCGATGTCAGTGCAAACCATCACAACGTACTTGCGCAGCATGGGTCGGTCATCAACGGTAAAAAATGTCACGGCACGGCCCCGATGGCCAGCACGACCGGTACGACCTGTATTAGCATGTGGTGAGCAAGCGCAAAGCGAAACAGGACACATCGAAAGGTCACGGGATGGACTTGAACACAAAGTCACGTACCAACACGATGGATGTATTCAGTGGCGTTGGGGGGAAAGTCATAGTTGATGACGACATTAACCGCCTGTGTCCGTGCAGGGAGGATGAGCGAAACAGCAAGTGGGATTTCTGACGAGAACAGTTGAACACTGACCTTGAAATCAACACCACGGCCCATGAGGTCGGTACAAATAAGAACCCAAACTTGGCCTTCACGGAAGCGCTTGACAACTTCATCGCGCTGCTGCTGTGTGCGGTCAGCGTGGATCACGTCGACGTTGACATTTTCGTACACCAGCTCCTCAAACAACTGCTGCGCTCGCGACTTGGACTGCACGAAAATGAGTACGGGTGGCTGCAGGCCCGTCTGCACGAGGGGGACACGCAAAGAAAGACATGAGTCAAGCGCTGTTCCAAGATACTGGCAGGGAAGCTTTCGGTCAGAAGGCACCATGAAAGATGACGAGACGCAAACCTGCAGCATCTGACGAATGGCAGTCATTTTGCCTTCTTCACTGCCCACAAACTTCAACTCTTGTTCAACGTCCTGGTTGGCAGCGTTTGCCGCACCCACGACAATGCTACAGGTCAATGGAGGGTACAAACCGCTTTGAGCAAGACGTTGAGGTGGAAACTCGAGGCGGGGTGACCCAAGACCTACCGGACGTAATCATGCAGTACTGTCTGGGCCAACGTCTCGACACGTTCAGGCTAGAGGGCAAGCACGTCATATGAGTCAGACACACAAAGCAGTGCACGGCAAGTGTATCGAGGGTCATTCGTGACAGCAATAACGAACCATGGTGGCACTGAAGAGAGCAATGCGGCGCTTTTTGTGAGAACAGGCAGCAATCACCTCATCGATCTAACGCACCGGGCACCAACACACGCCAGGCAATCAGTTGGGGTTGATGGGTGGCGGGCCGGGACCAGAGAGCCGGGGACGGGGCGAGGATACCTGCTGTTCAAAGCCATTTTCGAAGAGCCGATCGGCCTCATCAACAACAAGCCAGCGCACGGCGCTCAAATCCACCAATTTGTGCTGCAAAGCATGTACCAAACGCATGGGGGTGGCCACCAAGATGTCTGGGCGAGCACGCATACACCAAGTGAGCTTGAGCAAAACCTTTGGACAGACCGGGATCATTTTGGGGCAACCAGGCCACCAACCATGTTTTTTGCTTGACGTCAGGCTGCCTGAAGCGGCCCGGGCCTTGGTGAGAAGGCTAATCTTCAAGTGCAAGTGGGTGTTGAGCAGATCCAGTTCGCGCTTGATCTGACCGAGCAAAAAGAGCGCATGTAAAGTAGAAGCAGCTTGTCAGCACACCACGAGTACACTTGGGCAAAGAAGGAGTCACGATCGCACCTGAGCTGCCAGTTCTCGAGTGGGAGCCAAAATACAACAGCGGAAGCCTTCCTCCTTTGGGGCCTGCAAGAGCTGCATCATGGGTACTGCAAAGGCCAGGGTTTTACCGGAGCCTGCATGAAAAGCAAACCAAAGAGTTAGAGGTGTTGGGCTGTACACGAAACAAGAAAAACAGCCGGACCATGGCATCACGGTGAGGACGGACCAGTAGGAGCGACGCCAACAACATCGCGGTTGGACAGAAGCGCTGGAATAGCTTGCATCTGTAAAACGTGCACAGCATCGGCCAAATTATCAGGTAAATTGAGATGTGGGCGTCCGCCAAATCAAGACCGACTGACCTGGATGGGACTGGGTTCCTTGAAAAACTCAGTCAGTGCCTGGAGCAGCCCTGAGCTGGCAGCAGGGCCCGCAGCAGGCTTTCCCAGTTGGGCAAAGCTCGTGACAGGTGCGGGGACGTCGCTGCCACGCACATGAATGCGGTGGCGCTTACGCAATGCGGCAACGTCCTCTTGGGAAGAGCTGTGATGGCGCGAGGCGTAGTGAATACACCACAAATACGGCGCAAACGTTCGTTGAGAGACCAAAGGCGTTGGCCGGACGTACTCTGTGTCAGCCGTTGTAGTGTCAAGGGTGAACATGGACGACTTTTTGCCTCGCTGTGCAGCCTGAACGCCAGAAATGTGCAGAGGATGAGACGCGCACACTCTGTTCCCATAAATCAGTGCAGGTGGCTGGTCACACTTTATCCTACCATGCCGGTGCTTGAGGCTGGCCGACGGACGCGAAGGCCCGCCGTGAGCATGTGAAACGCATCGTTTTGAGACATGATCAAGTGTCGAGTGCGGACTTGTGCGTGGTGAAGTCGCTCAGCCTGCGCACCCCACCCAACGTCGACCGTGCCAGTTGCTCAACTCCCGAGAGTCGTATATTGCCGTGATGTTCAATCACGATATAACAACTGTGGTGCCTCGTAGTAACACGCCAATGCCGTTCTGCACACGCTGCCAAATTCTCGCCGTCACCTCCCTCGTCGTTCGACACGTGGAAAGCGTGAAATGGTTCAAAAGTCTGACAATTTGTGTGTAAATGATGGTGTGTGTGTGTGTGTGTGTGTGTGTGTGTGTGTGTGTGTGTGTGTGTGCGTGTGCGTGTGTGTGTGTGTGTGTGAGTGTGTCTTGACTTGGTTCGGCCATCTGCCCGGAAGGTGCTGCAACAGTACCTGGAGGCTTTGTATCTGGTTGTTTCGATTCAGAAGGGCTGCACCCCTGGGGGAGTGTCGCCGTCCTTTGGTGCCACAAGAGCAAGCAAGCAGTCAAATTAAAGCAGCTGTGTACAACGGAGGCTTTCACGCTCCAGGCGACAACCAGGAAATTTACAATTCTGCAGGGCCTGCGTGTCCGGTCATGTTGTAGTTGTGGTTGCTGCCGTCGACAGTCGAGTGCCGGGGTGGGGTGGGGCACGCCGCTCGGGAATGGCGTCGATGGCGTCTGCCAGCTCTGCTGTGCGCTGAAAGTCAACGTCAGCGTATTCGCATGCAGACTGCTCGTCGTTTGAACCAATGATGCGCATGCTACCGGCAGAGCTGGGCCGGGCCCGGAGTTGTGCAAGAGAGGCATACACGATGCGTTGACGACGTGGGGTGGGCCGTGAATAGAGGGCGGAGACGGCTTCATCGTCAATAAAGCCACCGCCCACCAGCTCGGGCTCGGTGTGGGAAGTTGCGGGGGACACGTCTCCCTCCTCGGCGGCCACGAGAGCATGCTGGGCAAGCTTTCCGCGTCGAGGTATGGCCCGTGGCTTGACCCCGGCGCTAATCCCAGCTTTTGAACGTCGTGGCAAAGCATTGCTATGTCGAGGTTGCAGCAGCTCCAGCTGGCTTTCGAGCGCGGCCAGCGAAGCGAGTCCTATGCCAGCCGCTGACACGTTACAATTGGACGACGCAGCTTTGGATGGATATGCGGCGCCATCCTTGGCGGCTTCCACGTCATCGTTATTCTTCTCCAAGGAAGAGTCTTGCCGTTGTCGATGTTGGCAAAAAAGAATGATCATGGCGACAATGGCACCCAACAAGACGACGGACAGCACCAGGGCGACGATTAAGACTAAATACGGGTGTCACACAACGGGATGAGGATGAGCGAGCAATGGGATACAATGAGACAGCGGACGTGCTCAGAGCGCACCGTAATCCTGCAGCTCGAAAGCGGTGCTCGAGTTGGTCGCCTTGGAAGTAGTGGAGGGAAGCCCGGTGCTGCCGGCTTGGGCGGGGCAAGACCATGCTTGATGGACAAGGGTGCAGTTGGCCTCCTCACAGGCGGAGGTGCAGCGTCCAAGCGCACAGCCATCAAAACATGCTGTATGCACGTTTGTGCCGTGCTCATAGGCTTCGTCACAGGTTGTGAGACAGGTCGTCGGCTGGGTGCAGGCTGCTTGGCAGGCCAGGGCAGATGGCGCAGACGCCTCGTAAGACGAACACCGCGCGGTACATGCGCCGGGAAACCCCTCTGAGAGGGGCAGTGTGGTGGTACTTTGAGCATGACCAACAGCCAAGAGTCCTGTTGAAAGCAGCAGCAGCAGCAGCAGCAGCCGGCTTGGCTGACCCACCAATGTGCTACTCGTCATATTTGGGGCTGGGGTAGTCGTCGCCGTCGGCCAGATTGCGTGGTCGCTTGATCGGTCGGCGCTCGACGGCTGACTCGACCGGTACACCAACTGACCGTGGCCCGGGCAGCTTGGTTAATGCCCAAGGCGCACCATGAAGCTCAACGAGCACCGGATCTCATGTCGACTTGCCCCTCCCCGCCGTGTCTTGGCACCCCACAAGCAGTGGAATGTCACCGCGCCCCAGCGACCAGCTTTCAACCATCTTTTGGCTTGGCTACAGCCCACAATCACGTAAGGATGTGACACGATTCAACTCCTGCTAGCCTTTTTGGGACAGACCTGCCCAATCCATGAGTCGAGAGTCACGCACCGTAGGATCATTTCCGGGTCGTGCCCTTGCTCTCGACCAACCTGCATGCATGCATGTAAGCTACTGCCGAAGCGGTGTTGAACAAGCGTTTACAACAGTGTTTTACAACAACGCAATCACGTTCGCCTTGCGTTTTCTTTTTTTCTTTTTTCTTTTTTTTTTTTCAACTTTTTTGATCCATCAAGATGGCAGAGCGCGGTGGCGGTGGCGGTCGGGCCAAGGGCAAAGGCAGCTCACGACGTACGTCATGCTATGGCCATGGACAACGCACATGCATTGTTTGTTTTTCAGAATCGTGGTGGTGCCTTGGCGAGCGTGATATGTCCCGAGCCTCCTTGCTTGTGACGGTTGTTGTCTGATCCGTTTGACACGTGGGCCAGGTGACCCAAAGCAGGCTTTCAAGGAGCGAGCATCAGCGCGCCGTGCCGAGCAGGAGATGCGCGGTGCCCAAGTTCATGAGCCACAACACAGCATTGACGCCCTTCTTTCTCAGGTACATAAGAAGCAAGGCGCCTCGCTTGATGGTGCATCCACTCACCATCGACCTCCTCCGTACTGGGCCGTAGGCTGAGTCTTTGCAGTCAACCAATCCAGATGTGGCACTTCAATTTGTAACGCGTGCGTTGGCGCAGGACCCGCTCAACACCGAGGTGAATCTTCCCGGCCTCATCTTTTCGTCCTCGCGAAACGGCTCCTGGGAGCAAGTTTCTGCGAAGCAGCTCATGCCTAGCCCTTCCTCCCACTTCTTTAGGCGCTTGAGTTTCGGGCTGTCATCAACCTCAGCCTTGATCATGCAGCGGAAGCCTATGCTGATTTGCGCAAATGCGTCGAAATTGAGCCGCACAATGGCTGGAGCAAGTACATGTACCTGGGCCAGGTAAAGGCTTATTAAAGTTCGACGCAGTCACCGATTCTCCTGCGGCAGAGTGTCACCCCGAGTGCTGATTTTTTTTTTCTTTCTGCGATCGGATGACATCTGCTCTAGCTGTCCTCGGGTCAAGAGGCTGCGGATATGCTGTCTGCGGGCATTCAGCTCATGGCTGAATACGAAGCCAACGTGCGTCTTCACTTGCATTGGATGCCTGTTCTGCCTAATCGAGTCAGGAAAAGGCCTTGACTCAGCCCGTTGTTCCGCAACCTGTCAGGTGGCAAGCAAGCCAGGCGCTGATCCAGAGGAGATCAAAGGACTGCACGAGGACATTTCTGCGGCCTTTTGCTCTCTGGCAGAAGTCTATCTCACCGACTTGTGTGAGGAAGACGAGGCCCAGGATACTTGTTTGGCTCTCATGGACAAGGCACTAGCTTATGACCCAACCAACATTGAAGCATTACAGGTCTGTTTAGTATGCTTGTATTTTTTTCCCTTTTCACCCGCCTTGTCCCGTACAGGACACGCCGCCACCAACTCAAATTGCTCCCCCTGGTGTGGCATGATTGTTTCTCAACTAACTGTTCTTAGACGCTGAGCTCAATTCACATGAGCATGTCGCAGCCAGACCAGGCATGGGAGCTACTAAATCGCTCCCTGGCCGTGTGGTGGTACCCTCTGAACGGTGACGCTGATCAGCAGGGTGCGGGTGAAGCCATGGATGTCGACGACGATGCCGCTGCCCCTGCTGCCATTCCACCCTATGAGTTGCGCATCAACACCTGCAAGCTTCTGATTGAGATGGAGCAATATCAACTTGCGGTCGAAGTGGCGGCGCACCTCCTGGAGGAAGATGAGCAAATTATGCAGGTGCGCTTTTCATGTCATCGACTTCCTGGCCTCACCCATGGGTACTCACTCTTCCCGCGCTGATACCTAGGTTTGGTACCTCTTTGGCTGGGCGCTGTATTTGCAAAAAGATCCAGAAGCCCTCAAGACTCTACAGCACGCGGAACAAGTCTACCTTGCACAGGAATGCGAGCGTCCTGATGTGTTGGAGCACATCCATGAGCTTTTGCGTGAACTGCAAAGCAACTCGGCAGAATAAGCCGGTCCAGGTTCCTCCTTTATTTCCGTTTCCTTGCACGATTAAGCGCCGAGCGCAATTTATAAACTTCAGCTGTACCAACACAATTGAAAGCAACCATAACCAAGTCTGGCATCCATTCGTTCGAGCGCAGCTTCCCGAGATAGCATCAATTTTAGCACGCTTGTGCACTTGAACAACCACCATCTTTCGCCAGACTCCCTGGCAAAGAGCTATCAAGAAACTGAGCGGGAAAAAAGTCGGAGCAGCAACAACACGGCACGCGAGCAAACAAAGAAAGGTGGGCCAAGGCGGGCAATCCGCGCTGCGCGTTAGCTTGGCTAGAGCACACCTTGACATGGGGAGTCGGCGTTGAGCAAAGAAAACGTAAGCCAGACGCAAAGCACAGAAGTGACAAGGCTTCAAACAAAAAGGAGCAGTACAAGCTCCATCACAGAAGGAGCAGCCCACACAGAAAACGATTAAAAACTTCAAAACTAAAAAAAAAAACAGGAAAACAGGAAAACGGCACAAAATCCAGGCGGCATTTGCCACCGTCGTCGATCAAATAAGAGTGGAGACTACAGCTCGACCAACTCATTGAGCTGGCGTGGCCAAGCGCCCCGCAGACATTAAATCCACCAAGAGTCAAACGCACAGAATTAGGCCAGCGTGCTGGAAAGGGCTTCGTTGGCTTCCTGGGCATTGGTGTAAATGTCCTCGCCACCGGCCAGCTGCTGGACAGCGTGCATCTGTGATTCCTTGAGGGGCACCATGGGCGCGTTCATATCCCGCATCCAAGGACCGGCAGCAGCATAGTGACCATTGCTGGAAGACTCGCCGGCTGAGGTGGCAACCACTGCGTACATGGGGTTGCTAAAGCCAGAAAAGTCCAGAGTAAACGGCACCTCCTCGCGTTGACTGCCATAGTAGTGAATCAAATCGGGCAGCGAGTAAAAGGCGGGCTGGGGTTCGTTGTTTGATGGGACCAGCTCGTACAGGCCTTCCTCATCCCGGCGAATCTTCTCGTGCAAGACCTGATTGCCGGCCTTGACGCCAAGAATGTGCCAGCCGGGCGTAGCCTTTGAGTCGCGGACGACAAAGGCGCCATCGGGGCGATCGGTGAGCTCGCCCGCGGCGTCTTGGCGCGTGAGATCGGGAGCATACCACTCATAAAGGGGGTTAGACACGCCGGGCACAAAGGCCACCGTCTGCTGGGCATCCACAAATGTGGGATTATCAAATGCCTCGTTGTGCTGGAAAGTTGATTTGGCATCCATGGTGACGCGACGCTGGCGGCGGCGCAGGACAACGAGAACAACGAGCACGACCAGGAGAAGACCGGCCACGCAACCAACAATAACGCCAATCATGCCCGTACTAGCCTGGCTGTTGCTGCCAGTGCCGGTGGAGGCGTCGCGGGCGGCATCGGGATCAGCCGAGCCAGCCACGCGGAGCGTCAGCTGATGCGAAGACTCCAAACCGTCAGACGACTTGGCTGTGATCGTCACCTTGTAGTTGCCCGGGCGCAGGCTGGCCTGGGTAGGGGCGCTCAAGAGTGAGAGGACGTGTTGCTGGCTGCCCGGTTGTTGATCAATGCTCAAAATATCGGTCAAAGCGTCATTGTTGCTCGAGACGCTCAACGTAAAAGCGTCACCTTCTGGGTCGAGGGCAAAGAAGGACATGAGGTCGTTGGCGGGGCTTGTCTGGTTGATGCGCACGTCCGTGTCGGGTGAACCCGAGTGCAGATGGGGCGTCTTGTAAAAGGCGGCAGGCTCGGCCACGTCGGTGACGGCCACTTCAACGTAGCTCTGCTTGGTTTCGCCCGTGTTGAGCGTAAACGCCACAAGGATCTTGGCCAAAGTGAACTCGTACTCGGCGTCGATGGGACGCAGGGTGCGCAGCGTTTGACCGCGGACCACAAACGCATCGGCATGGTGAGAGGAACTAGCCAAAGCAAAGGAGGTGGCACTCTGGCCGGCATTGAGGCCGGCAACCGCAAGTTGTCCCACAACGGTCTGCGCAGGCTCGTTCTCTGCGACCGCGGCCACGGCCAGATTGGTGGCCTTGAACACAACGCGCAGGGGCTCGTCCTCAATGGTGATGGGTGCGTCCAAAGCCGCTGACAGACCGCCCTCGTCCGTGACGCGGACGGAGAGCATGTAGCCCTGCATGGTTTCGGCGTTGAGCAGACTGTGGTCCAGCAACACAACCTCGGCGGCATAAGCTTCGACGCGGTTGGCGTTGCTGCTGCTGCGGCGGCGGGCGTCGGCGTTGGACGTGGTACGGAAGCCAAACACGCCGTCCGTGTTGAGCAGCTCAAAGGTGTAGCGAGGTGAGTTCTCGGCGTTGACGGCGTCCTCATCGGCCACCACGAGACGGCCGACAACGGCACCGTCAGCGGCATCCTCACGCACAGTGGGAGTCTGACCAACCCAGTTGAGACCCGAGGGAGGTTCATTCACATTCTCAACCTTGAGCTGCAGCTCCTTCATGGCAGCCATGTCGTTGTTGTCGGTGGCTCGGACGAGGATGGACATGACTCCACCATCAAGATCGGCGTCCAGGGGCCCAGTGGTAAAGACGTCAACGCTGCACACCATGCGGCCCGCAGCAAGACCACACTGGGTGTTCTTGAGCTCAAAGGGCGCTTCAGGATCGGCCATGGCAAAGGTCATGGCACCAGCATCAGCGTCTTGATCCTCGGCGGTGATGACACCGACCTTAGTGCCCACGGGAGCATCCTCAGCCACAACAACTTGGTTGAGAACAATGTTTTGGGGAGCCTCTTGTTCGTCCGTGACCGTGATAACAAACGAGCGATCAACCTGTGCGCCTGCCTCATCAAAGCAGGCAATGGTGAGGGCATGCGCGGCGGCGGCCTCGTAGTTGAAGGCCTTGACGAGCTTCAGCACTTGCCCCAGAACGGCAAAACGACCCTCATCATCGTCAACCAGGGCACAAGCAATGACATCATTCACATCCGGGTCTGTCACGGTAATGATGGCCAGATCCTCTCCGGGACGCATCTGCGTCTCCGCGAAGGTGGTCTGATCAAGCGTGATGTCGGTGGGCGGCTCGTTGACGTTGGTGATGGTGATGGTCAGCGTCTTGTCAAAGGTGAGGCCCCCCTTGTCGGTGGCGCGCAGGGTCACAGAGGTCTGACGCTCAGCGGGGTTCTCGTAGTCAAAAGCTTTGGTTGTGTAGAGTTTGCCGTCAGCAACGGCAAAGTCACCAGCAAGGACGGTAAAGGTGTGGCTGTCAACAAAGTCCTCGTCCACGGCAGAGAGGACACCGACAAGAACGTCCACGCCGTTCTCCGGGACTTGAGTCGAGTTGATCAGAATGTCGGTGGGGGCTTCGTTGACATCCGTGACGAAAAAGCGCACCTCAACAAAGTCGGAAGCACCGCCGTCGTCGCGGGCCTGAAGCTCAAAGCGGTAGTGACTCTTCTCTTCGTAGTTGAGAGCCTGGTTCAGCGTGACCTGGCCCGTGGTACGGTTCACGGTGACGGCGCCCGCAAAGCCGGCCTCCTGCACAATGAAAGCGTACTCGAGGTTGGAGAAGGCGTCCGTATCGGTGGCGGTGATCTGACCAATCGTGTAACCGGGCTGCGTGGACTCGGGGAAGGTAAAGTTGAGCGTATCGCGAGCGAACAGGGGCTGCTCGTTGGCGGCCAGGAGGCGCACGTGCACGGGGACGTAGGCGGTTTGGCCCTGCTCGTCGGTGGCGACGACAATCATGTAACCCCGGAAGCTAAGGGCAAAGGACTCGCTCACGACAATGTCCTGCGTCAGGCGAACCTCGCCGCTGGTGGGGTCGATCTTAAAGTACTCAGCGTCGTCGCCCTCCTGAATCGAGTAGGTGATGACGTGGCTCGGGTCTGACTGAAGTAGGGGGTTGGTGGCATCGACGGTGACGAGGAGAGTGTCAGCCACGGCCGAGGCAACAATGAGGCCCGTGTACGAGCCAGCGGCAAAGACGGGACCGCATGATGCCGTGTTGGCCGAGTGGTCGTAGCTCCAGGCCGTTTGCGCCAAGGCGGGCTTGCAGCGCTGGCAGACGTTGTCGGGGCGGGCATGTTCGGCCACGTAGCATTGACCATCAATAAAGCACGAGGCTGGGTTGGGGGAGCAGCTGGTGGCGTTGCAAATCTCACACACAGAGTCATACCAGGTGTAGGTGACGGCCGGGTTCAGGGCAGAGTAGGTTTGGCCACCATCCGTGGACACACGAAGGGGAACGCTGCGCGCAGGCGCCGAGCGGTGCTGGTTCGTGGGCAGGCGGCAGCGCACCTCCACCGAGCCGAGGACGGTTCCGGACGTGACTTGGTCGCCAAACATGCAGCGAACGTTGGAGCCGTTCGAGTAAAAGTTGGAGCCGATGATCGCCACCTCAATGTCGCAGCCGAGCAGACCACGGCCATCGCAGAGAGGACGATCCGCCGACTCAACGACGGGGGGCAAGCTCGGGTTGACGGAGCAGTCGGCGCCGAGGAAGCCCGCGTTGCAGTGGCACTTGGTCTCGACGCACTGGCCGTTGCCAGAGCAGGGCTGTTCCGTGGAGGTGGGGCACATGACATTTTGGAGGTCCTTGGAGGGGACGCGCTCGCCGTTGTTGTCCAGTTCCCAGGTGGACATGTTTCGGTTGCCGAGGTCGGCGCATTCGTCTTGCAAATCCGCGACGGCCACCTCAATAAACTCGTTGTCACCGCCCGTGGCGACGAGATCCTCTGCGCAATTCTCAATAAAGGGTTGGAGATCCAGGTTGGGGAACTTATCGACGCAGGCCTGGGCCACGAGGCTGGATCGGATTGTCTCGCAACGAAGGAGGGCCTCGGCGCGATTCAGGTTGGGGTTGACGAGGACAAAATCGTCAAGGTTAAAGTCGAGTCCCTCCAGAAGGTTGTCGTCGTTGGTGACACGCTTGTCCTTGAGCAGGTCGGTAATGTCCTCCACGTCGGGTTGGTTGAGGATGGGGCGGATAAAGGGATCCGCGGGCACGGGGCAAGCCTCGGCATCAGCGTAATATGGAGATGTCTCCAGGTTGTTACGGTCCGGGTACCAGTTGAAGAGGTCGGTTTCGAGGGTGCGCTGCTCGCTGCTGAGGGTGGCCAGGTTCTCGATCCACTGATCATGACCAACCGCAACGTCGTTATTGTTGTTGTTGTCGTTGTTGCCACATACACCAGCAGTAAGACCCTTATCCACGCCGGGGGCCTTGACGTACAGGTTCATGTAGCGGCGGCCGATGGCGCTCCAGTAATGGACGTCAAACTTGACCTGGGCACCAGACTTAAAGTCGATGGTGTACGTGGGATTGGAGCTGCTCGTCACGCCAACGCGGGGCCACTTGCCCTGATCGCACTCGGTCGATCCACAGGAGAGGCGATATTCAATGTTGTGACCGGTGGCGCACCAGCTAATAACGACGACATCGTTGCCCTCACGCGCAGCAAGACCACACTGGACGGCGGGGCGACCATTGAAGCGGTACATGTCCGTCTGCACCTCAAAAACACGGTTTTCGGCCTTTGACTTGTAAAACACGACCTTGCCGTTGGGGCGAATGTGATAGTAGCGACCGTCAAAGGTGCGATCTGCCAGATCGAGGAGCGGGGGGGGACAGGTTGGCATAACATCATCGGTGGAATGGACATGAGCAAAAGGATGCACAGCAAGAACTCGGCAAATGTTGACAGGGAGAGATGTGAGGCACACGAAGCGTACAGTGGGGATCGCCGGTGGCGGAGCAGGCGGCGGTGGGGCGCTGCTTGGTGGTAAACTGAATATCAGCAGGGTTGAACTGGGTGTAAAACTTGGAGTTGGAGACGGCAGGCTCGGTGATGAGGAGGAAGGTTTCCTCTGTTCATGAGCAAAAGAGCAAATGTTGCATTCAATAGCCGTCCAAAAAAGGATGTGAGAAGCTGGCAAAAGAGTGTGGAAGGATCCAAACCGAAACAGGGGGGGGGGACACAAACACGCACCAGCGTCGTCCACAAAGTCTTCGGTGGCACGAACTTGGATGACACGATCTTGGTGCCATTCGTGTTGCTGCCACTTGACGTGGCACGTCTCGAGGTAGAGCGAGTCCGGGTGGGCATTGGTGAGGGCCACCGTGACGGTACATTCCTCATCGGGAGGGCAAACGAAGGGCTGAGTCAGGGAGAACGTGATTTGCACCGCCATACCCTCGTCCATGGAGAACTGGGTTTGCGAGACGCGGATGCGCGGCACTTCGGCCATGGCCACAGCGGCCATCAAAGCCACCAGGGCCACCAACACCGACCGCACTGCCATTGTGGAGTGTGGGGTGGGGTTGCTGCTTGACACACTTGTGCGCTCGAGCGCCAAGGTGCTAATGCCTGTGTGAGTGAAGCCGCTTGACTCTGTGAACTTCCGGCGACCGGGTCCTCGTTGGACCAGCGGCGGCGGACAGGGACGACGGCACACCACTTGATCCGCAACCGATTGAAGCGGTGGATCAAAACGGCAGCCGTGGAGCTCGCTCGTTGGGAAAATAAAACAAAAAAAAAGAAAGCAAAAACGAAAGCAAAAACGGAATGAAGCGGTTGCATGCAACACCATAGGCTTGGACAAGATAGGAGTTGGGCGCACACCCATCCGTAGGCTCCTGCTGCACCTTCTAGTGGGATATATACGCGCCGAGGTTTATGTTGATTCTTGATTGGCTTACGTCGTGATGATAATGTTTGCTTGCCGAGTTTATGTATTGATACGTGGTGATATCGACGGCCGGGCTTGAACATGTCATGAAAGAGGAGTTCTGTGGAACTAGGCTCTGTCAAGACGCTCGGAACGTTCCTGCGTTTGGGGATAGCTTTCCGTCTGGAAACTCGTTTGTTTTTTACCCCCACCGAGCACAATGTTGTCAGATTATATTGTCAGATGCAATGCCGTCTGACAAAATCCAAGATGTCAGACGCGTTGCTACCATGTGAAATCCCCGCTGACAGCAGGCGGACGAAGACCTACGCAAGGCAATGAACGGACGGTCGTCGCCACCTTTTTGGAAGCCCTGAAGACCCCTCCCCCCGGTTGACCAGTGGCGAGTCGCTAGCCCGCCGCCCGTGTGTCTCGACCTCTACCTGAACTCATCATCAGGTCGAGAACATCATTGGGCATGATCCGTTTCCGATCATTGGATCATCATCATGATTCCAGTATACATGGGATGTAACACACTAACGTTTTGGGTGACATCCCCTAACCCTTTCCGCGTTCAGTGGACTTGAAGTGTAACAGAATTCACGCTTCATCTCTCTTCCAGCTTGGCAGGTGCTGAAGGCTGGCAGACAGCCGCACTGAAACCATTGTCTGAACAATAAGCTGTTTTCGTGAGGCGTCTCTGAGAAAAGCATGCGTCATTTAAGCGTCTCTTGGTGTATAACCACCATCGCATCGCATCTCTGAAATCCGCTTTTTCTACCCTTAAATCCGCTCTTGACATCGCATCGCTCCTCTGCTACAACGCCCCAGAACTCATCCTTCCTCTGACTCCTACTTCATCTGACACCCTTATCTCTCAACTCATTCACTCTCTTCCCCTCCTCTCTCTCTCTGACGTGCGCGGTGAGTGTGTCGCGCGCTCCGCCCCCGTCGTCGTCGCGTCATCGTGCCAGCTTTCGGGGCCGACCAGACTTTTAACCGGTCACCCAAGGCACGGTGCACGTTGGCGTGGTCATCCTTGGTTGTTTTCTTCGTCTCCGTCCTCTTGGCCGTGGTCTGGGTTTTGCCTTGAGGCGTGCGATGCCAACGGCTCATCACGCGCCCAGAACCACATCATCCATCAACTGGCGCTTTGACGCGCTCACGTCAATGCTTGAACGGACCCGGCTCATCCCCTTGTCTTGTGCGATTCTGTACCACTTGCCCCCTTTCCCCCCCCCTGCTTTCTGCCCCCACGGTCAGGACCTCGAGGAGCCGCTCTCCCGTTTGTGCAACCACACACCTCCGAGGACCAGAAACGCACCGATTGCAACACCATATCAAAAGGCATCGACTCACCAATGCCATCGTCTGGGTTTCTGCGCCCAGCGCTCGAGTGACCGAGCTCCCTCAACTACTCGACAAAGCAAACACCACGCCCCCAATTCCCGGGGCTGCCCGCGACGTCTTGTCTGCTCCTGGGTGGACGTGCTTATTCCTGCCCCCTGGCGTGCTTGCTTGCGACAGTGGTCCGCAACAACCTTCCTCTGACCCGCTGTTGCACGTTCCCAATTCTTCCTGGATGCACAGCGATTTTGAGTGCCTGAACACACCGCAGGACTAGCCCGTGTGTGGCTACCCATTACTCGTGTCAGGCACTTGCGCTGACTCGTCCCTTCGGCAGCTCGAGTTTGATTGCGCGCTGCAGCTGCTTTGCTGTGCGCCAAAACCACGCCTCATGCCGCGGCCCGGCGTTGCCGCGTCCGGCGTGCACAGGCCGCGATTGGTGCTGCTAGCCGCTCTGGCTCTGATTTCGGCACCGCTTGGCTGCCATGCTGGTTGGTGGCGCTGCCTTCTCTTCGTTCATCCCTTGCCTCGTCTTTTTCCATCCGCCCGACCATGGGCAAACCTTCCACCCGCGATCGGCCGCTGTCCTCACCCCATGTCGTTCTCGCTTTGGCTCGCAGACACAATCTACATTGAGGGCGATCCTATTACGCACGTGTCGGGAGGTGTGCCTCTCACGTTGGCCACGCTCTGCTCCAACAGTGCACCTGTGACCCCTTTTTGCGCACGAGTCAACTCCAAATCCAACAATGGGCTGAATGTCCGCGTGAGTGGCATTCCCCTCAACTGCAACTCCGCAGGTTCCTGCTCCATCACAGCTCCTACCGCGGTGTGTGCCTCGAGCGTGGCCGGGGATGAGACACTCTGCCAAACCAACACTCTGACTCGGCGTGTGCGCCTGATCAATGCCTGCCCTGACCCCGGCACCGATATCGATGCGGGCGACTTTGTGGACCGAGCCGTGGCCCCCGTGCCCACCAACCAGCCCTTTTCCGTCCCTGGCTATGACAGCCTGCCTGGCATCACCTATCGCATGGGCAATTATACCATCCGATATAGAACGGCCAGCGACGCCAACCCCACCTGCCTTTGGGAAGATACCACCGCAGCGCAGATTGCCGCGCGCAACGCACTGGGCCTCAGCTCCTGCGAGCGCCTTGTGATAGTTGAGGACACCAATGTGCCTCAGGTGAGCCTCTGTGGCAACTCAGTCATGGAATTGGAGGGTGGTGACGAGTTTATTGACCCCGGTGCAACTGGCACCGACACGGTCGATGGAGATCTCCTCTACCTCGGCGCTGAATGCGACATCCAAGTCGAGGACGATGGGTCAATTACATTCCTTGGTAATCCGGGCGACATTTGCCGCCTCATTCCCGACGGTGACTTTGTTGATGGCCGTCTTGTTCTCAACAACAAGGATGTCAAAAACCTCACCATCACTTATGTCGCGCTCGATCGCGTCAGCACCAGTCCTGGCACTGTCTCCCGCCTCCTCATTGTCAAGGACACCAAGCCGCCCCTCATCAACCTCTGTGGCCCGCAACGCATCACCGTCGAAGCAGGCGAGCAGTACGTTGACACCTACTGTGGTGTTCAGCCCGAAAACAACGTCTGTCTTGAGCCGCAAGACGGGGGCAGTCTCAACGACGCGCAGGCCAAGGCCTACTGCGAGGCGCGTGCCAGCTCTGGCTGCCAGTGGATCAACGACGCTTGCATCCTGACCACGCACCCGTGCTTCGACCACCTCTCGGAAAATGAATGCACCGCCAACGCCCTGTGTCGCTGGTGCCCCCGAGGTGCCACCGCCGAAGATATCGTGGATGGTGACCTCACGGCCTCGATGTTTGTCAACAGCGAAGTCGACATGCGCCCCTCCATCCTCCCTGCTACGTTTACGATTCGCTACTCGGTCGAAGATAACAACGGTGTCTCCGCCCGTCAGGTGGTGCGCTACGTCACCGTGGATGACAGCAAGGCACCTGATCTTCAACTCGTTGGTAACGCCACCATCAATCTGGAAGGTGCCTCCTTTTTTTACGATCCGTGGGCCATTGCCACGGACGAATATTACGGTGATCTCTCAAATGATGTCAGCCTCATCTCCGTTCGCCAGGCTGGCAATTGCATCAAAAGCACTGGCTGTGGCCTGACTAACTTCAACGCCGTCACCTCCATGGCCCCAGCTGGCACCCGCTGGACCCTCAAGTACAGCGTGCGTGACCCCAGTGGTCGCCAGGATACGCAGAGCCGCAAAGACCGCGTCGTTGTGATTGTTGACACCCAGCCCCCCGTTCTCACCCTCACGACCACCGACACATGTGGCGAATTCTGCACGTGGGAGGGCGCCACCACTTGGATTGATCCCGGGGCCACCGCTTATGATGCCCTTGACCAGAACGACCTCAACGGCTTCACCTACAGTGGTGTGACACGCCCCTCTCGCGTCAACTCGGCCGGACGCGTGGACACCGGAGCCCCGGCCTTTAGCACATTCACGGTAGTCTACAGCGTCCGAGATATGGCATTCAACGAAGCCGAACCCATCAACAGAACAGTTATGATTGTCGACTCGACCATCCCAGTGATTAACGGTGGCGCCTTGACCGCGGCGGCGCAGGCTTCGCAGGGTTATGTCGACCCCAACATTACGGCACGCGACAGTCTCGATGGCGCTTACGCGTACAGCCCTCGTCCAGCGAGCCGCATCTTCCGCAGCATCACCCGAGTGCCCGTCACCTGTGCTGCTGACGAGTTTGAGTCGCAGGCAGAAACTCGCATTCGCCGCCGCGTGTGCACGGATCTCACCGTATGTACTGCCGAGCAGTACCAGGTCCAGGCACCCACACCCACCACGGACCGCGCGTGCATCAACGTCACGGGGCCTTGTGCGCTGGGCGACGACTACGAGGTGGCTGCTCCCACCGCGACCTCTGACCGGCAGTGCATTACCTGCCCCAGCAATTCCACCAGCGCTGCTACCACCGTGGTGGAGACCCCCCGCGAGTTTCCCTGCTTCAACTTTTCAGCCCCCGTGGTCACGGAAATCGTCGACCTTCTATCCGTTCTCAGTACCACCACGCTTCTTCCGACCACGCTCGGTGCCAACGCTACCACTGGCTTGCCGGGACCCGCCTCCAACGCCACTGACCCCATCCGCGTCTATGCCTTCGTCAACGACACCCTGCGCATTGATTTTGATGCCAGCCTCCGAGAGATTGTCAGCGTCGATGGCACCATCAATTCGAGCGTCATTTACAACGTTTCGGACCCGGCCACCCTTGACGCCCTGTACCCGATCGTGGAACTACGCATTCCCCTCGTCAACGCGACTGTACTCGAGCTTTATGATGCCTTTGACCCCACTGTCGTGATTTTGGTTGACGTGCGCGACCGACCCACTCTAGATGCTTGCAACCTCAATGCGTCGGGTCTGCTTCTCAACGGGTCCAAGACCTTGCTGGCCGCCCAGGCCATCTACGATGCAGCCTACCTCCGCTTTCGCCAGGACTATCGCGTGGCGCTGGCTTCCCAGGAGGAGGACACCCTTGGTCGCTGCCAAATTCTCAATATGCATGACATGGCCACCATCCTTTTTGAGCACCAGTATGAAACGGTGAGCGTGGGCCTTCGGCCCGCCATGCCCTCGCGCCTCGCCTTTCTTGGGGCCAATCAATCAAACGGTCGCTTTGAGTACCGCTTGCCCGGTGCCTCCGACTGGATCGCGTTGGGTTCAAACTTTCCCCGCCTCGTTCCCACCGGCTCGGCGGCCGCACCCACCAATTTTCGGTTCTACGGTGACGCTGACTATCACGGCACGGTATTGGTTGTCTGGGCATTGGCCAGTGATGCGACGGGCGCTGCCGGTGCCTATCATGCCACCGGCTCCCTGGAGGTCGAGGCCATCAACGACGCTCCCATTCTTGAGGATGGCATCGTCGCTCCCTACATGTTTGAGGACGAGGACCCTCCTGCTGACATTGGACGCAGCAAGGGCTTTGCTGCCATTGACCTGCTGCGCATTGACACCAACCCTCTGCCCAACGTGGTAGAATATCAGTATTTTGTCACAGACGTTGACACGAACCTCATTGTGAACGGCACCATGGGCGTGGCCGTCGTGGGTCTGTTTCAGAGTGAGGGTGTGTGGTCCTGGACTTGCGATACCCGTGGACTTGGTGCCAATGATGTCCTCGCCGCGTCGGCTGATGACTGGTCCTGGTTTTTCTTTGACGGTGGCTATGACACGGTCCTGCAGCGCCAAGTCACAGAGCCCAGCTCAACCTTTGCCACTCTGCTCGCCCATGACTGTCGCATTCGATACCAGCCCAACCCAAACTTCAACACGGAAATCAATGCCGCGGGCGAGTATTTGCCTGCTTCCATCAAGCCCTACTTGCTTGTCCGTGCTTGGGACATGTCCAACGGCGAGGATCTCGCTGGTTTGTCGGGTGCGGACACGTCCACGTACTACCACACCGGGCCATACAGCCAGCATATTGCCACCGCGGCCATGGATGTGTATCAGAGCGGTGACTTGCCCAACATTTTGCTCACCGAGGACGGTGGAGACTACGCCACCACGTTTCTGGAAGGCAACGTTCAAGGCGTGCTCTTGGTCAACGACTCCTATGTTGGTCTCAACTACCTCGACGGCATCAGCATTGAAGAGATTACTGTGACCCTTACCAACCGCTTGGATGGCGATGCCGAGCGCATTGTTGTCAATGTCGACGACTCTCCGCTCACGGCCGAAACGATCGCCACGGCTGACACCTCCACCATCCGCATCTATTCACCCACTAATGAACGCCATCCGCTCACCATCTTTGCTGCCGTGCTCCCTACCCTCCGCTACTTCAACGATGCCGACGAACCAAACCCAACAGCTCGCGTCATCAACTTTCAGGCCCGCGACGAGGACCGTCTCGGCGAGATCAGCACCACCGAGGTCCGTGTGCAATTGGCTGATGACCCTCCGCAAGTGGACTTTGGCAGCAATGCCTATGAGGCCTTTATGCTGTACGAAGACCTTGGAAGCCCAGTCACGCTGGCGCCCAGCGCCGTGATTGATGACGCCGATTCCACCGTTCTGCGAGCGGCCACCGTTTCCGTCAGTAGCGTCATCGACTACGAGTGGCTCCTTTTCAATGAGTCATTCCTGCCTGTCAACCTCACCGTTGAACGCGCAGGCCCTGCCACCCTGGTGTTTCGACCACGCAACGCGACCGTGTTGCCCCTGGCCTTCTTTCAGGCAGCCTTGCGCCGGGTGGAGTACGTTTTCCCGTTGGCCAATGTCAGCACCAACACCACCGGTGATGACGACGATGATGTCTTTGGAAACGCCACCACAACCACGGCTGCACCCGTTGTATTGCCCACCGCCCTGAACCAGGCTCGCACCATCAACTTTGTCCTGCAGGACGAGACCTCCGAAGGCGCATCGCCCGTGTATCTCTCAACGGCAAGCATTGGCCTCCCACCCATCATTGACCTCAACGGCAAGGCGCCCGGCCGCAACAACTTGCGGCCCCACCGCTTCGTGGAGGGAGGGCAGGCAGTGCACATCTTCAACGAGGATATGTATGTGAGCGACTCAAGCAACAGCCAACAGCTGTTGGGCGCCCAGGTCTACGCCGAAGCATCCGCCAATTGTGGACAAGAGGTTTTGGCCTGGGATGCCGCGCTGGCTAGTTCTTCGGGCATCTCTGTCGTGCACAACAGCCTCGCACCGATTTTGACCCTGTCTGGAACCGCCACGATTGCGCAATACGTTGCGCTGCTGCAAACAATCACGTATGCCAACCAAGCAGAAGCGTTTGACGGCGGCCTGCGCTACATTTACGTGACAGTGACGGACACGGAGCAATTTCAGAGCCCAGCGGCCATGACAACCGTGCGCTTGATTGATATCAACGACAACCCGGTGCTGTATCCTGATCAGGGTGTTGAGGCCCTTGCGGTGCGCCAAGACGCGCAAGAGGACACCAATACCGGCTTTTCCCCCGCCACACTCATGGCCCGAAAGGCGCCTGCGCTTCTCACCCGCCCGCGCATTCAGCAGATTGGCTGTGGTGCGGATGGCCAGGCTGGCTGCACGTGGTGGGAGGCTGCATCCACTTGCCGAAACGTGGCGCTGACCCTATGCAGTGCCGCGGAGGTGCGGGCTAGCTGGCCTAACGCGACGAGCGGAGCCGCGACAGTGGGCTGGACCAATACGCTTGCCTCGGCTTCCGAGGTCCCGGCCTTTGCGGGGCTTGTGGCCAACACTGTTTCGCGTAGCAATCTCTCCATATTTGAGGACGTGCGCCCCAATCCGACGTATGCTTACATTCTGCGCTCGTACAACTTGGCCTCCGAGCCGCTTTTTGGCGTCGCCGAGCGTAGCGAGTCCCTGCTTGGCGAGCCAGTGTACGCACTTTGCTGCCGCCTCCCCCAGGCCGCCAAGCAGGCCCCTGCCATCCTGCCGCGCGCAGATTTACCAGTGGACGCGCATCTGAACCTGACAGCGGGACGCATCCACCCCATCTCCTCGATCAAACTTGAAGCCGAGGCTCACCTCATGGGCAAGGGCATCTCGGGACACATTTACTTCGAGCAGTTGACAGCCGATGCACCCGTGTCTGTGCGCGTGAACATTGAGGACCTCAACGTCAACTCCAACGCCATGTACAAGCTTGCCATCTATGCCCAGCCCGTGGGTCCGGCCAGCGTGGCTGAGCCTTGTGGTCGCTCTTACGTGGGGCGTATGTATGACCCGTTGACCATTGGCTCAACCTGTGCCGCCGATGATGCCACGCTGTGCGCCATGGGTAACATTAGTGGGCGACACGGCGCCTTTGACGAAGTGCAATACCAACAGGGTCTTTTGGACCACACCCTTTCGCTCTTCTCAGCCCACTCTGTCGTGGGCCGATCAGTCGTATTGCTTCAAAATGACGTCCCCCTAACGTGCGGTAACATTACTTGGGCTGCCACTGTACCAACCCGCCGTGTACGAGCTTCCTTTGATGGCTACTTGAGTGGCACCGTCACACTTACGCAGCCCTCAGCTGCAGCGGGCCTGGAGCCATCCGCGACCGCCTATCCATTAACGCCCACCACGGTCCAGGTGGCTCTGCGGGCGCCCATCGCTCAAATCTCTGCCATCTCCTGGTTTGTGGCTGACGAATCTTACAATGCCAGCGCATGTGCTGCAGCAACAACCGTGGCTGGACCCGGCCCCTGGCGGCCGGTCACGCACCTCTCGGGCGATTTCACAGCTACCGTCCCCGCCTTCACTGAATCCGAGTATGCTTATGATGCGCCCTCGGGCTCAGCCACGCTTTTGATTGCAAGCGAGCGCCGCCTTTCTTGTCTCCGCATGACGTTGCGAGATGACTCGCTTCGATTGCTGGCAGATGGCATGTGGGCCCAACTCGTGGCGGGCTCCTGCGCCGGCACGGGCTCATCCGCTGTGCTTTTGCAGGCCAAAGTCAGCTGCAACGCCAATGGCACTTGCGAGGCACTGGCGTGTTTTGACGACGTCGTGCTGAGTACCAGCTCCTCGTATGCAGTGCGCCTGCACGCCAACTTTTCCGAGCCCTCGGCCGCTGTATGCGCCGAGCTTGCGCAAAGCTCTTCGACGCAGCCTTGTGCAGACCTTGTCGCGGGCCAACCTCTGGGATCAGTCCTGTGCGACGTCGGTGCTTTGTCCGAGAAGCATGGCAACTTGGTCATCGACTCAAGCTCCACGGCTCGAAGCGTGTTCCAAGATCCAGATCTACCCCTGCGCGGGTCGGCTTCGGTGTCAGGAAAAACGCTGGTCCTGCAGGTGGGGAGCACGGTGCAGTGTGCGCCTCTGCTGGTTGAGGCCCCGATGCCACGCGTAGCCGAGGCCTACTTTGACCTGGGCAACGTCCGAGGATTGGTCACGTTTACGCAAGACGGCCCCACAAACCCCGTGAGCGTGTCCGCGGAAATGTACGTGGCCAGTGGGTCGTGGACATACACCAATGCCGGCCTGCGCGTGGTCGAGACAGCCGTGGCGACACTGGCTGACGGCGCTGGTCTCTCGACGGCCATGTGCGCGGATACGGGCGATGTATTCGCGCCCACGGGTGCCGGAACCGGGAGCTGCAGTCAGTCGGTACCCAGCGCTTGCGCGGCCGGTGATTTGCGAGGCAAACACGGCAGCTTCTCCACCCCCGTGTACAACTCTGATATCGGAAAGTACGTGGCCAGCATGAGCCTGGTGGATAACGACATCACGCTCTTCGGCCAGCACAGTATTGTGGGCCGCGCTTTGGCTCTCGTAAACAGCGGCACTGCCAAAATCAGCTGCGCTAACATTCGCGCCACTGGGCCCTACGATACCATCAGTGCAAAGCTCCATGGCTCCGTGGCCGGCGTGGCTCACTTTAGCCGCCCGCGCTTCTGGACCACGGATGAAGTCTTCGTGACGCTGGACCTGACCCAGCGCGTCTCGGGTGGGAGTGTTGCGTGGTCCCTGAACGAGGCAAACGGCGATTGCGGTTGCGCTCAGGCCAGGGACGTCTGGGCGCAAACAGGCGCAGCCGAGTGTACGCCGGGTCAGGATGCAACGCACACTACCTGTGGCTACGGAGACATGAGTGGCAAGCATGGGTATCTAACCAGCTTGACAAGGGGACGCCACCGGTATTCGTTCACGGACATGAACCTGCCCTGGACCGAATTGGCTGGCAAAAGCATTGTCGTGTACAACGACTTTGCAGCCAGCTCACGCGTGGCTTGCGGCACCCTGACGCCTTTGCAGGACCGCGTGGCCTACGGTGTCGTCGTGCAGTCGGGCATCACCGTCAATGTGACCATGTCCCAGAATGGCCCCATGGCCCCCCTTCAGATCAAGCTGGATGCGTACGACCTCGCTGGCATTGACCGTCTGCAGATTTTGCAGGCGGGGGCATTGGCGCAAGCCAACGCAGATGACGTGGTTGAGCTGACGTGCTCTACGGGCGGCAACATGTATAACCCCTTTGCCAAGGCTACCTGCAGTAGCCTGCGCTTTCAATCGGATGACAACTGCGCCATCGGTGATTTTTCCGGCCGCTTCACCACGGCTGAAGACTTGGTCGAGATGCAACACGTTTACACTGACCGCTTCTTGTCCCTCTACGGTCCAGCCACCGTGGCGGGCCGCGCATTCACGCTCCTTGGTTCGGCTATCCTTGCCGCACCCTACGAGGCTTATCGCAACAAGCCTTTTGTGTGTGCCAACTTGCGCCCTGCTGCTACCGTGGCCGGCGGTGACCCAGCTTTTGTAACGCAACCCGGTGCACACGCCGTCTTTGACGATGCTGAAGCGCCATTCACTGGCGAGGTGGTTTTTGAGCCCTTGTACGATGACGTCTTATCCGAGCTTCAGATTTCAGTGCGCCTGTCACTGACTGACGCGTCCATCTTGACGGCCTGGTACATTGGCGATGCTACCTCATGTGATAACCCAGCATCACTCACCACTGTCTTCAATCCAGATGAGATCAACGCGGCCTCCATCTGTGGGACCTATGATGCTCAACTGGGCTGCGCTGCTGGCGACCTCACGTCCAAGCATGGTACACCTTCGGGCAGTGTCTTTGGCCAGTTTGTCGATCGTGAGCTAGTTCTTGACGGTGCGCGCGGCATCATGAACCGAGTGCTGGTTCTACAGTACTCTGCAGCCTCAACCGGAAGTGCGACGCGTCTGTGCGCGCCCATTGTCCCGCATGGTCGTTCTGTTGTGACCGATCCGGACGATACGAGCATGGATGCACACTATGATCTGGGATTGGCCATTATCGGGCTGAACGATGATCATGGCTATTGGCAGTACCGCGAGTCGGCGCTGGAGGACACCTGGACAAATCTATCGGTGGCTGCCGTGACCAGGCGAAATGCGCTGCATTTTGCATACAGCATCATCCCCCGCTTGCGCTTCGTGCCTGAGGCAGGCTTTGCTGGTGACGAAAACTGTGAGACGTGCCCCATCCCGCGCGCCAAGTCGTGTGTGCCTTGCGCTTTGAATATGACTGCAGGTGGAGTGTCGTTCGTGGGCTGGGACCTCAGCAACGGCGACTATGACGGTCAGTTCTTGGACTTGTCTGCAGCCAGCACAGCGGCCTACTCGACCGCAAGCAAATTTATGACCGTTGAGATTGAGTTGACGCGCGTCAACGAAAGCGTGCCTGCTGGCACGCAATACTACATCGACTTTAGCGTCCGTGATAACGTTGGCAATCAAAACCAGTTTCAGCGTCAGCTCACCATCGTGGACCTCGTCCCCCCGACTGTGGCGGTGCGTGGCCAAGCCTCCAGCACTTGGGAGGGTGGCTTTGTTTACGTTGACCCTGGAGCCACGGCATTGGATGGCCAGGATCTTGACATTACGGGTGACGTGCGTGTATCCAGCATTGCCCTCGTCTCGGGGCCCCTTGCTCCCGAACCGGAGGATAGCCCACGCCTTTTCGACTGCACGCTGCCGGCCTCCAACTGGCCCGTGGTAGGTGACGAATTGCAATGCCGCTCCCGGCCCAATGTACGACCATCATACTACTCGTTCAGTTGTGTGGTGCCTGGACCGAATGTGACACTACCCTACCAACCCGGCGTTCAAGTGGCCTTGACGGGTCTGGGCCAGCCGGTTGGCATGAAAGATATTGTCAGTGTGGAGAACAAGACCTACCCGTGTGTGCGCTCTGGCACTGGCCTGCGTTGCTATGAGGCATCTTCGGAGGAGCTGGAGCTTGACATGCCCACCGGCATTCAAGACGTGACTTTGTCGTGTGCCGTCGAGGTCACAGTCCCCTACTGCCTGCTGGACGACTATCGCTTGGCAGTACGACACCCCAGGCCGACTGACCCCCGCTTTGTGAACACGGCCGTCAGCGCCGGAACCACCTACCGCATTGGGTACACGGCGACTGATGCCACCTCCAATGAAGCCAGTGAGACATACCGGACAGTGACGATCGAGGATACCATTGCACCGCAAGTTCGCGTTCTGAGCCAGCGCGTGACGCTAAACAAGGTGCGCGGCGGCTCGGAAACGTACACCTATGTGGAACCCGATGTTATCAACGAGGTGGATTGTCCAGGCCTTGCTCTCACTGACTTTGAGGCCTGGGAACTTCCTTATCTTGCATGCTCCTACGCGCTCGACATCTTGGATGGTGACGTAAGCTGCCGCTCCTCAGTGACGCTCTACAATCTCAATGCCGTGACCAACGGCACTTTGGCCCGCCTGGCCCACGCCGCTTTCGTGCTTTGGGAAGCCGACGCCGCGGCTGCCGGTGCCACCGAAGCTTTTGAAGTGTTAACGGTCGCCAACAATTGCTTGCTGTTCAACGCCGCAACGCGCGGCTTACTCTCGACTGCTGCTGGCGCTGCTGCGACAGCAGGGGCATCGGCAGCAGCGTCTGTGGCCGAACAGCGTCTAGTGGATGCACGACAGACAGCAGCGGAGTTGGCTGCTGCCGTGAACGATTCGTTCTGCGGCAGTGAGGCCCAGGCCAGCGTACTCGGAACCCTCAATCCGTCCGCGCCCGTCGGTTCAAGCTATTTTCTGCTGTACTCAACCGCTGATTTGAACGGCAACACCCGTGAGTTTCAGCGACTGGTAACCGTGGCAGACTGGGCTGCGCCCAACGTTACGGTGGCATCGGATCCCAACATCACACTCGCCTATCTGGCCAACTGGACCGAGGCTGATGCGCTAGTCGGGGTGACGGCTGTCGACGGAGTTGACGGGAATCTGACCGCGAACCTGACGGTCCTGACACTACCCAACACGGCCGTTCCGGGAGTGTACAATGTGACTTTCAGTGTGACAGACAGCAGTGGCAATACAAACGACTGGGTGTACCGAACTGTGCTGGTGCTGGCTGCACCGACCCGCGAGCTGGAGGACAACCAAGTTGAAGTCAGCGCGACATACCTCCTGTCAAACGTTGCGCCGACCACGTTCAATACGGCTGAAGGTCATCGTGCCTTCTACGCGGCAATACTGGAATTGTTCCTGACGAATCAGTACTACGACTTTACCACGTTCATTAATGCGTCGAGCTTTTTCGACTTGAAGGCGGTGGATTACGCGCAGACCTCCAACGACGATTCCTTGGTGACAATTCGTGTCGTGGTTCCTTGCAATCGGGCTGCAAACACCACGATTGCCTTTGGCAATTTCTCCAGTCAGGGTAGTCTGGCCATCCGGCTCCGTGCTGCGTCCGCCATCTTCAGGAATCTACGGTTATCCATGAACTCGGACCCTGTTACGACTGGTAGTACCTGCCCACCCGTCAATGTGGCCGCTTCGGGCTCCGGCCGTCTCTCGACCGGCGCTGCCATTGGCCTTGGCGTGGGCATCTTTGTCCTTCTGTTTGTGGTGGTGTTTGTCATTTGGTGGTTCAAGTGCCGCCGCGACAAGGAAGATGAAATGTCTCGCCTCCTAGCTGGCATGCACGACCCTGCCCCGAAGCCAGAGGACAACGCCAAGTATCATTACATTAATGGCGTATTGGTGCGCATCGATGAGACTGAGTATAAGGACGACAAGGTTGTTGTTGAGGAGGAGGACATCTACGACAACACCAAGCTCAACAAGAAGCCTCGTGCCGTACCGGTCCCACCTTCACAGGGGGCGCTGGCGTTCACACCCAGTGCTGAGGAAACGTACGAGGGTGTGGCGAGCCCGTCCGGGACGCGAGTCAACAATGCTGGCGGCAGCAGCAGCAGCACGACCTTCATGCTCTCCGGTGAGGAGACATACGAGGGTGTGGACTCACGCACCGGCTTTAACACACACAACAACACCTCGTCGACCGACGAGCAGGGTGGATATTTGGACATTGGGGACGAGCGAGGAAACATACGACACATGCCCTAGTCCAAGGCTGCTCCCATGATTCGCCCTCCCCTTTGTGCACACGGCCGACGATGTGTACGACGGCTTTGAGGCTGTCAAGCCGTGGCTTTGCATCACACGATCGCAGTGAGCGCACGGGTGAGCTGGCTGCGGCCACCGAGGAGCTCTACCTGGCACAGGGCAAGATTGAGCCAGCGCCTGCTCCGCAACCTGTGCCTTTACCGGTGCCTATGGAAGAGGACACCTACGACACGGTGGCCGAACCCAAGGCAGCCCCCGTGATTGCACCATTTGTGCACACGGCCGAGGACGTGTACGACGGGGTGGAGACCGTTAAACCCGGCTTTGCGTCGCACGATCGCAGTGAACGCACGGGTGAGCTGGCTGCGGCCACCGAGGAGCTCTACTTGGCACAGGGCAAGATTGAGCCAGCGCCTGCTCCGCAACCTGTGCCTTTACCGGTGCCTATGGAAGAGGACACCTACGACACGGTGGCTGAACCCAAGGCAGCCCCCGTGATTGCACCATTTGTGCACACGGCCGAGGACGTGTACGACGGGGTGGAGGTAACCAAGCCCGGCTTTGCGTCGCACGATCGCAGCGAGCGCACGGGTGAGCTGGCTGCGGCTACCGAGGAGCTTTACCTCGCGCAGGGCAAAATTGACGCGCCTCCGACCACAATGAGCTCGTTTGGCGGCGTGGGTGGCACCGATGATGTGGCTGAACCCAAGGCAGCCCCCGTGATTGCACCATTTGTGCACACGGCCGAGGACGTGTACGACGGGGTGGAGGTAACCAAGCCCGGCTTTGCGTCGCACGATCGCAGCGAGCGCACGGGTGAGCTGGCTGCGGCTACCGAGGAGCTTTACCTCGCGCAGGGCAAAATTGACGCGCCTCCGACCACAATGAGCTCGTTTGGCGGCGTGGGTGGCACCGATGATGTGTACGAGGACATGGCCACGGCTCACACGCCGCGTGGGCAAGTCCCGACAGGATTCCAAATGTCGACCGACGACATTTATGAGGGCGTGGAGGATGCCAAGCCCGGCTTTGCGGCGCACGATCGCACTGAGCGCTCTGGCGAACTGGCGGCATTGACAGAGGAGTTGTACGAAGTTCAAGGACAGGATCGTGGCGCTGGCCCAAGTCTTCCACCCATGCCTTCGCGGCCTCCCGCTGCCGTGCAGCACTGGAGCCAGGATACCCGGCGCTATGTTCACGGGGCTCTCTCCCGTACCGAAGCCGACAGCATGCTCACACGAGCTGGTGGCGAAGCTGGTACATTCTTGGTACGTGCTCGCAAGGGTACTCAACAGTACGTCCTCTCCCTCGCCCTCTCGGGTGGCAAGGGGGAACATCATGTGCTCGAGCGAGGCCCGACGGGTGCTTGGCAAATCAACGGGTCAGCAACAACCAAACCGTGCACCACACTTGAGGCACTGGTTCAGCACCTTTCGCAAACGGCCGACATCGTGGGCCATACCTTGACACAGCCTGTATCGCCTGCATAAGTGCCCAGTATTAAACACCATAACTTGAACGCTGGCCTTCTCTTGTACTTTAAAGTTTTGCTTTTATTTTTCCGACATTTTGGTTTGTTTTTTGAACAATTTTTTTTCTTGTTTTTTTAATGGTCTCTACGTTGCCGCCTCGCAAAAGCCAAGCTTTTCTTCTCGCGGTTTCATCTTTTGTTTTTTCGTCTGCTCGTTTTTTGCCGGTCCCGGTATCAATTGAAACGAACATGACACAGTCGTTGAATTTGATGTTTCCTACTTGTCCAGCAGATCGATCCAGCTCTCAGACAACACTCAGAGTTCGAGATTTTTAGAGATTCTTGTTGTGAAGAGAAAAAGATTATTCGCATGGACACTGTAGGTCATTTTTATCAGATCACGAAGGCCAAAGTCTAGGTTTCGACGTCGTCTCCAAAACCTCTTCGATGCAATGTGACGACGTGCCATGTCAAGTATTTACGACTTGCTTCTGACTTTTTTTCGAGTTTACATCCGGATGTTAAGTTAAACTTTGAATTTTATCTCTAAAGATGGGGAGTGGTCAAAACCAAAGTTCAAGAGAGGGCAGGACAAAGCGCTCGGCTATGGCAGACGTTGCAGAGGCAGAGCAGCAAAACGCCGTTTAGAGGTCTGGAGCCACGGCGCCGTGCACCAACGTATCACTGAGACCCGGGGCAACTGCAGGAAAGGCACGACTCGCGTGCCGACTTTCATGAACCGTACACAAACAGGGAAAAAAAAAGCAAGATCTTTGTAGAGCGGCCATCAAAACATAGTTTTCGTCACCCTGCAAAGGCAGGCTGGCCCAAAGCGCTTCAGCAATCCGCGGGGTGTGCAGTACCCTGCCTTGAGTTGGGAGGGGAAAGCAGCACTCTCACGCCGCTGACTGGATGTCACCGCGACGCGTGGATGATTGATTATTGTCGCCCTGTGGAGCTGGAATGTAGCGCGTCAAGGCTTTGTGGAAAAACTTGTTGTTGCTTTTCATCATGTACTCGATCAAAGACTCGAGGGAGGGGCAATGTTCGTATGCCTTCGTATCACCCGGCCATGACAGCATGAAAGAAAAAAAAGGTAGTGTGAGTAAAGCGCACCGAGCTCAAGCCTAAACATCGAAGGGCCTGAGCGAGGTGGGAAGCCCACCTGTTCGTCCAATTCAAAGGTACCGTTGGAGGAGCGCGCAATAAGGTGATGCCCGACAACGGCCTGGCCGGAAGATTCATCCAACCAAGCCACGTCAAGCGCATATTGGCCCTGGTCTTCTTTCTTGGCCCGAACGAGAAAAATGCCGCTTTCCTGCGCCCGAAGAGCTTCTTCGCGAAGCAAGTCTTCTGCCTCTTTGCGCCGCGTGGCATGGTGTAACCAAGGTTGGCTACTCGCACTCAAACTCATGGCAGCCGCCATCCCGGACCCTGCACCAGCCATTGTCTGTGTGGTGGACAATCGTGAGATGTGCGAATTAAAATGATGATGCGATGGGATAAAGAGGGGGGGGGGGGAGTGCATGTGAAAAGAGGCCCTTGAACTGGTCCAGTAACGTATGATCATGGTGTGCCTCTCCTCTCGGTTGTATGTGTGCGGTTGCATGCGTGCTCGAAAGATCAAGGGAAAACCATTCGTACCGCAGTTTTGGCGTCCATGCGTGCGTTGATAATGGCATCCTCGTCCATGTGATCAAAGTCAGTTTGAGGCTTGTCTTCGACATCCATGTTTGTGCTCACCTTGGACATGGAGATGCGACCAGATTCGACTGCGGGCTGGAAAAAAAGAGACGAAAAGTTTTTTAAAAAAAAGGTGCATGGGCGTGAGCAAGCGCAAAGTGACAGAACGAGTGCCGATCGCCGAAAAACGAAACAGGACCAAACACGACGCTCAAGGCGAAAAGAGCCAAAAAAGTCTACCAACCGCAGAAACAGCCACGCTTTGCAGGACCTGTGGTTGATCTTTGGGCTTCTTGCCGGCGCAGAGCACGGCGAGAAGCACGGTCAAGACGAGACCCAGACCTAGGCCAATCGCTAGGCCTGCGCTAGATCCAACTTCGGGTTCCTGCTCTGTATACTTAAACGCCGAGACGTGCTGAACCGCCACGGCCAGGGCAATCGCCATCGCGAGCACGCACGAGTGGCTGCGCATCCTGCTGTGTGCACGAGGAGAGATGCGACTGCCGCAAACCTGACGAGGTCCGATTCAAACGCGTCGAGAGGCAGGTGCCGCCAGGTAATGCGCACGATGGCGTCGACCGCCACTGCCAAATATCTTCAACCGCCACCACTACTGCAGGCGTGCCTTGACACACGCGTGTGCTACCGCCTCTGCAAATCTAGCACGGCGCCACCTTTCACGTTCGACGACCAGAGAAGTGAGAAGAAAAATAAGAATTTCGCACCTGAGCTCAGTATCAAGTCCGCGAGAGAGTGAGAAGAGAGAAGAGAGATGAATTGGTTTGGTCAGAGAATAGAGAAGAGAGAAGAGAGAAGAGAGAAGAGAGAGAGAAGAGAGAAGAGAGAAGAGAGAAGAGAGAAGAGAGAGAGAGAGACAGAGACAGAGACAGAGACAGAGACAGAGAGACAGAGAGACAGAGAGACAGAGAGACAGAGAGACAGAGAGACAGAGAGACAGAGACAGAGAGACAGAGACAACAGAGACAGAAGGAAAAGGGGCGGACCTGGTACAGCAGCATGGTGTTGTTCATGGTCAAAAAGAGATTACGAGAAAACCGAAGACAGTGATGATAAACATCTGACAATAATGAATTTGTCAGCCATTTTCATACTCAAATGTCATCATAACTTGTCAGCCGTTTCGGGGATGGCTCGGCCGTGGCGGAGGGTGGCCGTGCGGGCCGTGGCGGCGCCGTGGTGGTTCATGGGTCGAGGAGGCCGGCACTTGCATTATGTGGTTGGCATGTCAGGGGGTGTTGATAGCACCTTGACGGCTCATTTGCTCAAGCAGCAAGGTGTGTGGAGTGGGTGGCCTCTTGGCGCGTTTCGCTCTGAAATCGGCAGTCCTGTGGACCTTCACCGGGTGCCACATCTTCTTCGTAGCCTCACCATGGCTGACCACCTGAGTGATATTGCAGGTCACGAGGTGACGGGCGTATTCATGCGCACCTGGGATGAGCTGGACGAAACGGGCGTTTGCACAGCCGAAGGCGATTGGCGCCACGTGCAGGACATTGCTCAGCGTCTTGGCATTCCGTGCAAGCGCGTCGACTTTGTCCAGGAATATTGGCACAGCGTCTTTCAGTACGTCCACCAGCATTGCTTTGTACTTTGGCGTCTTAATCCGTACGCCCTCCTCATCCCTCTCTGCTCAATGCGGATAGGGTTATGCTGGATGAGCTAGCAGCCGGTGCCACGCCCAATCCAGACATTCTCTGCAACCGGCACATCAAGTTTGATGCCTTTTATCATTTTGCTCGAGACCAGCTCGGTGCTGATCGCGTGGCCATGGGCCATTATGCCCGTGTGGATGAGCGCGAGCCGGATATGCCCCGCCTTCTCCGCGGCTGTGATGACAACAAGGACCAGTCTTACTTTTTGGCTGGCCTGCCCGTTCACGTCCTGCGCCACGCCGCCTTCCCCCTCGGCCACCTCACCAAGGACCGCGTCAAGGCCCTGGCCGCCGCTGCCGGATTTTCTGATGTCGCAGGTCAACGTGAGTCTATGGGCTTGTGCTTTGTGGGCAAACGGCGCTTCGGCGCTTTGGTGCAACAATACTTGCCACCGCGACCCGGCGTCTTTGTTCATCTCGAGTCTGGTCGACAACTTGGACCCGTCACCGATCTCAACGTGATAACATTCGGTCAATCAGCCCGGCTGGATGGCCAGCCTGTCCGCTGTTATGTGGCTGGGAAAGACATGACGGCTGGTGCTGCCTATGTGGTCGAAGGGCTGCACCACCCCTGCTTGCATGCTCGTGCCTTTGCCCTCAGCAATGTGCACTGGACCCATCCCCCGCCCCAGGACGTTGAGGCGAACCTACATGTGCGCATTCGCCATCGTGGGCAGCTGCACCCCTGTGCTGTGGGGCCCTTGCCAGGCCCGTTCGACTCAATCAAGGGCACGCCTGCGCAGGCAGAAGAGCAGTTCTTCACGGATCTATCCTTGTGGCAGGTGTCAGGTCACGCCCCTGGTCAAACGCAGGCTGCACGATGGGCTCGAGCTTGCACCGCCTTAAGCACTCTCACAGATCAATCAGCTCCACCTTGCATTGTGCAACCATTTGAGCCCGTACACGGTGTTTGTGTGGGCCAGCAAGCCGTCATCTACAATGGCGAAGAGTGTTTAGGCAGTGGCCAGGTTGCTGCCGTCTTCCACCTCGAACCCACCCCGTGACCTGAGCTTGATAGCACATCAGAACGATGCGAGCTACATTTGTTGCTACACCGTTCCTCTACTCTGGTCTCGCGCCATGCACGATGCTGAGCATCCGACACGAGGCCTTCAAAATTGCATTGCCAACCTCGAAAGCACTGGATCGTGTACTAACACAGCGGCATTGGCCTCATCCTCCGCTCCACGCATGTCACGAATATGCCAACACAACACCAGTCAGGATGGCTAGACCGATAAGCAGCACGGTGTCCGAGCCATCCCAGCATACTTCCAAATTTTCTTTTTCTCGCTCTCTCTCTCTCGTTTCTCTGCTCTCTCTCTCTCATTTTTCTCTCTCATTTCTCTCTCTCTCATTTCTCTCTCTCTCATTTCTCTCTCTCTCAGTTGTGCGTTACGTCTGCAACCGATTGTTCCAGTGGCGGCGGCAGCGGCGGCGCTCACTGGCGGCACTGGCAGCGGCCATAACGGGTAAAAAGGGGGCGTTGATACGCGCCAGACAGGGGTGGGCACGTCGGCGTTGGTGTTGAAGTGCACCAGTGTTACTTTCACGTCGACATTCCAACGCTCTGCTGCGTGTGCCGCGTCAGCGCTCCAAGAAGGAGCTCAAACCCGTTTGGTCGTTGTATCCCACGCCGACACCATGGCGGGCCTGGCTTCCCTTTGCGGATGGCCTTGCGTTGGTCGTGTTGCTGGAAGCATCGACGCTCTTCGTAAGTTCTGGCTTGCCTGAGGCCCACAGGACTGTAACAATGGTGTGCACCACGCTCACTGCCTCAACTGCACAATTATTGCAATAGTCTTCTTCCTCGGGGGGATCTTTACGCTCATCTCCTTCAAAGCACTCTGTTGGGCGGTGGGCATCTACATGATCTGCTGTGCCGCAGTGCTGACCTTGCTTGAGATTCCTTTCCTCTGCTCTTTTGTGGAGAACGCCAAGGGATGGATTGAGTGGGCTGAAAAAGTGCGCCCGGCACAGCGTGCCGTATTTTATCTTGGGTAAGTGTGCTCCAGTCCACACCTGGTACCACGCTCCCAGACAGATCAGGGCCAGGTTGTTCATGAGCCCTTTCCCGTCTTGTCAACTCATGCTTCCCACTTGTCCTTGGCTCTCTGCCCTCCAGTTTATCCATCTTTCCATGGTTTTGTACAGGTGCGTCCTGGGTATGCGTGTGCATGAGAGCGCGTGCATAGTGGATGAGCGAGAAAGACCAAGTGAAAGATGAAAAAGAAGAAAACAGAAAGATAGTGGGCAAGAGGGGAAAAGGAAAGGAAGACTTGGCTGACACGGACACATGTCATCCGATCCATCCATAGGCCTGTGGTCCATTTTTGCGACTGTGATGCTCCTGCTGACCGCCTTTAGCTATTTCATGACCTGGCTGGTATGTGCACGGGCAGAGCACAGATTCATCGAGTAACCAGCAGGCATGGGCTTCTGATCGCTCTCACCCACCCTGCTCAACAACTCTAGGAGCAAAGCCGCGATGAAACAGCCCAGCGAGCCCGCCACCCACGTGATACAGAGGATGAGGAATCGCTCATTGCCAACGAGGACGTCAGTGCTCGGGTTAGTCTCTTTGCCTCGGCCTGTCTCAGCCTTGGTTCAAACTTGAAGCCTGCACTTGCTTGTTTGCTAAACATGATATCATCATGTTCATCATTAGGAGACGGTGAGCGACCAGCCTGCGGCGCCTACCTATGAGTGGGATCGCTTCATGGGTCAGGTGGCCCAGTCAGCGGGCGAAACCGTGGCAACCGCCGCCGTGGCCTCCCTTAGCCAGCAAATGTCCAATTCTGCTGCTTCCCCGGCTGGCAAAGGCCCACAACCCGCGCCGGGTGGCTCTGCTAGCAGCCCAGCCACGGCATCGGCGGCTGCCGCTAATAAACCAGGTCTGTCCCTTGGACTCTGCTGAGGCCCATTTGCATCACGCGTCCTGGCTCAATCATGTGCTTTTGTTCTGGATGGCTTGTGCAACAGCTTTTACTGGCTCAGTACCAGACGACGTGTTTGAGTGAATGGACCCCGTATCTAGGGGGGACCTGTGACTCGGTACAGAGTGGTCCAGGCCCTTGTCAAACGAATAGAAGCAGGATCAACTTGATGATGCGGTGCAAGCTGTTCTTGAGTTGGTATCACAATCGTTGCCCAGTATGCATGGATGCGTGATCACACATCACGGGCGTAGGAATAAACATAGCAAGACCACACACAAAGCGATGGGCAATAAAACGAACAAGCTTATTCGTGTGGCAACGCTTAGCAGCCAGCGGGCTTGTCAAAATCGGGTGGGGTACCACGTGGGCAGCGCTCTGCCATATGCGCCACCATCGGACGGCTATTGTAGGTGGGCAGGCTCATGCGGTAGTCACCCAAAATCTGGCAAAACGGCAGTCCAGGATCAATCTGCTGGCAATAGGCCGGTGGAGCCGTCGTGTTGAAGATGGCGAGTGTGTAGTCATCCCTGTTCCAGTGCAGTGGGAGAAGCAGAGAACATGGGTGAATTCAATGAGAAAAAGAAAAGTGGCAGGCAGACACCGAGTGGAGGCAGTCGGGCTCTGTCGGACCCAATGGAAAACCAACCAGTTGGTAAACTCAGTGCACTGGAAATCGAGATCGCCGAAAAGGCCACCAGCCTTCCAGGCTTCGCACACCAACACATCGCAGACCATGTTATAGCCGTCATCATATTGCCACTCGTCCTAAAAGAGGCGTCAAGTGAGACTTGCCCATTCAAGACATTGCCACCTCACCACAAGGTGCACGATACCTGCTCGGGCATCTCCATGAGCTCGGTGAAGGAGATGTTGCGTGAGTGAGCCAGGTTGAGGAGAGGAACGGTTGTCATGTTGACCGTGTTCAACCGCTGTGGAGAAGGCCAAAACGCGATTGAGCGATGTTGGTCCGGTGGGAGATCTTGCACAGACACATTGGCTTGTGCAGGCACCGATGACCAACCTTGTTAAGCGCGCGATCCCACAAAAGCCCGGACAGCTCATAGCTGATGGCATTGGCAAAGCCAATCAGAAGCTGGCGGCCCGAGTGAGCAAAGGCATCAATGTGATATGAGCATCCTCCCGAGGGGTGTTTGCCAGACGTGGCACGGGGCGAGATCGCACCTCGTGCAGATGCGAGTCCAAGGTGCCAGGGTAGTTGGCTTCGGGGGTGTCAATCCATGTGAAAAGCATGTTGGCGTAGCCATAAGGCAGGCCTTCCGCCACGTTCAAGAACCATTCGGTGGCTTTTGTGTTGTTAAACCTGAGTATCGTGCCATTGGTCGTCAAGAGCCACTGTTGTTGATCTTCGCCAGGTCAACTGATGATTCGACTCACTTGGCACGGTACTCGTCATTGAGGGGGAGATGCACCACATTGTAGGAAGCATTCTTCGCTTGAGCGATCCACTGAGAAAAGGAACAAGGGCAAAGAAGCACGCGGTAGCGGCACAAAGCAGACGGGCACGCCATCAGCGCCGAGCGAGAATGGGCGAACCAAAAGCGTGTTGCACCAAGCAACGCAAAAGGGCACCTGGCGATAAGGCGTGCGCTGAATGTGGTTGGTGGGCCAATAGGCACTTGACGTAGTCGACTCGCAGATGTACAGTTCGCCGTCGAAGCGCATCGCGATGGTCGTGTGACCTAGTATCGCAAGCACAATCACAAGAAAAGGGCCACGACAAAGCAAATAAGTGACGACAGCTTGGACACAACCGTGAAAAGTATGCCATCCCGCTATACACGAAGGGAGTAGCGCTGTTGATGAAAAGGACAATTGGCACTTAAGATGAAACGCACCAGTGTGAGCACCCATGGCCCAAGCCAACATGGGATCCAAACCATCAAGACGCTAATCAATAAGCGGGAGTGCATTGTGAGGCAAGGCTTTTTGAGAGTGCGACAATGCACGCACACACAAAAATGTGCGCAGGGTGCCAGATCGACCACGCTGTCCCGAGATACGACAACTGACCAAAACACCGAGAAAGTCGCCGTCCTGAATGTCGGCCTCGTCAGGGATGTTGTCGGTCACTTCGCGAAGGGTGAGGTTGTAAAAGGCTTTGGCACGAAGAAAGTCCACGTTGTATGCCTCAACGCGCTTCCACACCTAGTCATGTCAGAAGGGCAGCAGAAAGGCATTGGTCAAGATCCTCGCTCTGCGCATTGAGTGACTTGATCATGACATGACACGCCCACCGACCTCAGCAGTAAGCTCAGCAGGCAGGAAGAGTTCAGCCGTCGCCAAAACGGATTCGAGGTTCGCATCAACGGATCCCTTGAGGCGCATCATGCGAAAGCCTGGTGGAGGAAGCGAAGAAAAATGTGCACGTCAGGCCAAAATCATCAAGAAACAGATCAGGTGAACAGACGCGCCAAGAAATGCGCCACCAGATACGGAAGACACATGCGCGAACCGTTGTTGCGAATCCACTCGGCCTCATCCTCTGTGATGGTGGCTGTCCAGTTGAATTCCACGGTTGCATCGCCCTTGAGAACGTGCAAAGCCAATCCTGTGTGACACCATACCGAACCAGAATGGCAGTGGTTCTGTTTGACTTTATGCTTGACAGCAGGGAGCCCTGCAAGCATTCAACGCACGAACCATGGATGGTGGCAATGCCGTAAACCTCTTCCTCGCACTCGGCAGTGGGAAATCTAGTGGCACAGATCAACCAAAAGAGGAAAATTAGGGGGAAAAAAGAAAGGAAGGTTGGGCATTGAAGCGGGATGTCACAAGGCAGTAGCGAAAGAGACAATCACGGTGACCATGCGAGGACGTACAGGGCGCTAATGATGATTGCAGGCTGGCCATTGAGACTGCCACGGAATTCGGCGCTTGCTTGTTGGTAGCATGGCGTACTCCACTGGAGGGTGGCGCCCTCCTCAGCCTTGAGGTCGCCTGCGTCGAGCAGGTGAGGTGCGGTGAGCAGATACAGAGGAGTGTGTGAGATGGGTGTTTCAGCGTTTAAGACCCACCGAGAAAGACGGGGATCCAGTCAAAGGCGGTGGTGGCATCCACTTTGTCGGCATAGAGAGGGCGGAGGCGTGTCTGCGATTGCAACACAACTGTGAGTGGCGCTGATCGACACCAGCTTAACAGTTGAGCAGAAGTCACCTTGATGTTGTCCATCCACTCGGTGAAGAAGGCACGGGGGCTTTCCATCAGGTTGTGATGGGTGGGGAGGGCTACGGCTTCAGCCAGCGAAGCCCCAGTCCAGATTGGGACCGCCGGGTCGGCCACAGTGGGCTGTCCCGTCAACAAAAAGTGAGAGTGGGGCGTGGGAGGTGGCCCGGCAGATTGCGACACAGCAAGCTCAATGGCAGAGATCAAGATGGGGGATCGGTAGAGAGAGAGAGGAAGAGAGCTTGGCAGGGGGCATACCGAAGCCAGGGCCAGAAGGCCAACGGCAGCCAGCAAAAGCAGGCCGCGAACGTGATGCATCATGGTTGGTCGCCGTGCGGGTCCTTCGCCTACAAGATCGGTGTTTGATCGGATATGGAGGAGGACACCACAACAAATCAAGCCCTCGTTTTGTGTCGCCAGCCATACAGATGCCCGCCCGCACTTGCGATCCAC